TAGATATGTTTTGTAATGTTCTTTTGAGACATTTCATGAATTTATGATTAAGAGTGTAGTGCTGGGTAGAGGACTGTAGTGGGGAAACGGGAAATGTTGTTATGAAAATGAGTTCACTGAACCAGTGTCTTATTGGGTTGCATTCCCCTCTGTTTTTTCTTGACTAGTCCGAAGGTTGGCACGGAAGAGGCGAAGTGATGAAGACCCCAGTAATGACATCAGTTTGTCTCACCGAGTTCACATCTGCTCTGTCAACAACTTCCCAACTGCCGCTGGACTGGCATCCTCTGCAGCTGGCTATGCCTGCCTTGGTGAGTTTGAAAATCTTCCTGTCACCATTTATGCTGCTTACTTATTGCTTGCTTGTTCAACAGTTATAACTTGTTGTTTATCCATGTCTGTCTGTCAGTGTACTCCCTGTCACGTTTGTTTGGGGTGGACGGAGAGCTGTCCGTGGTGGCGCGGCAGGGTTCAGGGAGTGCCTGTAGGAGTATGTATGGGGGTTTTGTCCAGTGGAAGATGGGTGAGAGACAAGATGGGAAAGACAGTCTAGCAGAACAGGTGGAACCCGAGAGTCACTGGCCAGAGCTCAGAGTGCTGGTCCTGGTGGTGAGTGTCACTTGATGATTGTGACTTTTCATGTAGCTTTATATTTAAAGCAATGTTTTAGACAAAATCAGATTTACACAAAATTCCAAATCCCAACACAAGCTAAGTTTATTTCTGCAGTTTTGCAATGAAGCTACAAAGATAATGTAGCTAACAAGTAATGGAAGAATATAGCCCACTACATAGCATCCTGCAAACTGCATGTCTGAATCATCACAGTAACCTGAGTTGTCATGTAATTGTCAATAGACTTGCTAATGCTTGTTTGATGCTGTATGACATACTGTATTCTATAAAAATAGACAAAAATGTTGCATAACTAAAAGCTCTTTAATAATGATTTCACCTTTTCATTAAAACATGCATTGAAACCTGATGAAGAGATTTATATATGTATAATGAAATGGACTGTCCTTGTGTACTTTCAGGTCAGTGCAGAGCGGAAGCCTGTTGGAAGTACCTCTGGCATGCAGACCAGTGTAAAGACAAGCAAACTGTTGAAGGTACATTGACTGCATGCACTATTTTCTTGCTTGGATTCAAGTTGTTATTGCAATTTAAGCACGTTGTGTTTTTCACTATCAAAATGTACTTAAAAAAAGGCTTTATGAACAGATTTATTTTAATGATTTATTTGCCTATATATACAAAAACACACATACAAAAACTTTCCCTGCTGAACAGTTGGTAAGATGTTTTGTACATTTTCCCCTTAGCACCGTGCAGACTGTGTAGTCCCTGGTCGTATGGATGAGATGGTCAGTGCTATCCAGAGACGGGACTTTACAGTGTTTGGTGAGCTGACTATGAAGGACAGTAACCAGTTCCATGCCACCTGCCTGGACACTTACCAACCTATATTCTACCTCAATGATATATCACGAAAAGTCATCAGCCTGGTGCATCGCTACAACCAACATTACCAAGACACCAGAGTGAGTTCAGCAATCTTTATCATTTTACACTGACACAAGTTTGTTTCTATTTACTTAATTTCTGAAATGACTGATCATCTAGCATTTACTCCCCTCACAATTAAATCCCCTTTTGCTGCAGTGATCTACTCTTCTGGGAAGACTAAAAGCTAGATGTGTACACTTCACTTTTCCATCCACGATTATATTGGATAGTAGTACTGGTCATATGTACAGTGGCTCAGGATCCCCAAATTGGTCCTAGATTTTTGTTCTGCTTAGCCAGCAGAACAGCATATACTTTTGACAGTGTTTTGTTTTTAATACATTGTTAAAGAACATGTAGCACATGTAGCACCTGTGTTTTGTTTAGTTTTCTTAAATTTCTCTGCTGAACACTAGAGGGCCTCCTTGAATTGAACTTTTTCAAGTCAGGGACTCTTCATGTTCAGGCTTGACCCTGGCCTTTCGGTGTCAAAACAGGTTTTAACTGGAGGGTGGGGGCTGCTCTTCTTATTACAACCCGTGTCCTTTGACCAGTTAGCAAGCAAGCCTAAAGAGATGTCATACATTTTCACTACACTCCAAAAAGACATTTATTTTCTTTTTTTAGCTTTTAACAAGGAAGCGCTCAGAGACTTTTCACTACACTGTAAAAAGACATTTAATTTCTTTCTTGCTTAATTAAATTTTTAGTAATTTGTCAAAAAGGCCTTTGTTTTCAAGGTCATCATTCTAGTGCACATCTGCAATGGTATTCCTCAGTGAACATTTTTTTCTATTCCATATTTCCATGTTAATTAGGAACTGCAAAAGTTTTTGCAATCAGGAACTGATAAAGTTCCTGATTGCAAAGCAAACATGAGTAAAAATTGTTTCTCTTATGCACTGAGAACTGACAAGTTTTTTTGATCTCAGTTACCTTTTACAGACCTAAAAATAAAATGTCATTGCCTGTTATAATTACTGTGCCCCTTCTAAAGAAGCAAAACATATTTTACCAGTTACCACCCTCTTATTTGTGGTGTCCTAATGCTTTCTGTTGCTGAGTGGGATAACATAAATGAAGAAAGTGCTAGTAAGTTGAATAAGAAAATGATTTTTCAAAACAAATGTTATCAATGAACATTGTGTAAAATACGCCTCTCACATATAAGCCCGTATTGTAGAACCAAGTCGAATAGCTATTTGATGATAATCTCATTAATAGGGTCTACTTGTATGGATTTTTATGCATTTTGTCTGTGTCAATTACAGAAATGACAAATATCACAAAATAAATAGATTTCTGAGGTTGTATTCCTGGGATCATGTAGGTAAAAGTCAATTTCAAGAACTTAACTGTGGAACATAGAGCAGGTCAGCTAGCTAGTGCATAGAATTAAAAACAATAGTACTTAGAAAACTATTTTTTCGTGTCAGTGAAAGACACATTTACACTACAAGACGATATACTGCGGATCTGATGGGAGGGATAAAATGTGGCCTGTTCGAAAGTTATGGCACATTTTATATTTTATTTTTTCCAATATGTTAAACTCAGCACATCAATAGAAATTATGTACTTTAATTTGCAGAAAATACTATATATAAGTGTGTTCTCTGTAGAGGATGTATTAACTTATTTTCACATAGAAGATCAACAAAACATGTAATTTCACCAAAAGTGTTCAAACTTTTGAATATAGCTGTATATTAAGGACCACGATGGAAATAAGTCTCGGACTTTATTGTGTTGTCCTTGGCAAACAAGCTGAGATGTAATTCTTAGTTTTATTGTCAACTAAAGTATAATAAACTAAAATTGGATATTAATATTTCTATGTATATTTTAGTAGGTATTGGATCAGTTTAAATTAATACCTGAAATGCGTCTCACAAGCTACAATATATACACACTTAAAACATGTGTCAATGTTCTCACTGCAGTGCTATCTTGCTTCCTAGCTGTCAACACATAGTAGCTCCAAACTGACAATAGACACATCTCGAGCTCAAATAAACAGACATTACTCAACCCTGGCCTATAAATGTGTTCTAGCCCCCATTGAGATGATAACGTATTTTCATAAGACCCATGATGTGGTTTTCTGCTTTCTTTGCTCTGGTAAATCAGTGAACATCCTCTATAAAGATAAACACATTTAAAATGTATCTTGTTTTCACATTTTTCAGGTAGCATACACTTTCGATGCAGGTCCTAATGCTGTGATCTACACCTTAGAAGACCACGTGCCTGAATTCATACAGACGGTTCGTTATTTCTTCCCCCCAGAAACCAATGGCGGAGAGTAAGTTTTTCATTTCTGCTTTGCCAGCAAGGCTTAAAAACTTCTCAAATTATGCAGAAGCAGAACGTATATTCAAGTTGTCTTGTTAATGCAATTTTGACCAGACATTCACCTGTTTTTCTATTTTGAAATTGTAAGTTGAAGAAAAAAAACAAAAGAAAAAAAGTTATGGTTTGTTAGTTATCATAACATGTCATGGAATTTTGTGTTGAGCCTGTTGTCTCTTCAGTTTTGTGAAGGGCCTTCCTGTGGGCCCCGCCTCCTTGTCCGAAGACCTGAAGACAGCAATTGGGCTGGAGCCTGTTCCAAGGGGCATCAGCTACGTCATCAGCACTAAGGTACGTGACTCAGGCTTGCCGTAAATGCAAGGAAACTATGTTTATTTCCATAATGGTAAACAAGCTTCCAAAGGAATGGGGTAAATCCTGTATAATCATTAACTCACAGAAGATTACAGATAATTGTAATTCACGATTCTCATAAAGAGGAAGTGTAAAGTGGAGAAGAGAGTAATTTGCATTTGCTTTCAGGTTGGCCCTGGTCCTTGTGTGGTGGAGGACCCAAACCTTCATTTGTTAAACCCAGATGGACTTCCCAAGAAAAGCACCTGAATATTAATAGAATTAACACAGCACTAAAACCTGCCCTGCAGTGAAAATGGACAAAGAAATGATGATTTTGATTAAAGGCTTATTTTAAGAGAGAGAATTTCCTTTAAATGTTGAAGTTATAAACAATAGGCTACGTGAATGGTCTGGACAGTTTTTTTCAGATTTTGTACCATAATGTCTATTTACATATGAATGTATATTAATTTTGTGTAGATTTTTTTGATGATATTTTTCTAGCTTTTTGAAAATTAATTGTATTAAAATATAGCTTACATGTTTATTGATGGCATGAATGTGTCTTTCTTTATGACTCTTTCTATTCAAGCGGCTTCCTTCCTTCTTTGTTTATTTTGATGTTAATTATTTTAGTTATTTATTTATTTTAATTCTGCTTTTTTTAATTCCCTTTTGTTTATCTGAACACCCTGTGCACTACATGGCTGATTGATGGTAATTACACAGTTATAGATAGGGTATATGTGGGTCAGTCCACGCTGCTTTCTGTTCAGTAAGACGAGTAAGACACCGGGGCATTGCAGGAATCCTGACTGAAGGAAGTGACGAGCTGAACTGGGTTGGGTTTTGTGAAGTTTTGTTCCTCCCACCTTTGTTCCTCAAATAAAGTTGAGAGTGATTACTGAATGCGCTCAATAGAAGCAGCAGCAGCAGCTCACCTTCACTGATCTGCGGTGCTCCTAAACTACCTCTGCGACAATGGGGAAGATTGAATGGGCGATGTGGGCAAATGAACAAGCCCTGGCGTCTGGACTCAGTAAGTAGTCAAAACGACATTTACTTCAGCACAACTCCGCTAACATTTGTTTGAACGTCTAAATCGACTAGCTAGCGAAAAAGATAATATGGCGAAATACGTTACGATTTATTTACGCTAGAACAAATCTGGCGGCTGATAAGTATGTACACTAAAGTCTGACACGAGAGAGAGACAGAGAGAGAGAGAGAGAGAGAGAGAAAACAAACAAACAAACAAACATACACTTCAACACACGCAGGAAAGTGAGCTATGTGTATGATATTATGCTGAGTGAAAGTTTCAGAGAACTATGTTTTAAGTTAAAGTTAGGTCTGGTTCTCTAATCTTATGATGAAACACAGCAGTGATTCATGTAAACTATTTTTATTCCACTTCCCTGTTTCAGTTTATCTGACCGGTGGCATTGTAGGGGTGGCTGGACAGCTGAAAGGCTGGGAATTCGCCGCTTTTGGGATGTATCCTTTCAAATGAGCTAATATGCAATGATTTAGTTTTGAGCCATCATCTGTGAGCAAAGGCATTTGTCTCCACAACCAGCCTGTGGATCATATGAACTGTTTGAAGCACTAGTCACATCTTCTCTGTAAGACACTAAGATATCTATAGTGCGTATAATACTTCTACAATAATCTATAATATTATGACCTCTTATAATATTCCTAGGGTACTGTTTTATAGTGATCTATGACACTTCTATTATAATTTCACCTCTTATAATATTCCTATGGTACTGTTTTATAGGGATTTATGATACTTCTATAATAATTTCACCTCTTACAATATTCATGTGGTACTGTTTTATAGTGATCTATGACAGTTCCATAATAATTTCTCCCCTTGTAATATTCCTGTCTTACAGTAATCTATAATGTTTGTGTACTATCCTGCAGTAAACAATAGCAATTGTCTGAATTCACCCCATAAGAATTCCTGTACTACTGTATATCAGGGCTGCCCAAAGTGTGGGCTGTAAGAACATATGATTTGTCCTTCCAAAGTTACCCTAACCCCTCCCTGTCAAGTATGAACATAATTTTTATAGTTATGTATAACTATAAATTGTTATTTTGCTTCAAATTTGTGTTTTTGCAATATACTAGTAACAAAATGTAGTATGCAACATTCAAAAAATTGAACCTATCTATTTTTCATATTTGTATTTTATTTTGTCTTTTTTGGCCCTTAGTCCACCACGAACATTGCACTTTAGCACCCAGTAAAAAAGTTTGAGCTCTCCTGCTGTAGATCGTTCTACAATCTAAGGATTGTCTGTTGTTCTAAAGTAAAAGTACAAAAATTAGTTAGTTTATGTAATTTTCATTAAAATGATTTCAACACCAGTGTGCCATTGAAAAGTACATGTTGCCCAGCTATTTAAGTGGCAGGTCTTTCCACATAGTTTGGTGCCCTTGACTTGCACAGAGCTGCAGGTGTGTTTGTGTGTTTGCTTGAGTACCCAAGGAGCAAGAGAGCCAAAGGCACAAGTGTTGAGAGAACGTAAGTACTCCTTTATAGTCAAATCTTTCTGCAAGACTGCCTCTGATCTTTTTTTTTAGATTGTGTCTGTTTTTTTTCTTAGTTTCAGGATATGGACTGCTATTCTGATTGTAACTGCAGTGCATGTCCTGTTGCACCTTAATTTCAGTTGTGATTTCTGCTTTTTTTTTTCCTCTCAGCGGTCAGTACTGCTTCACTGTATGTGTAAAGGCATTTGGGCCCCTGACTAGGAATTACTATGTTCGAGCGTTCCTGCATGCTGCGTGAGTAAATTCACACTCGTGCCTGTACCTTCTCCTTAGACTACATTTTTTGCCTTTGTCTCTTAAAAAGATCAGTATCTAAGCAGACAGACAGGTTACTTTATACTTTTTGTATTGCCTGTTATTACAGTGTCACATAACAGCTGTTATTGCAGTGTTTCTGTGCAGCTGGGAATTTTGCCTTCAAAAAGTGTCTTAAGTTAGTCAGTAAGTTGTGCTGTTTCTTTTTGTTTAACCTACAGGCTGTGTGTCCCAGGGGGTTTTATGCTCGCCACAGTTTTAGGCTGTGTTTGTCTTGGAATGGCCAGCCTCATCTACCTGTCAGTAAGTATTGTATTTGAATTTCTTTCCATTATGCTTCAGGACTGAAGGAGCATGTGATCATAGCTAAAGAAAGGTAACTGAATGCAGCTCACTGTGAAATAAGGAAACTGAAATAAAGAAGTTCTTGTTGTCTGTCAGGAATTTCTGTTCATACACACACACCTCTCTGTAATTTAAGCTTGTCTGCTGTCTGCATTAGTTTTGCTAGAAGTCCTTTTCCTCATCATCCTGACTCATGGTTTATTTATTTTGTAAGTGCCTTCACCCATACTGCCTCTGTCAAACAAACAAAACAAACAAAACAAACAAAAACATGTATCTCTATTATTTTTTTTTTTTTCCACATCATTCAAACATATCAGCTGTCCTTTTACATTGTCTGAACATTTCATGATGAATAGACTAATGTTACAAAATTACTTGGAATAAAATCTGTTTACATTAACTTACATTAGAAGCTTAGAACCTTTTTGCCTTCTCCCCTGTCCTGACCATCTTGGACATGTATTCTTTTGACAATTAAATAATTAATATGAGAACAACAGATACTACATTGTCATCAACCCTCTGCAAAAGATTCTAGAAATTAGTTGGTAGTAAGACACATCTTAAATGCAAGCTATATGTCCTGTAATAAAATGCACCATCCACAGTGATTGCTGGGTATCTTGGCTGAGTTTGTTGTGATATCTTGCAATAGCTGAATGTTACTAAACTATTCAACAGTCTTTTTTTTTTTGGTTGCAACATCTGTGCTTGTCCAGGCTTCAACTGTGTGGAGTGATGGTTTCTGTGGGGAACTACAACTTCTCTAAAATCTTTTTTCACTCTTTCTACCCAGGCAGCCATTCATGGGGAGCACTGGGAGCCGATTCTGCCCAAGAAGGAGCCCATAAAACACGCCACACAGAGCATCAAGCATCCTCCTCAGAACCCCCCACCACGTCCACCCCCAGAACTGCGCAGAAAGAGAACAGACGACCTTGAGTCTGCAGCCTACACTAACCCCATACCTGTGACTGCCAACGAATGCTGATCTGCTAATCCTGACAACTACTGTACAAAGGCGATCATAGCATATAAGGATACTTGCAGGATTGCTCTGTTTACTCTGTTAAAGGAATACTTCAGTGTTTTTTTAGCCTTGTCTGTATCTGCTGCATCTGTGTTGTATGGTTGATTTCCACAGAAAATGGTTTTGAGATGTTTTCCTGTACCTAGAGAAGAAAACGTTGCTTTAGCACCTGCCCTTTGGCTTCTATCATTAGTGTATCAGTGTTTCCTTGTACTGAGTAAAAGAGCAGTTTTCCTGTTCTTTTACTAAGTACAAGGAAACACGTCTATGAAAACCAGCTATATGATATGCATGTAGAAGATGGAGATGAGTTTGAATAACACTGCTGAGTTTCTTTAAAGTGATTGGGATTGAGATGGAAAAGTTTGCTCTGAATTGTAACATTTTTATGTTTCTGTATATATTGTAATGATGTTTGTAAAATGTTCTGTAATAGTAGTTGGTCACGCATTGCCTGGTTCTTCTGAGCATTCTTCTTCTTTCTTTGCACTCGGTAGGACATGCATGTTATTTACCAAGTATGACTGTCCACCCATGAATCTGTGAGTCACTGGAAAACTGGTTTAGACTGAGGAAATGAAGGCAGAAACCCAATTTCATAGATTTTCGATTATTTGCCAGTTGCTTATCCATATGTATTATGTATGTGTATTTACTCTGTCAGTTTGTATAAACAAAAGCATTTTAGTTGCACTTAACTCTGATTGTGTGTAGTATCTACCCAGTTACAGAGAACAAACTGTCTATATATGCTGAATATAGGACAACAAATGTTTAGACTAAGCATAAATCTGGCAATACAGCTTCAATTTGTGAATGTTCTAACAGTGTCAGTGGATAAACTTATTGTAAACAGTTACTGTTGTCTTTGATAATGATTATTTACCTCATGGTGTGTATGTTCATGCTTTTATACTATACTAATAAACTCAGGAAATGATATATGATGGTTTGTTGAATGCAAAATTACAATATCTTCTTCACAAGTTCACAAAGATCAGGTCAACAACTTAAATACTAATTTCAGTTAGGATAATACTGCTCCTTGAGCAGTGTAGCACATTTCAAGTTCTGCTTTTTCTATGCTTTCCTTCTTTCGCCTGCTCAGTTGCAAAACGTGGGGAAATTCTTCGTTCCTATTCTTGCAGCAGTAAATTAAATGACACAAACATAGAAGGTGATGGACAATGATGGTGAAATGCATGTTTCATCTTCAAATATGTAACAAAAGGGAAGTTGTATTTCACTGACCTTCTGTGTCACAAACAGAATCTCAAAAAAGAAAGGTCATCTTCTCGTGGCTACTTTCCTGAGGTAAGAAAAAATCCCTGATTGTTTTCTTTTGTTACCTGGATGACTTTTACATCAGGAATGTGCTGCTTGTGTAAGTGGAACACTGAGGAGGTTATTCTGTGACGTGCTGTAAATTTGGCAAGAACATGGACACACCTTTTACTTCCATACAAGAAGGAAAAATGGACACTTCCTCTAACAGGTTCACACAGAAGGCCCTTTCACATTCAGAGGTTTATCTCAAGAGTTTCAAGTACAGATAGACTACAGCTTTATGTTTTATGAGTCAGTTGACTTTTCTGACTGAAGATGGAAATAAACGTGGTTTCCTCATTTCACTCAGGTGCTCAACCTCTTCCAAGTTAGATCTGTCAAAAAGTTCAGATACAGTCTAGAAATTTGTTTTCTGGAAAGTTTTGGAGGACATACGGTGCTGTGCAGAAGTCAGAGACCACCCTTCATTTATTTGATTTCCATGCAAAACAGCCATTAATTACAAGCTATTCATTTTTCAGTGTCAGGAAAAAATACAGAAATTATTTAACAGGAAATTACACAGAGGCCTCAACAACCAAAGCAACAAAGGTATTTCATACAGCACGTTAACTGCTTTATTAATAACCTACAATACTAGTTTTAGTCACACACTAAAAGTAACATTCAATGAGAGCAACCACTCCCCAGAGACAAACAATATTTTGATAGCTAACTTCCTTTTGTGAGAGGTTTGCACAGGACTTCATCATTCTGACAAAGCACTTTTAACTCAGTGCCTCAAAACTTCATTCGCTCCTATGATACATGAGCTAGTAGAAGGGTTCGTCTTACTTGGTGTAATTCTCCTAAACCTCAATATGAAAAGTAATATCATGTTCAATTTTTCATGTCACGTTTGGCTGACAGATTTCTCAGGCAGTAAAACAGTGACATCCAGTGGTCAAAATCTGACATTTCGCCTAATAATGGAACAATATCTCACGAACCAACTACAAACAGAACAGGTGATCAGGTGAAGTGTTGATTAAAAAGAAACGATGAAAAGCAAGGCTGACCGAACTAACTAATAGCAGCCTGCCAGGCATGCAAAATGAAAATAAAAAGGATCTGGGAAGTTTTTAAATGAACACTTTTCAGCTGAACAGTTATTTCTGAAGAGTTATTTCTGTTAATCTTTTTCATCTTTTTAACAATGAAAAAAATAAACAAAAAAAATGAACAGGTTCGCATTTTTGTTTCATTTACAAATGCGTATACATCACCAAATTATAATATTAACAAAAACAAAGAGATCCGTTACTCATTTTGATACGATATTCAGTTATGCACATGTATCCAATATTGGTAGCTACCCACACTGAAAAGGAAAAGCTGCTTTCATTGCAGAAGAACATCAAAAGGACAGATATTCAGTGAAGTTTTGTAATGCACCTCTTTCATCACAGAAAGGGAAGGAGACGCTTAGATGAAGAAAACTGGAAACCTTCAAAGAGTTGAATGAATCTTCTCTGGCTAATCCTCAGTGCGCGGCAGTGAATCACCCTTAGCACACTTACATTTTTTTCACATTAAGAGTCCTCACTTGTGCCTATAAAAATTAAACACTTTAACAAACAGCAGTTTATCAAATAAATATATCTATATTTTATTAAACTAAATAAAATTTTAAAGTTTTCCGTAAAGTTTTACCACACTTTTGTTTTGTTTACCTATAATAGCTATGCCTTTCCTTTGCCTCTTCAATAAACATTAACATTCACTCTCCTGCTGGAATAAATGATAGGGGTAAAAAGTCGGACACTTTTGGTGAATTTTCTGTTTAATGTGAGATCTATACAACGGATTCTGAGAAAGAGTTACATCATTATAGAACATAAAAAAAAACAAAAAAAAACAATTAAGGAATGTTTTAAGAGCATGAAATAAGCTCTGAAATGTATGCATTCTGAAGTGATTTGTGGAATATAGCTATTTTTAAAGGTTTTTTTAACTTCTGAAAATGTTTGTTTATCGGTCTCTTCGCCTGCGTCACTTCCAGTAAAAGTGAAAGCGGTTCCGTCTAATTGTCCAATCAGGAGCCGTGTTGCTGCGCTGTGTGTTTCAGCTGTTTATGGTGGTCTTCTCCTTCGGCCCAGCTCTTCCGCGGACCTGCTGTTTCTCTAAACATGTCGAGCCGTGCCCTGCGAAGACTGAAAGGCAAGCAGAGGGGACAGGAGGCCATCGACATCGGAGACCTAAAGCTGAACAGTGAAGAAGCAGAGGGAGCGGAGTTGGAGGAGGAGGAGGAGGAAGAGCAGGACGAGGTGTTACAGCCGGCCAAAGCCAGCAGCAGCCGAACAGCCAAGAAGAGCAAATCTCAGAAGAACATCAGCAATATTTACGAACTGGTCAGACAGGAGCTTAATCAGCTGTCATACGGAGGTCTAGTCCGCTAGTTCATACTATGGCAGCCTTTTCATGGAGCTGATAAGTCACCAGCTGTTTTGTTTGTTTTGTCCTGTTACAGATCGGCGAAGCTGACAACGACGTGGACAAAAGTCCCACCGACGAGGAGAGTGTTTTGACAGCGAGAAGCCCGGAGAGTCGTGTCAGCCATGAACTACAGAAGCAAGAGACAGAGACTCCAAAGGTTGACATTTAACATGATAAAGAGTGACTAAATAGTGTTTTACCCCACAAACAATGGTATGCCTGTATGTTAGATTACTTAATGAAAGGCCTTTAGAGTTTGGTTAAAGAATAAGTAAATGTGTATATTTAGTAGCCAAAGCGTAAAATAACATTACAGCATGTGTTGACTTTATTAAATGTAGTTGTAGAGCTGGGGGGCAAGGCAAAAATGTAATCACAGTGCTAGTTTTGGTGATAGCTAGCGTTACATGATATGTCACTTGTACGTGTATATGTATGTATATATCGTCGCTGTCCAATGAAAAACATGTATCTCCATTTTTTGCGATTTTTACTTTTCTGCATCATTTGAGCTCAGCAGCTGTCCTTTACATTGTATGAAAAAATTATTAATATATTATTATTATGAAAAAAATTGCTTAGAGTAAAATCGTTTCACATTAACTTACATTGAAAGTAAAGAAAGTTTTTGCCCTCTCCTGTAAAGTTGCTATTTTGGAGATACTTGTTTTTCTTTGGACAGCGACGATGTGTGTGTAAAGTTATTTGAGAAGTTGGAACAAAGTAGTGCCACTTCAAAAAAAAATACTATCAAAAACTATATGTAAAGTGATTTTTATTCAATATTAATTGATAATACACTTTGCTACACAAAATTCAATTTAACAGGATTAATTATGCTTTCTTTGTAATCAAACATGCATTTGTGAGGTGATAATTATTTTCATATTGACCCGCCCTATTTAGCAATGCACTTATATGGGAATTCTCAGCCGATACCAACATATGTATTTGTATACATACCTACAGATGCCAGTACAAAATGTAGAAACTGTGACTAGATTCACCTGGATTGGCATTAAGGAGAAATACAGCTTATTTACAGAAGGGGACAAATACAGAAAAATTAATAAAAAGTTTAAATATTTGTGTGGTAACACAGCATTGCAAGAGTACCTTAAATGCATAATTAAATATCAGTTTGAATTATCGGTCAAATCTAAACATTGGTCCAGTGCAGATAAAAGTTTTTAAAACAATTATCTGCCGATGTGGTATAATTTTGCACCCCTAATAAAAAGTGAATGATGATGTAAAGTGAGGAACTTGTTTTTCAGGGAAGAGATCCTAGTGTTTCATTAGAAAACATCCTAATCTTAATCCTTGCTTATCTTTCTTAGTCTGATGGTGGTGGGAAACTGAATAATAAGAAAAAAAAGAAGCGGAAGAAAAAAAAGGCTTCAGCTGGGGATGTGCAGGTATGACCAGCCTATCACGTTTGAACTCTTTTCACATCGTGGACATTTAAACACGGGGCTTTGAACCAGTGGTTATCTGTGTGTTTCTGTTCTCGTAGTGTCTTCAATATGTAACATGTTTTCACAGGAGGAATTGGGTGCAGGGGACGACATAGATGCATTGTTGGAAACCATAAAGAAGACTAATGGCCTGTCACATCAGAGTGAGGACAGTGGAGCTCCAGGCCATAGACCTGTGCTTTATGTGGAACACAGGTAAAAGTTGTTTTTGCTTAAAACTCTACCTATTTAGTTTAAATGTTGCTGTTAAAGATTTGATTGTTGTTCTGTATGTAAAAGGCACAAAGTACATCATCCTCCACTTTCATCTGTTTTATATGTTCCACTTTTTGTCTTAGGAATCTGAATCCAGAGAATGAACTGAAGAGGTATTTTGGAGCTCGGGCTGTTCTGGGAGACCAAAAGTTGGTTTGGTTTTTTAATTTACTATGAAAATGTATATGTATTTTCAGCTAGTCACTGTATTGTGACTTATTTGTATGTGTATGTTCCTGATGCATTCACTGTATTTTATTAAGGCCAAGACAAAGACAGAGACAGTTTCACCGCAGCACATGGATGACCACACCCAAAGACACTTGGCCTCGCTTTAGCCGACCAGGTATGCCCAATACACTCTCTGACACCGAACCAAATATTCTCAAGTCTTTGTAGAGGTCATTTGAGTTCCTGTGTGGTATCACTGATACAGAGATACAAGTGATCTAAAATAGCTGTCTGGCTACTGAGTAAAATCCACTGGCACCTTGATATTGCATAACATATTGATAGTGTTGTGTTCTGCGGCCTCTCTGTTTTTTTGCCCTAAAGCACCAACACTTTCATTAGTGTTTTTAATACTAAGGAACCTTTAGGGAAAGGTACACAGTTACTCCTTCTTTTGACTTCTGATAACGTGACTGCTCACAGAAACCCTTACCAAATATACCCTTATCCTCTTAGAGCTCCTAGTTCAGTGTTGACTTTGAAATAAGTCTTATGCGCTTTTGAAAGATACCCTTTCAGGGTCATTTCACACTGCTAAGCCACTGAGTAGTTTCCCAGGGCCTGCAGGACTCTGTGAGGTGTTTGTTTAACTTCGTTGAGGTGGGTCCTGTGGTTATGACCTCATAGTTCCTAGGAAGAATGGAACCATACCAAAGATTTATATTGTTTATTTTCTCTAGAGAGTCCATTGTCTATAGAAAATATAAAACTAAGTAGCATTACCTTTGAGACCCTGTTCATTACTGTAGGTGGGTTTCCTTAAAGCTTATCTGCATGAATGAATACTCAGTCAGTTCATTTGTAAATGGAAATTTGTCATTTGAAAAATAAATATTTTGTGACATGATTGTCATTTAAAAAAAAGAAACGATGAAATGGTATAATGTTAACAACAAATGCACAAAACTAAATTTCCTTACCGTCTTGTTTCCTGTCATTTTCTCCCTGAGGTATCTCTATGAGTCTGCTGGAGTCCAAAGATGGCCTCCAGTTCTTTGCGTTTGAACACAGTCGTGATTACCAGCAGGTCCAGTTCAAGTTCTTTGATGCTGTGGAGTCCATGGATCCTAATAACATTGTGGTAAATAAATAACAGCTTTGTTAATATACAGAGTGTTTGTGTATGTCAGATTATACAGTTGATGTTTACTACTAAACTCAATTCCCAAAAAGCTGGGACTGTCGGTGAAATACTAATAAAACAGAAAGTGGTGATAAGTAGATTTCACATGTATTAAACTGAAAACAGCACAAAAACACAATATTTGCTGTTTAATTTAAATAAAAAATGTTTTTTTATGGATATATGAAATTTCAAGTTTGATGCTTGCAACACGTCCCTAAAACTTGGGACATGTGCATGTTTACCATTTTCCTTTTAATAACGTGTAATCTTTTGGGTACTGAAGACACCAGTTGATCCAATTTTTTTTGCCATTCTTTTACGTAAGTCTTCAGCTGTGCAGCTGTGCTGGGCTATTCTTGTCGTATTTTATGCTTCATAATGCTCCATGCAACATCAATTTCAGAATGAGCATTTATTTAATATTAAAACAATAAATACCTTGTTTTTGTTCTGTTTTTGTTTAAATGCAGGTCAAAGTGGATTTACAAATCACTGCATTGTTTTCATTTTCATTTATGTGCATTTTGCATTTTATTGAGGTTTGTTCTTTAATCTAGACAATACAAGGTTCACATAATAAATTGACAGTTATAAATCCCTGTCTCTGAGCAGGTTCTGCTGCAGCTCAACCCCTACCATGTTGACTCATTACTGCAACTTTCTGATGTCTGTCGCATCCAAGAGGACCAAGAGACTGCCAGGGATTTGATTGGTGAGAAAGTCCATTCAAAAAGCTGTGCCCTTTTAATTGTTCCTTTTCGTCTTCCCAACATGTTTGCTTTGATATAAAGTGCCAGAAACTTTAGAAGTTGCAGTTGTGGTTGTTAGCAACAAAAACGTTGTAATTTTATGCTAAATGTCCAAAAGTATACAGACATTCGTTCTCAGGCCTAGATCATCCCATGGGTTCCCAGATAGCCCTGTGTAATCTCCATAGGAAAGCATTGCCAATAGAATGGGACACTCTGTAGTAACAACACGTGAGCCTGCCCAATGCCAGGTCTTGACTAGAGGGATATACAGACATTAGTGGAGAAATGTTGTTAGAAATGTAGGTTGTAAACCTTCAGTCCGTACCTCATTAGTGTTTGTAAGTGTAAGAGATGTTTTATCATGATTTCAGTTTGCTGAAAAGTTAGTGTGCTGTCTTCTTTTGTGAAAAGAAAAGCATCCTATACATTTTACAGTGTTTTTGTCATTATTTGACATCAAAACAAAAGGAAAAGTCTAACTTACAGATTTAAACCTGTCAGTACAGAATCTAATGTTGTTATTTAACTAACTTTAATGAGGTATCTATGTAATTACATTTAAACAATATAGCACAGCAACAGTAATAACTGTAGATGTCTGAGGGTTTAGCCTGTATCAAGGATCGTTCAGCTTGTTGTGATAGACTCTCTCAATCCTCTCTATGCACTTCTGTAATATGTGGATTTGTTGCATGTGGTTTCGTAGGCCCACTGATGATATGATTATCTAATCAAATCAGCTTTCCTGGATCAAACTGATAAGGGCAAAGGCAGTAGAATTAATGTAGGAAGTTAACTGCTTCTTTTTTGCATGCATCATGGAGAGTATTTTTAAGTGTTATTGCGCAGCATTGTACAGAATAAATATCAGATTCAGATCAGTTGCTCACTTTTTTTAACCGTGTCTGAAATTCCTTCAGCTATAATTTATGATTTATCAACAGTGCAGCTGCAGATGCTGGAGATAAGTAGCATCAAATGAGATTAAGCTTATGACTGCTGCTGTCTTTTTCAGGGAAACCTTGTTGAGAGAAAGAGAGGGTGTATGTCTCTCTTACCAGGGATATTTCCATGACCTTTTTTTAATGAATCATTCAGTGAACTCAGTGATTTTGAGAAGATTGCTTTAGAGTGTCTTTAAAACCTGTTTGGCTTCTTTGCGTTAGCGTTAGAGCTTCTCATAATTGAATGGAGATTCCAGTCAGGTTATTGAATTAACACCTGTATAATGTGATTTTAATTTTTTTAAGACCTTAAATGTTCATAAATGAATTTAAATTATATGAGTTTTTCTTTATGAACACTGGGTTAAACTGACATCACTTCACAGGAATCTGTTGAAGAAAGAGATGATAGTGTAATATATGGCTTTTGTTTTAGCCACTAGATGGAGACATTCAGAGTGTAATTCTCTGTATAGAGTGTAATGTTACTCTTGTTTCATTCATCTTTATATACACTTACATTCTTGTGGACATTTCTTATTAGGTGTTGCTATTTTAGCTTGGTGTACTGTAAGAGACCACAGGAGTCTCTTTTAAAGTGAAAGTGCTGCTCATTTTTATCAGAACCTAGACTGGGAGTTGCTTGTGATCTTTGTGGTGACATTTATATAACATTGCAGCATCTTTCTCCACTAACCTGTTCGAACATGGCAGGTTGTGGCCACAGAAATACATGCCATAACCGCTGACACAAACATGCTTACATCTCAGAAAATTTTGTTAGCAGCTAACTTTGTTTTTGCTGTGGTTTGGTATATTTGGTATGATTTAGTAGTTTTTGCTATATCTCGTGTTAACAGGCTATAGATTGCTTCTTGTTAAAATAATAAAACAGTTTAAGCTCAACCATGTGAAGTAGCCTAAAGGCTACTGTTAGTGTAGCCATGCATTTTCTTTCTTGTTTTTAATATCTTGTGTAATCATAACATAAAAATAATTTTTTAAGCCCCTGTTCATGTTTGGTGAGGGAAGGAGTTTGGTGCATTGAAGGTTCCTGCATGGCTTTAACAGTTTAACAAACACAGCAAGGGGTGTGGACAAAAATATACGTGATGTTCTAAAGCAGACAATCTATCAGGCCTGATTCAGGAGAAAACTTTTTGTGTGTGTCGTAAAGCTGTGGATAGCGTGACAGTCGCGATTGATGGAAAATATTGGTAATTGTCAATACTATTGTCAGTTGGCTCAAGCTTAAATGACTGAAGTTACAGAATGAATGTTGTCATATCTATGTTTCTAAGCTCGCACCAGTCTAACATGCGCATGCTGCACTTTTTTTTTTAAGACTGTAATAGACTACCAGTTTCCAGACCTTTCAAGGTATAGCTGTATGTTACACGTAGCTCCCGCCATTAAATGCCAAGTGAACAAGTGTGCTACTAATCAACAGTGTTGTTTAAACAGGCACTGTGAAGCTTCAGTCAGACTGGGCCATTGCAGGCTGATGTTACAGCGTGCTCTCAAATACAGAACGTTCATCATTCTTCTCTCCTGTCTCCTGACTAAAACCCAGATAAAGTGTCTTATGGACCAACCTGAGCCATCAGAATAGCTTCAATGAATTTAGCACAGATTTTCCACATGTCTCTAGATCAGTGCTGATGATTTTTAAATCATTGAACTCTCAAGTGTGCATTCGTCTTGTAATAAAGGGTTTATGCTTGTAACCCTAGTATAATATTCCTTTCTATGTAGCTGTTAACGGACTGCTCTTGCTGACAGTCTGATTATGTCCTAAGAAACAGTAGTTATTTTGTTTTTCTTTCCATATACCTCTAATACACAAGCATTGCGGTCATTAAATACCCTATTAACAAACAAAACAAAAACTAGCCTGTTGCATCTGTTGTGTGTTATGTGTAAATCAGTTACTGAATGTGTGCAGAGTTGACTGACAAATGTATTTCTTGCTTGTCAAATCTCTAAGTGATTTAGCAGTGATCCTTTGATCATTTTCTATTTTTTAATGATAAGCAATTGATCTTGTGTATTTATTATTTTATTTACCTGTTGTGCTTTTTTTATGCTTTCCCTTAACTTATGTTTGTGTATGTGTCTGTGTGCATGTTTACTCTTTTCAGAGAGGGCTTTGTACAGCTTTGAGTGTGCATTCCACCCTGTATTCAGCTTGACCTCAGGTACCAGCAGGTTGGACTACCGCAGACCAGAGAACAGGTTAGTGCTTCTCTTCTTCCTTCCTCAAAACTCAGTACACTTATCTTCATTCTGTTCTCTAGGAAGAGTGGTCTGTTAACCATTTTATATTGAGTCTAGATTGAGTTTACACTGAATAACTATTTTAAACTATCATTTTCCATAGAGTTAACAATGGAGATCATCCAGGAAAATTCTTTATCATTTCAAATAAGGTGTCATTAAAAATGTTTATTTTAAAATGTACATTATTTATTTTAAACCAAAGAATTACTCCTTCACAGTGTATAAATATTGCAGTAATCACCATATCCACAATTCAGTTATTAATGAATTTCAATTAAATTCATTAATAAGCTTAAAGTTAGTTGTAAATTAATGAGTAAACTTTAATTGTAATTAATTATATTCATAAAGTTAATTGTAATGTGCTGTTTTATTAATCTGTTTTTTTTTCTGTGCATTTATATGTCTGATGTTCTTTTGTTATTGCAGAAGAAGTGCATTTAACTACTTATCCAAAATCACACTGGCCATTTGCTCAATGTAACACATGATTAACTTTCTATCATGGTCAAATGTTTACATGGATTTGCAACACCATACCTGTGTTTAATTATCCGTTTATAAATCCAAATTCTGAATTTCACATGCCAGATATTTGAGGAGAAGTAAATGTGTCAGTGTTCACTATTTTGCCTCCTCTCCCTTTGTACTGTGCAGAGCCTTTTATCTGGCAGTTTATAAGCATATGATGTTCCTGGAGAAGAGAGGCTGTCCCCGCACAGCTCTGGAGTACTGCAAACTTATTCTGAGGTAGACAGCACTGCAACCTTCTGACTGCTCACCTGCAAATCGCATGTACTGTCTGTCTGTGCAAAGCAGAATAAGCACTTCTTTTCTTTATGTGTCTAATCCCCAGAGATGTTTTGTATGGTTATTTTAATAGATGACGTAGACTGAGCAAAAAGTCTGTGAACTATTTAACCTTTTTAACACAAAGTCTTTATATGTATTTGTGTATGTGCATAGTTTGGACCCAGATAATGATCCTCTGTGTATGCTGCTGCTGATTGATTTCCTGTGTCTGCGCTGTCGGGAGTATGCTTCCCTCATCCGACTTTATGAGGAGTGGGAGGTGAGAAGCCTTGTCCAGACCCCATCTTTTTTGAACTGACTGCTCCTACATCTTTTAGTATGCTAGCGCTCTTCAGAGAGATAAAAAATTATTAACATTTCAAGACTTAAAGCTAAATTATAAGGAATTGGTTGCTTTTGTTTATTGATGGGATCATGAAGTGTATCAGAGCTTCTGGGTGCAAACAAAAAATGCTCAATTGATAGAAGTGGATCTTTAAGTAGGACAATGATCTGACACACCAGTCACCTTTTGAAAGCACTTAGAATAGTTTGTTTAAAATAAATACAACTTAATGTGACGTTTACTTACCGAATACAGTTAACTTAAATACGACACATATACAAAAACATTTTGGGTCCAGTGTAATGCAAGTGACCAAACACAATCACAATAACTCAAATTTATATCAATTTCATATGAACAGGTTATTTTTTTCTTAAGGTTACATAACTTTATGCCTTTCATTTCATCATGCCGTTATATTTCTTCATATTTTATCAAATTACAGTTTGGTCAAGAAAACTGTGTTTTGTCCATATTAGGCGGCCTTATGAAAACAAGAATGGTTTATTGAAAATTTAGCCAGATGTATTTAAGTTTGTGATTAGATGTATTTAAGTGTGTGATTAGTGAATGCCTTGTGATCTGCTGTGTTGGTTTAGGTCCATCGTAACCTCTCCCAGCTGCCTAACTTTGCCTTCTCAGTAGCGCTGGCTTGCTACCACCTGAGTCAGCAGGAGGAGACTACACCCGACGAGAGCCAGCGCATGAAGGTTAAATCAGACATAATGCTGCAGGAATCTCTTATCATGTTCCCAGGAGGTGAGAATCACATGCACACATGAGGCTGTGTAGTCTGACTCATATTGATGATGGCAAAAGTTGATGAACTGACGTCCAGTTATCCATGTGGAAGATAAATGTGGAACAGCCAAAAAAGGTCCTTCAGCTGACATTAATGTAGGGCTGGAGCTGGAGGCTTACTCGTAAAAGTGATAGAACTAGTGTTAAGAGAGTAAAAAATTAGTAGCACAAAAGAATTAGCAGCAAGCAGAGGAATACAATTGAAAAAAAAGTGAGCTAAAACTCTGGTTTAAACTACGGCTGACTTGTACAATGCTGGGCGCTGATGAGGACTTTGTGAGGTCGTCTTGTACAAGGTCTCCTCAGTGGACCATTAGCCAACATGTTACGTTGTCAGAGAAATAAAGTTACACCAGGGAGGGTGTTTTAAGTTGGGGGTGCTGAAATTTTAAGCAGCATATACGCAGAGTGAACAGTGACATCATGCAAAGTGATTTGCCTTTTTTATTAGATTTTTTTAAATAACATCATTAACATCTTAGTGTCATAAGATGTCATAAAATGCAATAATCTGGTGAGAGACAACAATATACACATATGACACCTCAAACTTCTGATTAACACCCTGCTCACTCTGTTCTCTCATTCTGGTCCAACTTTATGTGAATATAGTAAATGTTGGATATTTTTTAAGTGTGGAAAAAACAATATTAAGCTGCTTTGAGACACAGGAAAACTCTGCATGCTCTTTCCTTCTTTGCACCTCAACCTGTGTGTGTTTTAGCGACGAGTCTTCAAAGTGGCCAACAGTTGTTGAGGGAAGTGATTTGGCTCGCTTTAATGAAAATTCAGAATTATTTTAACAGTGCATGGCTACAACAGGTTTTGAAAATGTATTAATAAAACATAAAAATATGTATTAATAAAACATAAAAATATGTTTTCAGCTTTCAGTAGCGATGCCGTGAAATGTTAATTCGGGAAAGTAAATCCTAGGTGTAAATGCCTGGCTGTGTTGTCTCTCATTAGCTTGTTAGCTGTGACTGAGTTTAGCACTGTGTTTCCATAGATAGAACCACATTTGATTGAATGTTCTCATTCTTAGAGACTTTGTTCCTAAATTACAGATGTTTACTCACATACCTTTCTTGTGTGTGTGTGTGTGTGTGCGTGTGCACATTATATGAGAAAGAGAAAGAGAGGGTTGTGACCTTTTTTGTGCTGTGCAGGATCTTTCATGGTCTCTTTAATAGGCAATTCCAAGCCAAATAAGAAACGAGGTTTTGATTTAAGCTGGCGCAGATCTTTCAGCCGCTTAAGAGATATTTGCATTAACTATGTCTGACTGTGTCTGATTGTGTCTAAATGTGGACTAGCCTTAGCTGTGTTTATGTCAAAAGATCAGAGGAATTACAAAGCATGGATTCTGACAGAAAGTTATTTAGATGTTTCATAAGAGGTTTCACACAAAGAATAAATCACAACTTTTGCATTAATATGTATATCCAGTTACTGTTGTCTAAGGCTGGTCCTGTTGCACAGAAGTCTTTAAAAACTGTATAATTATTTTTAAAAGTGTGTAAAACTAGTCACATTTGCATTTATGAGAGATCTAAAAATCATAGATTAAAATCCCTACAAATAAATGTCTCAGCCAAGCCTGACAGAAAGTAACCATGGTAAACAGTTAAACTGGGTTGGAAGGAGGGGGCTTTCTTCTTTTTACCTTTTCGTCCAGTAATTTTGTGATGGCCCCTTATGCTGAAGCAGATGGATCAATAAAGGTTGTGGTTGAAGTATGTCTGATTTGGCCACAGAACTGTAATTAAAGCAATACTATATAAGATTTGGAAATTTGGAGACCTCTCTGGGGGAAATGTGTAATTGTACACAACATGCGGAAGAACATTCTGGTAATGTCGATTACAATTCTAACCCCATGAGCGGATGAATCTGATGTATTGCAAGAGCACTGATAGAGTATTGAAAAAGAACTCCGTCAAAACTTGGTAAATGACATGTCTTCCAAAGATGTAGTTGAATTATCTACTATTGTCATCTTATCTTCATCAGTATAATGTTGATTTGTGGATTTCCTTCCTTTTGACTTGTGCGTGACATTAATACGTACAAGATGTATGACGTGGTCCGAAAAACTCTCACGAAATCCGCCTCGATACCTCTGACTTTGAAATTATTATTTCGGGCTTTATTGGGCGACTTGCAGCAGAACATAACATATTTTAGCATGTTTTTATTTTTCCTGACTCAGTAACACTACTTCTTTAAATTTTAAGAAAAAATATAGTGCTGTTTTAACCTAGTAAGAAAGAACTAAAGAGGAGTTGTGAAGGTCAAAGGAATTTTATCATCTGAAAGTTTGTGGTTCCTGACCCTGATGCCCGCAGCCATTTTTCCTGAGGCCTTTTAAGAAAGCTTGTTTCACTTGATGAGCAGAGCCGAAACTACCCCATTTTACCATGTTTTTTTCCAAGACATCAAGTCTTTTTGATGTGTGAAACCTTACATTGTGGTCTGAGGATGTCCTGAAACATATGCCTTAACATATGCGGCTTTTTGTACAGGCATGATATCTGTCTGCAGCACTGAGCACATTTATCCAGCACAGCTGCATTTCTAGAAATGTCTCATCTATATTAGGTTCAATAAGTGTGATAATAAAGTAGGATATCACATCACCCAACATTGAAAAATTCATTTTCATGTTTACATATGGAAATAGTGTCTTGCTGTAGTTTGCATAAAGTAAATCAGTAAATTAACTTTTATTTTAAACTGGTGGTAAACCAGTTTTTACCATCACTGGGGACTGTTACCATGGTAACTCTGTTAACTGTACACTGTACACTGAGAACAGGCCTAGTCTCAGTGTTTGACAAAACAGTGTGTCATAGGTTTATAGATATTCATATGGGCAATGGGGAAATCATCATTTTAACGTTGTTATTTAGGGTTTTTATGTTATTTAAGCAATAGAACACGAGAAGAAGTATGTTATCACGAAATAACATCACGGCTATGATTTGGTCGCCGGGACGAGCCGAAGGTGAGTAAATAAATAAATTGGGCTGTGAACATGTCATTTAATATGTTTTAATGTTAACAATTCCTTCTGTCAAATTATAGTTCCTTAACAAGCAGCTTGTTGCTACGTCAGAGTAACAAGCTCCGCTCACTCGCTGCACAGCCGGCAGTTCGTTCTCCAGCTCTTTACACAGACCAACTGACAGTTTGGGAATTTAGTGTAGTCTCATCTTCAAAGTCTGAACAAATTGGCAGTTGGTCAAATGTAATCTTAAAAGTATACTTTTTCTGTGTGCAAAGTAAGACGTAAAAACGTTCAAATGGCTTGAGCGTCTCCTACAGCTGTCAGAGTCGATACAGTGTTTGTGAAAAAACCGAGATGTTATGGCGAAATAACAGCACGGTTAGAATGCTTCTCAACCAATCAGCTTGCGTGGCCGGAACTCACTGTTGTATAAAAAGTGTTAATTGTGATTTTGGACTCCACTGATCTTTGATGGTTACAAAACTGTGGCTGTCACAATGTGTCTGTGTGTTACAGTGTTGATGCCTTTGTTGGACCTGTGCACAGTCCAGCCTGATGCAGCTGTCTCTTCCCATGCATTCTTTGGACCTAAAAGCCGTTTGGGGTAACTATTGATGTCTGCTGTCTGTATGTTTCACATTTTTTATGAGAAATGCCTCAGGTGCATTTAAATTAAACTGGATTACAATTTTCAGCTATTGGTATGAAGATTATTACTGTTTTAAACAAAAAAATGTAATCATATTGGCCCCTCCTTCTCTCTCAGGCAGCCCCCTGCACTGACGGAGCTGGAAGGGCTGTATGTGGGCCGCTGTCACAGCCTCTGGAAGGAGGCAGGGGTGATGCTTTGGATGGAGGGCAATGTTCAAGAGGTGCTGAAAAGGGTTGATTCAAAGGATCCCTTGGTGGATGACTGCCAGAACAAGTAAGAACACATTTATGTATAGGACTCTCCTTGAGGACTTCTGTTACCACACTACACACTTACTACAACGGCTACTACAATGATAATAGAACATGGTCACTTAATTGAAATGTAAATACTACAATTGACAATTTCTGTGAATTGGCAATTATTAATAGCTGTTTGAATAATGATAATACATATTTGGCCTTATGAGTTAACCAAATTACTCGATACTTGATTACTTGATTCATTGCAATGGGGCTAAATAATAGTAATAATAGTACCTGAGTTAAAAAGCTCTTTTTATTCAAAAGTTAACAGTAAACTATTGAACGATACAAGGAAGAAAACAGCAATAAACACAAAGGCAGAGCTCAGTATCATGTGAGCAAAGTAAATTGCAACTAAAGAAATAAAAATGTGACCAAAAATGATGATAAATAACACATGCAATGGAGCAGATCAACGCTGATTAAGAAGAAGACAAAACAAACTAGCTGACTAGCCAATATAGTGATCCTAAAATAGATGTCATGTGGGGTAACTTTAGAGTGCTCTGATTGCAGCATTTTGGACAAGTTTCAGCATTTGGGACAAGCTTCTATGCACCTTCATCAGTCTGTTTAGTTTTGTCTATCATTGACTCACATTGCGTCAGACTGAAACATTTCTACAAGGCAGGCACTGATAAGTGTGTCTCCAGTTTTCATCGTAGCTAAACGAGAGTCATCTGACAGGCGAGAGGACACTCTGCTGTGCCTATCCAGCTTTTTGCTCTGCTTTTTATGTATACTTTTCATGGACCCAGCTTACTTTTAGACACATCAAGAGTATTCGGATCCAATGTGTGTCATTATAAAACCATGCACATTTAAATGGTTAATGTAAAACTTATAGGGCATTGGGTATTAATTACTCTATATGGCTATTCTGAAACCAAGGGCATTAGTATGGGATTGGTGCCCTATTTGCTGCTATGTAAATCTCTAAAATTCTCGGAAGGCTTTCCACTAGTATTTGGGATGGAATTCAGCCACAAGAGCATTATAAGGTCGGGTAACAAAGTTCTTCCACACGAAACTTCCATAAAAACCTTAAGGACCTTGCTTTGTACATAGGGCATTCTCATGCTGAAACAGGAAAGGACAAAAGTTGGAAGTGCACATTTCTCTAAAATGTAGCATTACAATTCCTTTCCCCTGAGTAAAGGGACCTCCCCAAACCATGTAAAAAAGCCCTAGACCATAAATCTTCCTTGAGTGAACTTTCAGTTGCCACTATGCATTCAGACAGGTAGTGTTCTCCTTACATCCAGTCGTACATCACACTGCCAGCTAATGAAGCATGATTCATCACTCCAGAGAACTTGTTTCTACTGCTCCAGAGTCCACAGCAGCTCCACTCAGAATTTGGCATGGTGCTGGTTTTGCTTCCAGAGATAATTTGGAGCTCAGACTTGAGTGCAGCCAATGACAGGTGATTTTTACATGTTAAATGCTACAACACTAAGTGGTACTGTTTATGAGCCTGTACTGCAGTCAATCCAGTTCAACAGGCCTAATTATGCTCTTTTTGTAGTGAAACATGCAGATGTTCAGTAAGTACTGGTGATATCCACAATATACTTAGAAACCTTTATTGTGATGTAATTTGTCACTCTATGATTAAACATAGTGATGTATATGCCTGTCTGTCTGCCTTGCGATGGACTGGCGACCTGTCCAGGGTGTATCCTGCCTTCCGCCCAATGATAGCTGGGATAGACTCCAGCACCCCCCGTGACCCAGAAGGATAAGCGGTTTAGAAAATGTGTGTGTGTGTGCGTGCGTGTGTGTGTGATTAAACATAGTCATATTACCCACCCCTAACAGCAGTTGCTCCTAAACATATTAACACAATGTTGGTTGTTAATGATGTCCATGTGTTTATTACCAGCAGATATAGTGTTCTTTTCTTACAATAAAGGTTTTACTATGAGGATACAGGTTGTGACAAAGAGCTGCTGAAAATGGTTATCAATCAAAAGAAAGAGACGGGTGGAAGCCGGGCGAGAGCCATTCATACCAGCTGACATGATCACTGCAGTGTTTAAGGGGCTGCTGATAAGAGAGTTCTACAGACGTACAAAAGAAAATGATTTAAAACTATTTATCTTGGCAGTAAGCATGTTGATGCCAGTAAAACACTTTATAACATTAGAATACATACAAATAAATAAATACAATAAAACAAAAGTTTTGTTTTTAAAAATGTTATAATACATCTTATAATTTAATGTCTTATTGTCTTGATTAGAAGAATACAGTCAGGATCTCTCAGTGCATCCCAGTTATTGCATGGATTTGTTAGATTTTTATCAGCAGCACACCTGATTTAATTTATTGAGGGATTGATTAGCTGAGGTAGGTATTGAATAGTAACTAAATTCTGAGCAGCTTCAAGGAGTGCTCTGGAAATGGTTAAGAAGACACATTCACACACATTTTTGTTGAAGATTAACCTAAGAAATGTTGCTTGCACACTGCAAAGAAGACAAAATCAAGTAAAAAAGGATTGTGCATGCTTACCCACATCAGTCTCTTTATGTCTCATTTTCTCAGCTGCCTAAGACTTTTGCACAGTAAGAGGGTTGATATTCACTCGTCTTTAAGGGAACATGTTAGTCACTAGTCATGTTAGTTAACATCTCTGATGTTATAAGTAGTTATGCTTGTGCTTCTAGAACTGATTTATATTTCTCACTTTAACACTACAGTGGGGGCAGACTAATAATTTTAGACAGCTCAGACATTCACATAAACTTTCACATAAGTTCTTGGAATCAGTGCAAACCAATTTTTTAATGCGTGACGTTCATACAGCGGGCATCGAGGCCATATGGTGCTTAAGGCTAGTGACAGAGTTCTTCGGAAAAAGGTTTTTTAGAAGTGCCCTGATTCTTAATGCTGTGTGTATATATAGATGCATATTAGTGTGTGTGTGTTTTTTTCCCCCCTCATGGTCAGGAGGAAGCAGCGGTACCAGAGTGCTCCCAGGAACATCCACAGGCATGTGCTTCTGTCTGAGATTAAAGAGGCCACATCTACACTGCCTCTGGTAAGGGAGACGGCACTGTAGTCTTTTTGAACTCGAATTCACTCAAACTCCACTCACAGTTGAACCTAGCTGACCCATGAACTTCATGAAGAAGCATCATTTTCATTTAAAATTCATGTAACCAATTGGCATGCCTTGTTCCTACAGAAGTTTGACCATTGTTGTTAAAGAAGTAAGCATATGCTTTGATTTGTTGGTTAGCAATGATGTGTTTGTTAAAATAAATTCTTGGCATACTTAGCATGTTGATGGTTAGTATAAATACACTGCTTTGGAAATACATAGTTTGTGTGAATATTGTTGTACCCAGTGCTTTGAAAGTACCATGTAGTTTATTTTCTTTTCAGGAAGTGACCACACAGCCAGTGATGAGTTATGACCCTCTCCCCCCTCTGGATTCTGTAGTGTCCTACACAAGACCAGAAAGGTACTGTACTCTCCAACTAACTCTCGTCTTTCTGGACAATGCTGTTGTGTTCTTTTTGGTTTCATAGTTTACAGTGGGGGGAGACAAGTAGTCACTTTTGTATTTGTTTTTCAGTATACCTCCAGTGCATATATACACTACAGAATTTGCACACATGATGTCTAATACTAATAAATGTGACCAAAAAACAATTCAGAGACCATATATCTTTATATGCATTTAAGTTCTAGATATTAATGGTGCAGTTCTGGTACAAACTTGTCATTATAAAAGATGCTGCCATTAGTGTAGAAGATTTCACACAACTAGTAGCAGTCATAATCAATGTGAAGGAGCGTTCTAAAGTTCTCAGGGACAACATTATTAAACAACACTCCAATCGAAAGAGCTACAGAGCCATAGGAAGGAGCTTAAACATCCCTGTCAGTGCAGCTTGTTCGATAATGTAGAAGTAGAATGTTCATGGAACCACAAGTAATTGTCCCTGGACAGATGCGACATGCAACATTATACAATGTGCTCTCAGACTAATGATAAGAAGGGTAAGAGAGAAGCCAGCAGTCACTTGAAAAGAGTTGCAGGATGACCTGAAAGCAGCAGGAACAACAATTACACAGAGAACAATAAGCAATGAACTGCATCACAGTACTCTGTTCCCCTATACAAAAATCCAATGCTAGAAAAGAAGCATGCACATCTGAAATTTGCACACAAGCGTGTAGACAAATCAGAGCAATTTTTAGGGCAATGTACTTGTGTTAGATGAAACAGAAATAGAACTTTTTGGGGTCATTTAGACCAATGTGAGCACTGTTGCTTCTCTGCAAACAGTGCTGGGGCATTGCACATCATTGAAGAAAACATAAATGGAGCAATTTACCAGGATATATTAGATGAGAATTATCTCTCATTGGTCAAGAAACTCTAACTGGGGAGAAGAAGGAAGTTTCAACAAGACAAGAACCCCAGACATAAAACCAAAATAACTCTAGGCTGCTTTTTAAAAAAGAAAAAAATGTGCTTACATGGCTTAGCCAGTCTCTTTCAATCCCATTGAAAGTTTATGGATTTTGAAATTGCAAGCCCATCAGAATCCACCTTCGGGAACTGAAGACAGTTTTCCAAGAAGAATGGGTGAAAATTGAACCACAGTGCTGTAGAAAGCTAATTACTTTTACCATAGAAATCTCAAAGCTGTAATTGGCAAAAACGGCTTTGCCACAAAGTGCTAATGTTATTAATTTGTGGTGTCCGAATACCTATTTCAGTTTCATTTTTCAAACATATTATTGTTTATGCTTATGAATACTATTCGTTCATACAACTCTATGCAATTTTTTGGGTGCCCTCTGGGCAAATTATACATTTTGTTGATTTTCCAAGTGGAAAATCCAAAGGAAACAAAACATCCTCTACGGAGAACACACTTCTGCAAATTTTACTGCACAATTACTGTTCATTTGCTGTATTTAACATATTATGGGAAAAACAGTGTCACATTTTATATATATATATATATATATATATATATATATATATATATATAAATAAATAAAACCTGTGCACTAGAATTTGCAGGAAAAGGCCATTTTTAAGTTTATTCTTTTCAGAGGATGTGGTAGTTTGTTTTCACTTACAAAATCAATAAAACAAGTAATTTAAGCTGGGGTGTTCAAAGACATATTTGTGTAAATCTGTAAATCTGAAGTGAATATACAGCGCCATGTGAGATCTTTCTTACATACTGCTATAAGGCTCTACAACGAGTCTCCTTACTGCAGAGACAGTACCGATCTCTTGCTGTCTGAACTGAGCTGAACCACATCACTGTATCTCCTCTCTGATTAATACACACTGTGCAATATATCACAACTATTACTGTAATGACACTTTCACTATGCACTTTACACTGTAATATTGATGCATCTCAGAAGTAGTTGTCTATAATATGTGCTTTTAGTTTACCTCATACCACTCAGTGCCTGCTGTCTTGTAATTGCAACAAATCTGTCTCATATGCCATGTGAATATGTAAATAGACCTATTTTATTTTTGCTTATTTTTATTTTTACTTTTATTTCTCTTGTACTTCAACTTCTGTCTAGATTTATTTCTATTTTCTACTTTTCTGCATAGCATATGTCAGTTTATGTGCAATTATATGTCTTGGTACTGAAGGACTGCAAGTTCTATCTATCTATCTATCTATCTATCTATCTATCAAATAACAAAAACAAAAGAATCTGATTACTTGTTTTTCCTCTTGTATAATGAAGTATTATTACTATTATTATTATTATTATTATTATTGTTATTGTCACTGTATAAGGACACACTGAAATACACTAGACCTTACTGTTAGGATTACAAACACTCACACACGCAGTCACTACTTTTCCATGTTCTGTTGATCTCTTTGCTTGTGTTAAACAGCAGTCATGCCATGATTATTAGGCTAGTTTGGAGCTCTCGCTCTCTTTTTCTCTATTTTCGTGTGTGTCAGTGTTTGACAGAGAGAGAGAGAGAAAGAGAGAGAACAGGTCTTGTGATGTTTGTTAATGAGCTAAATAAGAGATTTGAGAGTTAGATGGCTATTCCGTAGGTACATGACAGTGGCCGCAAATGAGACTAACTTGACTGAAGAGACGTAGCATAATTTACTTTAAGTGGGTTTCATGATTGTCTGACCCATTTATTTTACATTTGTTTTATTTATTTTTTCTGTATCCAGTTGGTGTAAAGCTTTGTTGATGTTTGATAATTGAAACATGCGGTACAGAACAAAAGTCGAATACACATGAATAGGGGTGGGAATTTTTAGGCACCTCACGATTCGATTCGATTTTCGAGACTGGACGCTTAATCTCGGCTCCAAAGTGTGCAGCATAGCGCGAAAGCCCTGGTTCTCAATGACTGAGAACAGACAGCAGACAGCAGGTCACATAGCACCGAGGTCTGGCCTCGCCAGTAGCGAACGAAAAAACAGAGATTAAGACGAACATTTGGAGGACTTATTCGCATTTATAAGCAGCGCAGTTGGTTAAATCTGCAATGAGAGACTGTCTTTCTCTAAAAAGTTGCGAAAATGAAGTCGCTTCTCTTTCGAATTTTCCCGTTCCACCTTAAATCTTGCAGCAGTTACATTCGGCGCCTAAGGCAGAATTTAAGATGGAACGGGAAAATTAGAATGAGAAGCTGGCGAATGAGAAGCGACTTCAGCCTTGTAAAACAGCCAGATGCTGAGACATTTTACAAGAAACTCTTCTAGTTTTGAAGAAAATGTTTTCTGGCGGAGATGGAAGAAAAGCGGCTATAGCTAAAGCTTAAAGCAGAGCGAAGTAAATCTGCTTTTTGCGTTCCGTCAACATTATGTTATAAATATTTAGAAAATTGATTTTTGACATTTATGAATCGATTCAGAATCGTTCATGTCCGCATCGCGATGCATCTAAGAATCGAGTTTTTCCCGCACACCTACACATGAACATAATGTCACATTAGGGTAATTTTATTTTCTGTATATCCTTCTAGGCAGAATGCACGAGCCTCAAATGAGAGCACCTTGTCTCTGTTGTTCCGCTCTCTGCTGCCAAACTTCAACTTGCAGGTGAGTGGACTTGAAGGGGCTTGCATTGGTGAATGTCTTATGACCCCTGATTTGCCTTTGAAGAAGAGAGGAGCAGAGATGCAGACACATGCTTAATAACAACTCATGAAAGTATAAAAAGTATAAAAAGCAGCTTGTATTTCCAAATGATACAAAAAGGTTTTGTCCTGACAGCGACAATAAAGATAAAAATATACTCCTGTGAACTAAAATTGGTTATCGGTGCTGTCTGAACAAAACCTTGTATCTCCATTTTTGCCTTTTTTAACACAATTTAAAAGCTACTCTTTGTACTGTGTCAGAATTTCTTAATGAACAGTATAATATCTTGCTGCTTTAATCTGTAAGTTTAAAACATTTTTTCTTCTCCTGTGAAGTTACTTTTTTTTTTTTACTTCGTATTTCAGATCAAAAGATGAATATCACCCAAGTACAAAATATCAGCTTTTATTTATGGATAAGGTTTTCGTAGTGGTTAGATCAGGTTGGAACAATGTTGTTTTATGTGTTTAGTCCCCCGCCTCCAGTTTGCCTTAGCATAAATATTGGCACTGTATTTCAGAGGGGTTTCTAATGGCTTTTCTTTAGATGAAAACTATCATAATAGTTGAATCATAACCTTACAGGTTAATAGGTTGGCAAATCTTAGTTAGAACCATTGCAGTTGAGATTTGTACAATTTTCAATATTAACAAAATGAAATACATTGAAAAGAAAGAAGCTCCTGTTTATTTGCAGTGATGAAGTCTTTCAAGGACAGCCACAGCAGCTCATGGCAGAGCTATGACAAAAAGCTCCAAAATAACAGTAGTGTTGTAGAATAAAATTTGCTGATAAGATACAGATTAACCTTTACCAGTGTGATGGAAAAGTCAGAGTATGGCAAAAGAGAGGGACTGTAAATGACCGTAAGCCCACGAGGCTGTGTCTTGACATGCGCACATGGCTTCCTCTGGTACTGGCTCACCCATCTTTATTGATGAATGGTAGCAGCAGAATGAATTCTGAAGGTTACAAAACCATCTTCCATGTCCACAAAAATGCCTCCAAATCTTCCTGACGTTCATAATACAGCAACACAGTAATTAAAAAAAATCATTCTACATAATACATATTACTGATAGTTCATCAGACAGAAAAAGTGGAACATTGTTGAAGAGGAAATTGAAGTCAGAACACCCCCCTACCCTGACCCTCTCAAACAAGCATCAACTGAAAAAGGATGCAGTTAAGTTGGCAGTGCATTTTAGAGTATCAAGACTTAAATAAATGCAGATATTACCTTTGTGAAACAATATCCAGAAATAAAAGATCACTTTCAGTACTTAAGGGCTTATATGCATCTTTTGTTTTGAATTACAAATTTCATAACTATGCAACAAATTAACACATTTTACTTCACTGTCTTAATATTAAAATAGTACCTTGGGACTTTTTTAGTCAAAATATGATTATGGCTGTGTCTGTGTCTTGATCTTTTTCATCCTTTTGCTGCTCTTTGCCACAGATTTGACTCATATTTTATTCAGAACAGGCTGACAAAAGCATGCTGATTCTGCAGCAGTCTATAAAAATCTAAGGAACAATACATAGGTTTCTGTATAATGTTCCTTGAAATAAATGGAAATCACAACTGATTTAATGTTACCATGCCATAGTAAGTATCCTTCTTATACAAACCCAATTCCAGAAATGTTGGGATAGTAGGAAAAATGCAGATAAAAAACAGAAAGCTGTGATTTATACATCTGTAACCTCATCACTTTGCCAAAAATGTATCAGACAAAAATCAAAAAGTTTAAAAGTAATGTTCCTCAGCCAGAGATTGCAACAGTTTTAGTTTTGATCCTGTACAGTGCATAATAACATTAAAAGTATCAGAAAATGCAGAGGAATCAGAAAGAAAAGGCCAAAAACCACAACTGAATGCCATTTCGTTTCCTTGGACAGCACCACATCTAAAAACGTAATTATTCTCTCAATGAGGACACTCACCATTGTTCAAGAAGCCTATGCGAGAAAACACATTTTAAGTGTGGAAAATAAAATCAGTGTAGATTACTAAAGACATCGGAGCTTAAAATTAAATCCATGAGATTTGACACCCAAAAACAGACCAGAAGGTCAGAATAATGGAGCCATTATACACCTTGGGCCCTTCAAGTCTGTAATGAAGTTCCATCCTTAGAAATGAAAATGGGAGTGTTTTTCACATGTCTACTGCTGAAGAATGGTGTGTGTGTATTTGCAGAGTGTTATGTTGCACGGTTATCTCAGAAAATCCAATTGAGACTTGAAATGCCTCTTTATCACTTCTGTCACTAGACTATCTAAATGGTCCACAAGCAATAAGAAATGTGAAATATAATAATATTTAACACAACAAGGATGACAGAGCATTTTAATGTTTGTGTTTTTCACCTCACTGAAGTTAGACTGTAAAATTGTTTATGTCTTAGGGTGGACAGAGGCCTGAGGATGACCTGGAAGTGGCGCGGGCTGGACGAGAGCTGAACCAAGAAGTGAATCGACTGATGGTGGCCATGAGGGACATGCTGGCTAATATCCAGTTCCAGGAGCCACAGAGGGAGGACAACCCAGATAGGGATGAAGAGGAGTGGGATTGAGAAAGGCCCTAAGAGTAGAAGAGGGAAAAATGCTATGGCGAGAGGTTGAGGTATATATTAGTTTGTTAGAGAGAGGTCTTAGATTGGAGGTGGATAGAGATAAAGAGGAATTAAGTTAATGGAGGAACTGTACTTTTGCAGGCTGTATATTTCCATCTTTTGTCCCCTGCAAAGATTAAACCTTATGTTCTCGTAACAATCCAAAATTGCCTATGCCCTGAGTACTTAAGACCTTAAGAGAACTCCCCATGTTTATATCATGCTCTTTGTCTGACCCTCTGGTCATCTGAATCTAAAGGAAGGCATTCATCAAGCCATAAAATCTTACTCATTTCACAAGCACTTTGAATAGAAGCATTATTTTGGCTTGGTGTTCCAATGACATTTTTGTCTTTGCAACCTCAGAGAATGCATCAGAAGGTCAGTGTTCAAACTGAATAGAGATTTCTTACTTCTGCTGACTGATCAGAGACAGATAAGATCGTGACATAATAGCATGCGATGGTGCTGCTTACTGATTGCAAATATAACAGCAGACCTTTCATCTTCAGTCCTGTTTCAGACGTGAACGAAAGTTCCATCTTCAAAGGGAAAATGACTTTTGTGGTTGAATTGTAGTCAGAAGGTCTGCAGTTGTGTGGTGAGAGCATGTGGATAGAGAAACGAGTCTAATTTATTGTGAACAGATCATGTCTAAAATACTTTACCCAGCTCTTCTTTCCCACATTGCTTTTATGATTACAGACACATTCATGCATTTATACATTGCCTGTGACCTAATTGTGTAAACTTATTCACATTAGAGTACAGTCTAGTACTGTATGTATGAGGAAACAATACAGTTTTAAGACAAAAAATGCACATTACCATCCAGTACATTGAATATATATATAAAATTTGTAAATAAAGCACCCAGTAATTTGTAATCCTGTTGCATCACGAGTAAAAATGAGTATAATGTTGGTTTTCTCTGAAATCAAAATTATTTGTTGACTTTATAAAATGATATTTTTATTAGCTAGATCAGTGCTTGTTTGGTTTGTAAAGGCAGCTGTTGGTGATTTGTAAAGTATATTAAATCAGCACTGAATGAACATTTCTGATGTTACAGCCAGGAGTTTGGCCAGTTTAAACCGTGACTAACATGACCTTTGGTTCATGTGAACAGCAAACTATTTATTAAGTATTTCCAATACAGCCTGTGAAGTCCATTTGAGTATTCAGTGTGATAAACTGCACTGAGAAGTAACGTCTACATAGTTACACATTCTGTCATCCCCACCCTTAAGTTTCTTTTTTTCTTTTTTTTGCTGCTGCAAGTTTGAGACGTCCTCTTCGTATCGTTCTGCTGATTTTCACATTATAAGTTCTTAGACGTACTGATGTTTCATTTGTTTAAATTACTTAATAGGTCTGTTTAAATTCATAATACTGCAAGAAGTATGCTAAATTATTTTCTGTTTTTCATGCTGTTAAATCCAAAGTAATTCTAAAACATTGTCAGATGTTTAGCCGAGTTTGCATAGCCAGCTGCAGTTATCACCACCTAGGTGGCTAAATGACACATTTATTCATGAGGTAGGCCTGTTCCACGAAAATAGTTTTTACAATTTTTACAGCCTTGCATAACTATGATGTTTAGCCTACTGTTTTACCAACTGATTGTTGCTAAATGTAACGTAACTTGCTAGCTTACAGTGTATGTAGTTTAATATTGCTTGCTAACCAGAGTTAAACTGATTACTTGTGTTACATTAGGGATTTTAGTGGTCTGAGAAGCAACACTTGCTAGTAGAGTACTAAGAGATTAACCATTTCACAAGTTTTCTGGATAAACTGTAGTGTCTCTACTAACAGTCTCTTATAAACAGAAAGTGCTGCTGCATGTATAAAGTTAAAGGAACAGCAAGGGCTCTTGATGTCAGATAGGAGGCATCATTATTTGGAACAGTTAATTTTGCTAGTTTAAAGGCTGAAGACTGACTTTCATCTTTTTCATAATCAGAAAATTTCTTTATCATTTTGATGCTAAAATTGACAAACAAGGAATACTTACAACATGAAACAAATTAATTGGCATAAATAAGCCATTAAGACAAAAAGATATGGGTTATTATTTTTAATCATACTTTCATGATATCAATACTGCTAACTCTGCACTGGGGGATCCCAGTAAATAGAGCCGTGAAAATAGGCAGCATGCGATCTCATAGTCCATTGCATTTTTTTTCCCTCATGTTTAAGAAACCACATGATTTTTTAAGGGCGTTGCAGACGTTTGGAGGGAAAATAGCTGTGAACTGCCGGCTTTGTTTGCCAGTTCACCTGGAGCTAAAGGCTGTGTCATGAGGAGTATTCATGTGAGGTGTTGCCACTCTGGGGCTCAGAACAAGTGCACCTTCAGGCTTCTCTGCATGCTCGTAAGGCCTCAAATTCCCTTATTTACATCTAGTCCTAGCTTATAGTTTAAGAGAGATGCTCTTTATAAGGAGGTGGACGTGCTCAAGTGTTTCATATGCTGATCTAATGTGGTGCAGACAGACATGTGATTCAAACAGTAAATCAAATTCCTCATTTCAAGTGGCTTAATGTAGAGTTGACTTAAACCATCAATGGAATCGTGGAGTTGTAATGTGTTTTCTTTGCTTTTTATGCTTTTCCTATTCAAATTTTAGGCATAATTTTTGAGTCCAGTAGAGGTAATTTTCCAGACATTTCAAGCATAGTCCTTGACTAAATTACAGTTTTAAAACTAGATTAATGAACAGTAGTCTTTGCTTATGTAAAGAAGAAGCTCCTTTCTCTATTTTTTAAAAAGCTGAAAGCTGACTTTTGAGTTATCAGTTTTCTAATGAATAAATAAACAGTTATGGCGAGGGTAAGGCTAAATGAGGTTTCTTTAATATCATGGTCATTGTAGAAAACAAGTTTTTCTTTCTCTCTAGGAAAAATGGTGATGTTTCTGACATCAGTAATTTCTTTAAAAAAATTCTATATTCAAATGTCATGATTTAAATATAATCCGAGAGTGTGATGACCCTTGTCTTTAAAAATCTGCTTCACTGCTAAATGCAAATCAGAGGTTATCCAAGAAGCCAAGACTAACTGAAGGTTTAAATTGGAGAAAGGCAGTTTCAGTTAAAATTGAAACACATCAAGGAATGTTTGCTGCAGCCGCGATCAGATCACAACTTGTTAGAGAAAGTGGAACAGCTGCCCCATTCTTCATTCAGTAGACTCAGTTCTGCATGGACATTTTGAATCCAGATGCTATTACAAATTCCATAATTGTGGGAAATGTCAAAGACATGGACCATATTGTGTTCTTTTAAATGTTCAGGTAGTAAAGATTTTAGAGGTAGCTTTCAGATACGCAGCTCAAGCAGAACTAAGTGTACACTCAAGACAGGTAATGTGGCTTACAATGAATTATCTGCCTTTTGCCAAACAACCCCTGCTAGCTATCATTTATTGTTAACCACATTAGCATTTTTGGTATTAATATTTTAACTAAATCAGTTTAACACATCGTGTCCTACACATGGTTTGGAATTATAAGACCTGTCTCAGAGGTCGTTCGGCCTTGGTCATTAGGGAAATACATGTGCTGTATGACTGGGCCTGACTAGTGCAGTATAACTAATGTGAAAGTCATGTGGCCTGTAGCTTAGAGTCGACTTTACTAACACAAAGTGCCCCACAGTTGGTCACAACTACTACTTCCATTCTCTGTATTTAACTAAACTGAATTAATTAATTATTTAGTCAAATAACAGAATGGCCTGAATAGATTACTGTGGATTGCAGTTTATAGCAAGAATATAAAAATATAAATAAGTATATAATAGAAATTAATATAATTATATATATGTAATTTCCAAAAAAGTTGGGACGGGGGCAACAAAAGGCTGTTAAAGTAAAGCTTAAAAAAACACCTGGTGGTTAATTGGCAACCCAGTAACATGATGGGGTATAAAATGAGCATCCCAGCAGAGGGTGAATCTTTCAGAAGTAAAGATGAGGAGGAGTTCACTGCTCAGTATTTGCTGGTCATGATTTTGGGCCCTCAGACAGCACTGCATTAAAAACAGACATGATTCTGTTGTGGAAATCACTGCATGGGCTCAGAAAAACTTCTGAAAAAAGTCTACGTGAAACAGTTTGGCGCTGCAACCACAAATGCTAATTAAAACTCTTAAACGTAAAGAAGAAACCATATAAAAACAGGATCCAGGAACGCTGCCACCTTCTCTGGCCCTGAGCTCATTTAAAATGGAAGTGGAAAAGTGTTCTTTGGTCCGACGAATCAACATTTAAATTTTTTTTGGAAACCATGGACACTGTCCTCCGGGCCAAAGACTACTCAGCTTGTTATCAGTGCACAGTTCAAAAGCCAATAATCATGATGGTATAGGGGGGCATTAGTACACAGGGTATGGGTGACTGGCACATCTATGAAGGTAGCATTAATGCTAAATGATATATACATTTTGGCAACATATGCTGCCATCCAGATGGCATCTTTTTCAGAGAAGGCCTTGATTATTTCAGCAAGACAATGTCAAACCACATTCTGCATGTATTACAACAGCATGGCTCCGTATTAAAAGAGTCCGGGCACTAAACTGGCCTGCCTGCAGTCCAGACCTGTCACCACTAATAACATTTGGCACATTATAAAATGAAAAATACGACAAAGGAGACCCTGAACTGTTGTGCAGCTGAAATCCTATGTTAAGGAAAAATGGGAAAACCTTTCACTTTCAAAATTACAGCAGTTGGTCTCATCAGTTCCCAAACGCTTACAGTGTTGATAAAAGGTGATGAAACACAGTGGTAAACATGCCTCCGTCCCAACTTTTTTGGAACGTGCTGTTGGCATCAAATTCAAAATGGGCATATATTTTTTAAAAAGCAATAAAATTTCTCAGTTTCAACTTTTGATTTGTTGTCTTTGTACTATTTTTAATGAAATATAGGGTTTAAATGATTTGCACATCATTGAGTTTTGTTTTTATTTACATTTTGCACAGCGTCACAGCCTTTTTGGAAATGGAGTTGAATATATATACACACATGGACAAAATTGTTGGTACCCTTCCGTTAAAGAAAGGAAAAACCCACAGTGGTCACTGAAATAACTTGAAACTGATAAAAGTAACAATAAATAAAAATTTACTGAAAATCAACTAATGAAAATCAGACATTTCTTTTGAATTGTGGTTTAACAGAATAATTTTAAAAAAACAAACTAATGAAACTGGCCTGGACAAAAATTATGGTACCCTTGACTTAATATTTTGTTGCACAATCTTTTGAGGCAGTCACTGCAATCAAGTGATTTCTGTAACTCTCAATGAGACTTCTGCACCTGTCCACAGGTATATTGGCCCACTCTTCATGAGCAAACTGCTCCAGCTGTCTCAGGTTTGAAGGGTGCCTTCTACAGACTGCATGTTTCAGCTCCTTTCACGGATGTTCAATAGGATTTAGATTAGGGCTCATAGAAGGACACTTCAGAATAGTCTAGTGCTTTGCTCTTAGCCATTCTTGGATGTTTTCAGCTGTGTGTTTTGGGTCATTATCCTGTTGTAGGACCCATGACCTGTGACTGAGACCAAGCTTTCTGACACTGGGCATCACATTTTGCTCCAGAATGAATTGATATTCTTGAGATTTCATTGTACCCTGCACAGATTCAGAACACCCTATGCCAGATGCAGCAAAGCAGCCCCAAAACATAACAGAGCCTCCTCTATGTTTCACAGTAGGTATGTTCTTTTCTTTGTATGCTTCATTTTTGCGTCTGTGAACATAGAGCTGATGTGACTTGCCAAAAAGCTCCAGTTTTGTCTCATCTGTCCAAAGAACATTCTCCCAGAAGCTTTATGGCTTGTCAATATGCATTTTGGCAAATTCCAGTCTCGCTTTTTTATGATTTGCTTTCAACAGTGGTTTCCTCCTCGGTCGTCTTCCATCAAGTCCACTTTGGCTAAAACAGCGACGGATGGTGCGAACTGAGACTGATGCACCTTGACCTTGGAGTTCACCTCTAATCTCGGACATCTTTGGAAGTTGTCCTGGGCTCTTTGGTTACCATTCGTATTTTCCGTCTCTTCAATTTGTCATCAATTTTCCTCTTGCGGCCACATCCAGGGAGGTTGGCTACAGTCCTGACCTTGACCTTAAACTTCTGAATAATATTAGCCACTGTAGTAACAGGAACATCAAGCTGCTTGAAGATGCTCTTATAGCCTTTACCTTTAACATGTTTGTCTATAATTTTCTTTCTAATCTCCTGAGACAACTCTCTCCTTAGCTTTCTGTGGTCCATGTTCAGTGTGGTACACACCATGATACCAAACAGCGCAGTGACTACTTTTCACCCTTCAAATAGGCAGACTGAATGATTACAAGTTTGAAGACACCTGTGATGTTAATTACAGGACACACCTTAGTTTAGCATGTCCATATGGTCAAATTATTTTCACTCTTTTCTAGGGGTACCATCATTGTTGCATTATTTTTTTTTTAATTATTATTTTACTTTTGTCAGTTTCAAGTTATTTCAGTGACCATTGTGGGTTTTTCTTTCTTTAACGGAAGGGTACCAATAATTTTGTCCGTGTGTGTGTGTGTGTGTGTGTGTGTGTATATATATATATATATATATATATATATATATATATATATATATATATATATAATTTAATTATCTGTTTACTTACTTGTTATTAGCTATCTACCTGTTACCTAGCTACCTACCTGTTTGTCTACATTTACTGTTGCTCGCTAATTGTAATCCTAAATCCTATTTTGGTGGACGACCACCCGTGACAGATGATTAACTAGCGCCCCCCATTTCAGCTCTAATATACTGGAATGACATAGTAAATCGTGAACAAACGTCTCGAAAGTAATGCATTAAAGTATGTTCGGGTCAGGTTGCAGTGCTGTTTAAGAGACGTTGGCTCTAAAAGTAATGGAAAGAAGCTGTTTTCCCACTATTTTCCTCCTGATGTGAATATAAACTTCCAGCCAATCACAGAGCAGGAGGTGCGATTCTGTTAGCCAATCCTAGCGCGGGGGCGGGGCTTGTTGGAATACGGGTGGGAAAAAATATAACGTGAATAGCGACCCATATTAACTAAATTCCATTTTTCTGCGTTAAACAAATTCAGCCGTAAAACACCCCGCGCAATGAATTTCATTTCTGCACGGCGTCCTCGTGCCAGTCATGCTAATTTAGGAACGCGGTTGAATGAAGGTTTCATTAACGTGTTTTGAGAGAGGTGCAGGATGAGGAGAGCCTAGTTTCAATGCTGACATGAGGACGACGGATTCTCCTTCACAGTCATGCGGATGGTTTGTGAGAAAGGAGGAGTTTGGTTATCTTGCTCTTAAGAAGAACAACACTCAGGCTAGAAGGCGACTTGGCTGGCGTTTACTTCCTCCGGCGAGGCAGCCTCTTAGCAATTTATATGATTTTTGGAAAAAAGCGCTTTTAGGGACTGAACTCTTGCAGGATCATTTAATATGGTCGTATTTTCATATGGAGCCTTTGGAAAGACACTCGCTTTAGAATAGGGTTATTTATCATTGTAGATGTGGGTTAGATTATGCAATAAAGTCATTTATGTGGTTACCAAACCAACAAATTATATTAGACAGAAGCAGGAGTGTTCTAGGGGAGAGTGCTGGACTGCAGTGGACTGCGTTTGGGAAGACACACTCGCTGTTAGTGCCCAATAACCCGTGACTCGCTGCTGTTATTAACTTCAATATAGAGGTAAGAAAAACATGCACTGTGCTTTTCTTTACTTTTCTGTCGTTTTTCTTTTTGAAATACACAGTGTCTATTAATATACATAAAGCGTTTGATGATGAGTGATGCTGGTTTGGTCCACTTAGGTCCTGTTTGTATGTGTAAATGACTAGCTATCTCCTAATTTACCAAAACTAATAGAATATTATTTGAGAATGTTGTTACGTGCTATTTTAAACTGATTTTTTTAATTGGCTGTGTGTGTATGTATATATATATATATATATATATATATATACACACACTTCCACATATATGTATGTGTATGTATGTATATATATATATATATATATATATATATATATATATATATATAAATATACACTTCCACAAATATGTATATATATGTGGAAAAGAAACATACAGACATGACACTGTGGGATGTGCTAAAGTGGATTCTCAATTTCTGTAGAAATTTGTAGAATTAAAATTAGTTGAAACTGTGGTTAAGTAAATATGATGCTATATTATTTATTATATCATGTTATTTAAGCGCATATATATGTATTCATTCATAATCATAAATGTGTTAATGTAAAATTAAATGATGTATGTACACACACACACACACACACACACACACACACAGGCTTTTTTGAGCGATGCTATAAAACAGGTGTGCCCAGTCCTGGTAGTGGTGATCTACCACCCTATCGGAGCCAAGTATGCTGGGTCTGAAGTTTCCAGGGTCGTAGATCTCCAGGACCAGGATTAGGCACCCCTGCTGGAGAACAACAATTTTTGAGAAAGTTTGAGAAAGAGATTTATGAAGAGAGAGTGTGAAGACCTTTTTAACGAAAACCTAACATTCCCAGAACCTTTACAATATGTGGAGGTTAGTGTTAGCAAACTTTGAAAGTATTCTTCACACGTTTTCAAAAATGGTTCTCTAAAAACTTTCCATCGAAAGGTTCTTTATGGAATCAAAATGGTTCTTCTGTGGCATTGCACAACGAATTCTTTTGACACCTTTGTTTTTAAGAGTACAGGCCTTTATATTTCATGTGAAACCAAAAAAACATTTCTTATATGTTTCATTGCTAGAGAGACCCCAGGCCCCTCCTTTGGCACCAAAGAGACCCGGTCAGGCTCCCCATCAGGACCATGAACGAGACGCTGCACCACCACTTCACCCCCAGGCTCCCGGAGCAGGGCCCCTTGACCCTCGACAACGGCACGCTGAACGGGTCTCTGGGTGACGGGAACGCCACGGGCATCGCGCAGATCATGATCCCGCAGGAGCTCTTCCTCATGCTGGGCCTCATCAGCCTGGTGGAGAACATCCTGGTGGTGGCGGCCATCGTGAAGAACAGAAACCTGCACTCGCCCATGTACTACTTCATCTGCTGCCTGGCCGTGTCCGACATGCTGGTGAGCGTGAGCAACGTGGTGGAGACCATGTTCATGCTGCTGACCGAGCACGGCGTGCTCGCGGTCACCGCGGGCATGCTGCGTCACCTGGACAACGTCATCGACGTGATGATCTGCAGCTCCGTGGTGTCCTCGCTCTCCTTCCTGTGCACGATCGCCGCCGACCGCTACATCACCATCTTCTACGCGCTGCGCTACCACAGCATCATGACCACGCGGCGCGCGGTGGCCGTCATCGCGCTCGTGTGGCTCGCGAGCATCACGTCGAGCTCACTCTTCATCGTCTACCACACGGACGACGCCGTGGTCGCGTGCCTCGTCACCTTCTTCGGCCTCGCGCTCGTCTTCACCGCCGCGCTCTACCTGCACATGTTCGTGCTGGCGCGCGTACACTCGCGCCGCATCCGCGCGCTCCACAAGAGCCGGCGCGCGGCGGCGACGAGCATGAAGGGCGCCGTCACGCTGACCATCCTGCTCGGGGTGTTCGTCGTGTGCTGGGGGCCCTTTTTCCTCCACCTCATCCTCATCCTCACGTGCCCCACCAACCCGTACTGCAAGTGCTACTTCAGCCACTTCAACCTCTTCCTCATCCTCATCATCTGCAACTCGCTCATAGACCCCCTCATTTACGCCTACCGGAGTCAGGAGCTGAGGAAAACGCTCAAGGAGCTCGTGCTCTGCTCCTGGTGCTTCGTTATGTGAACTAACTTTAAAGTAAGATACAATCAAGACTAAAAAAGACTTAAAGACATTAGAAAGCACTGGGCTGTTTGCGCACGTTGCGCACTCACTTTACGCATTCATTTTGCGCATTCACTTTGCGCATGATGGTTTATTAAAGCCTACAAATGCTAACTCTGTCCACGTCTTTAAATATATTTTGACGTCTAAATTTAGTCACAGCCTTTCTTACACAACACCAGCCGGAACTCCCCCTCAAGGACCGGAGAAAAGTGCCTGTAATGCAGCACAGAGGCCTGTTAGACTGCTGTGGACCTTGGATCTTCAAATGGATACTACACAATGCTGAATGGAGTATTCACATTCATACAGCTTTTGGCCTTCCTATGTATTTTCTATTCTGTTACAAAACAAGCAGTGACGATTATGCAGAGACCTGACAAACTGTGATGAGTTTTAGGACCACAGAGTCATAAGAACTTCATATGTTTGAGAATCATCATCGTCATTTCTATCATCATCTTCCTGTCATCTCAACGATTTGAGTGATTTTGGCAAATTATTTATTTCTGAATTTGTGCCTACAACTAAACATTAACTGTAAATGCTATATGTAAATGCTCAGTCAGTCTAATATCTGCCATGGTACTTGTCATATTACTTTTTGATAACTTTGAGCTGATCGTTCACACACTAAAAAAGTGAAGCATTGAAATTACTTACTTTTGGCAATAATTGTGATGCAATATATTTTATCCATATGGAAGTGATGTGCACATTTAAATCAAGTAAATTCAATGCACATTTTTCAGTGTAAAATCATGTTTTTGTACCAGGAAACAAAAAGATATTTTGTAAATCTAAGAGGATGTTACAACTTGTCATTTTGCTGAGAGATAAACATGTTGGTGAATGTTCTGCAGATCTTTGTGAGGTAAAGCAAACACAGGTCTTAAAGAATGCTTCACTGAAACGAAGACATTGAATTAAGACATTTTTGGAGTCCCTAGATTGCTTTCTCTGCTAATGTAATAATGTATTAATAAGGTAAACTAGTAAAAGAAGTCTGTGTCACCCAAAAAGACTTGTATTACTTATTAGCTACATTAGAGTTGCAGCTGCAGTATAAAGCTAAAGAAGAGTCAGTTAATCATCCCTTTAAGATGTTTCTGAAGGAAATACGTGTTTACTTTCCTTCAGAGCTAATGTTTCAAAATCATCATAGCTGCTGTCATTTCGCAACTATAAAACTGGCGAAGACTTCACTCTCAGTAAATAATAGTTCTCCTTATATCCATGGCTGGTTTAGATAGCTGAGGCATGCAGTCATGTGGTGAGGAAACAGTTTTGCCCTGGAAACTTGAAATCTATATTTGGTATCAAATTAGCTGTGTTACTTTGGCATTTGCCTTTGAATGTACATTTTATGTTCTGCCTTTAATTAAGGCGTGTGCTAATCCATTTGATACTGTCCTAAATATGAATTGTCCTCTGTTAGGCAGATTGTACCCCATCACAAGATGATGCTGTGGGCTACATTATTAACTGAATAAATGAATATCCATCCTATGCTGTGTGAAGGACATATGCATACATCTGCTTTAGAAAAAAAGGACCACCTGAGTAAGTGTTTTAAAGCACACTAGAAGTAGGCCTAATATAATAAGAACAGCTGATGTGTGAAAGTTGACCATTTACATAATTTTTGAAAAGGCAGTGGCTACTTCTGCCTGTAGTTTATGGTGATTTTAAGAAGTCATCTTAAGATTTTTTTTTTGTGAGAAGAAGCAAATGGATCAAAAATAAATAAATAAAATAATCAGCATATTGAAATCACGATGTAGGTAGTGGTTTGATGTAAAATGCTCCATTCTAGAGAAACCTTAAGAGTTACAATTGTTCACAGTGGTGGGGATCAGAACCAGACGCTTAAAGAGTTTAGTACGTATAAAAGCTACATCACAAGAAGTTGCTGCTTACAAATACGTGACCTAAAACAAATACTGGCCTAAAACATAAATTTTAAATACTTTCATGATGCATAGTTATGTTCAGGGCATTGTAAGGCAAAATAGCATTAAAAAAAAACAAGAAAAAACATTTTTTCAGATTTAGCACTAATTTACCATCATTAACATTACATTAAAAAGTCAGAAGACATGTAGGTTCACTGATCATTTTGGATAGTGAATATAATAGCTATATTTGTGTTGTAGACATCACAACCACTGATTTCTATCACCACCACTGTAAAGAAATCAGAATCGGTAAGTCTACAGAGAACCATTTCACATCAAATCTCTCTGAATGAAACTCAACGATTGAATTATTTAGAATTATGCAGTAATATCTTGCATGACACATGGTTATATTTCATTTGTCATGGGGTTGTAATGATCACACTTGTGGCCTTTGGAATGGATGTTTTTATTAGTTTCTCATAAAAACAGCGTTTATCAAAAATACTTTAGACCAGGCCTTATCAACACATTTGAAATACTGCTCGGAATGGATTAAATTTATCCCACTTAGCAAGGGGATCTGAATGACCCGCCATTATGTAAAATCCAATAAAACATCCCTTCTGTAATGGTTGGTAAGTGGAATTTTAACCCAAGTTGTTTTTGTGATAAGCACTGGATTGATGTACTGATGTTTCCAGCCTGGTTTTGATATTAGCTATATACATATGCATATGTCTATTAAGAGTTATGACTGTCTGTCATAGCTTGTAATAATTCAGTTCAAATGTGGGATGCCCAAGGCAGTGTAACACCATCATAGATGGAGGCAGGGCAAAGGATTTAGTCAAACAAAGAAAGGCTTATTCTTCAAATCAAAAGGTCTTATGAAACATGATTTTCAAAGCAGTGGTGTGCTCAAAGTTCATTTCATTCCTTTACAGTCTCTTTCATCCATTAGCTAGTGGCTCATTGCGACACTCCATGGATACAGCGTATAAGCTGATAGTTTTGGACTGACGCATGACAGGACATCAGACGTTTCCCCATAGTTTGAGGGGGTGTTAATAACAAATAGCTTTTGGATGGCTTAATAGCCTTTAAATGCACTTTGTATTGTACAGGAAAATATTTAGATCTCTTTATAACAGTAAACAGTATAAAATATTGTTGTAAAATGATTTAGAAATATATTTATTTTAAGCATTACACAGTGAATTCACTTGTGGGGTAAATGTTGTCATTCAGGCCTTTCTTTAGCACACCCTCTGGCTGAGCAGAGTGGAGAAAGTCCTCTGGGCTGCCGGGTATTTTGGGAAGATTTGTTAGCTGGAATGTCACTCGATAAATAAGCGCTTTAATTTTAACAACTAAGGTTTTGTTTTGATTATTCATAAGCGTCACACAGAAGCTTCTTGCAAATTACTGTAGCTCAGAGCCAGGAAAATGCTCCAACCACATTATTTGAATTTCATGTGATCTCTTTGAGATCTATGTTATCAGGGTAACGCGGTTACGTAGAACTTGTAAGGACAAAGTTACAGAACAAAATATCTGTCCTCCATGTCCTACTTAGTTACCATATGGCTTTGTTCATTGAACCCTACTGTAAGCAGAGTGGCCAGACAGTCATATGACCCCACTGCCAGTGGAATGCTGTGATTATTGTAGCTTTAATTACCTCCAGGATGCACATTAAATCCATTACTATGTGTGCACTGCATTCAGAGGGTGGCTAAAATTAGATCTAGGTGGATTTGCTTTGCTGCATGGGTTGTAGAAGCATTTTTAGGGTCACCCCAAAACTTACTGTACAGAGAGTATAATCTCAATTTCTGAACTTCCCTTAAATATATTGATATTATATGTAGGCCATATACATATAGCGATTTGCAGATTGAGAACAAAATGTACTTTATAATCCAGACCCTAATCTTGTACTTGCGCTCTCGTGCTTTGCGGCTTTCTGGACTATTATTGGGCAAATAATAAAACAAACATTTTGGTTCTTGCAATGTGTTTTTTTTAGTGTCTTCAAAATGTCTCTTGGCAGTTAATGAACTCAGACTCAACTCAGTTTAACACAAAGCTACTTCTGGCATTTATGCAGTTTATCTTTCAGTAACTCCAATAAACTTCAGTTGTTAGTCCTGTACAAAAACCTAATTTAATATAATCAGACTGCTTATGGTGATCCTGGGTTGAGTGGACAATTTAATAAGCTCCACTTTAAGCTTTTCAACACCTATTGTCTTCTCCTGTTTCCTTTGGAAGGCTGACATTTGTTTTTCTATTGCATTAACTTGTCACTTGAGACAATAGCATACTGTAACTGTGGTGATGTAGGCCATATGTCCTAATGGCATTACCAAAACCTACAAAATCAGCGCTTCAAGTAGTGCATACACCCGTCTTTAAAATCTTTTAAGTTATAGAAATGTTTCAAAGAAAAGCAATAAATATATGGGTGATTCCACGTTTGGGGCGCTACTGGTCTCCTACGTGTTCACCCCTGTTTCCAAAAACATTGTTGGGACACTGTGCAAAATGTAAATAAAAACAGAATGCAATGAGCGCAAATCACTTAAACCTTGACAAAAGTACAAAGACAACATTTTGAATGTTGAAACAGAAATTTTATTTAAATGTTTTTTGAAAAATATATGCCCATTTTGAATTTGATGCCAGCAATAAATGTAAAAAAAGTTGGGAGGAGTAACAAAAGACTGTGGAACATCTCACAACTAATTAGGTTAATTGGCAACAGGTCTGTGAGATGACAGGGTATAAAAAGAGCATCACAGAGAGGCTAAGTCTTTCAGAAGTTTTTCAGAAGATGATGAGGGGTTCACTCTGTGAAAGAAATGTGCAGGCAAATAGTACAAGAATTCAGGAACAACATATATCAATGTAGAATAGCAAAAAACCTGGAGATTTCATCATCTATGGTGCATAATATCATTAAAAGATTCAGAGAATCCGGAGAAATCTCTATGTAAGGGACAAGGCTGAAAATCAATATTGGCTGACTGTACAACAGCATGACTACTTAGTTACAGAGTCTCAGTGCTAAACTGACCTGCCTGCAGACCAGATCTGTCACCAACTGAAAACATTTGGCGCATAATGAAAGAAAAAATATGACACAGGAGACCCTGAACTGTTGAGTAGCTAAATCAAAAAAGAATAGGAAAACATTTCACTTTCAAAACTACAGCAGTCGGTCTCCTCAGTTCCCAAACGCTTACAGAGTGTTTTTAAAAGAAGAGGTGATGCAACACAGTGGTAAACATGCCCCCGTCCCAACTTTTTTGAAACATGTTAGCATCCAATTAAAAATGGGCATATATTTTTCAAAAACATTAACATTTCTCAGTTTAAATATTTGATATGTTGTCTTTGTAGTATTGTCATTTAAATATAGGGTTTAAATAATGTGCACATCATTGCATTGTTTTTATTTACATGTTGCACCAACTTTTTTGAAAATGGTGTTGTACTAATATGTATGTAAAGGTAAAAGACATTTTAAACATTAGTAAATAATCTGTGTGCACATAAATAACTTAAAACATTAATAACACCTAGGTTAGTCCCAGCAGACTGTAACCACACTTTACCTTGAAATATAATGATTAAAGTACTTCAAAATTTCTATTATTTTTGCATTAATGTGTAAATCTATTTGACATGCTTGAACATCTTTTTTTCCATGAATTATTCATTACAGGTTATAAAAAATGTACATTTTAGTTGTGTGCCTCAACATTCACCCAACCTGAACACATTCACCTCACATGATCAATAGGAAGCAACATCATCTAATTTCCTGAAAAATTTGGGAGGAAGAAAATTATGTTCTCTCATTCTTTTTCCTTTCCTGTTTCAACTATTATAAGATACTGACTGATAAGATCACTTTGTAAGTACAACCTTGGTACTCAGATTACAGATCGAATGAAAATTATTCATTTAAAAAAGTACAGTGGGATGTCCTTAATAATCTTGCATGGATGCTAGTTAACCTCATTTTGTGTATTTTCTAATTCAATGCAAAAAACTCAACTCTCTTACCTTCAACCTTTTTACTCATTTAAGCTATTGTTAGACTGTAAACCTTTTAAAAATAAGATATTGTTTTTCAGATGGATTAACACATTGTTGAATGGTTAAAAGCGTGTTTTTTTAGATTCCACGTTGAAAACCCCCGGGTTTGGGGGATTCTAGTGCGATTTGGCCACTAGAGGGTACTGTAGTTCACGTTATTAAAAAATGCACCAAAGATTGCTGTATTAGACCACTATCTCAGCAGGGGGCGCTGTGGTGCTTACGCCATATTCTGCCTTCCTAACCACTATTTTAACATGCATGGTGACTTTGCATTAGCAAAACTGTTCACTATTATCAATTTTCCTACATTACACCAGGATCACACATACAGAGTGCAAAGGCTGCACAGTAATAAAAAAACAACAAATATTCCAGTCCAGTAGATTCATGATAGTGAACTGAGTGCAGAACTCTGTAACTGTACAGCAATCGTGATATAATTTCATGTCATGTCAAACTCATTTCGTTAAAACACCCAAATGCATACAGTGCATTGATATGTACTGCTTGTGAGACTGGTGTGCAGTTCCTTTCTTCCAAAAATGACCGGTGGGCCTGCGCACACCAGTACATGCCAAAAGTTCTGTTTAGCAGCAATGTGGCAATGTAATGGTGAAGGAGGAGGTCTTTTCCATTCCATTCTAAGGGCCTTTTTTCATGACTCTTACACTTCCATCTCTGTCAGTGGTGGTCATTTGCATTTGGCTCTAGCTGTGCCGCAGGCCTGGCCACCTCTCTGCAGGTTTCAGAATCATTAATCATTACGTTTTCGTGCTTGACTGCAATTCAGTACAATCATGGCAGTAATTACTGTAATATCTCTTGCTTGTTTGTACTATCTCTTCTTATTTTAAGTGTTATGAAGGAATACAGTGGTGCTACTTCACAAAGTAATAGTATGCCTTTTGTGCATAAATGAAAGTTTAAGCAGAACTGGTTTTAAACACATTTATGAAGTCAGGATTCAGTATTTAATAACATACTAATTCATGACAGTAAACAACAACAACATGACAAGGACAGTCTCACTGATATAAAGCACTGCTCTTATGAAGAATCAGAGCTATTTGACTGCTAATGGCACCACATTGTGGGGAATTTTTGATCTACTAAACATGAGTGAGTTACAAGCCAGTTTCATGAGGAGCTTCCCACCTAAAAAGACAAGGACAACAGATACAACAGCAATACGATCATCAAACTCATAAGAGCTCTACTCTATTATTTAGATGCAATTAAGATGAACAAGCGCATTAGAGGGGGCTTGATCTAAAGGTTGCAGTCCTTAGTCTTTGCATGTGTAATGCAAGAGAATGATTTCTAAAGGAAAATTAGATCTTGCTTTGTGAACATAGCTTCTTAATGTACACAGAGTACATTCAATTACTCTCTAAATGGCTGGGTCCTCACCCTGATGTTGCTGGTGACTGGTGTCCTTGGGCGGCACCATCTGTGTCTGTTGAGCCTTTGAAAGGTCTGCACAATTAAGCACTCAACTGCATCTGTCCTCCAGGCCAGAGATCAATACATCATGCTCAGGGCAGGAGTGTGCTTATGAGTGTGCAAAACCAGTGGTTTCTTTAAGGAAAAGTTCAACAGATAGGAATGTAACGATGCACAAATTTTCAGATTTTATATTATTTCCTGATGATTTTGAAGTCAAGATTTGATTCAATTTTTGATATGTCAAAATTGTGATTGTGCAGAGCTTGAATGACAACAAACAGTGGTTAATCATAATTATTTTGGTTTATTTCAGAACAAAAAGATTGTAAAGTAGCATGTCTTTGTACAAAAAAAAATCTATAAACAGTACAAAAATAGAAAAGATGCTCCAGAAGCCTAGTTTTGATCAGTGATAGAGTTTTAAAATTCAACACACTGTTTTGAATGTTGATTTTTTTCTGTTTTTTGATTCTGTACTGAAATAGTTATGTCCTGAAAAGATACCATTTATTTGTCTGTTTTTCTCCTCTTTCTCTATCCCTATCTTTCTTCTAGCATTTAAAGAATCTGATATCAGATCCCACTCAAACCCCAGTAAGCTCTTTGCTGTGGGTGGGGTCACAGTGAGTCAGGGATTTTTCTCTTTTGTTGTCCCACCACCGCCATGCTGCCTCTGCAGTGTGTATTACAGAACTTGTACCTACTGTCCTGAGTCACACTTACCTCCATTCAGAGAGCTGCTGTGAGATCAGACAACAATGTGACTAAGAGGGCTGCGACTGGAAGAGTAAGAAATGCTGAAATAAGGGCTTGTTCACTCAGCAGTATGTAGAGAGAGGAGGATGTTGAGGCAGAGAAAATGGGGATTTACAAGAACAACTAGCACAGCCTAATGGAGATGGCACTGAATAATGTAAAACAGTATATTGTAAAGAAGTTGCTAAGAGCCAAGTCTTTATAAAGGACTAATATATCCGTTGTTTTGCCACTTCATTAAACACTGCTGCAAAATGTAGCCTCTGTATTTTCTACATGCTGCTCACCAGCAAAGACAGACATGCTTTATTACATATTGCAGGTAGAAATGAATTGAAAATAGTACCTGATGACAGAGCTTTGATCACCATAGTGACAGGCAACCCTTTCTGATAGAACAATGAAAAACTAACTTGCTTTATTTCCAGGGACAAGAGCCATTTAGGTGAACGAAATGCACGTTTATCTTCAAATATGAGCCACTTGGAGTCTGATTCTAATCCTAAACACCACATATCTGTATGCTGCTGATAGATTGCTCATAACGCAGTGGTGCTGATGTTGCTGCTCTGTCTGGTACCACAGGACCCAGACGGCCGTTTTCTCCGCTCTCTCGGATTGGCAGGTATCGGGTGACGTCACCGCATCCCTCTCTCTCTCTCTGGCAGACGGTGCGGTAAAGTCTCTTGGTGCGCGGTATAAAAAGCCTCGTCTGGACCGGCCGAGCCTTCTGCCGGCGATTCGGAGGAGGACACACACACTTGCCCTTTCACGGACACTCGCTGGACGAAGCAGGACAGGATGCGCGAGATTGTTCACATTCAAGCTGGCCAGTGTGGCAATCAGATTGGAGCCAAGGTAATGTTGCCCTCACACTTGATTTACTTTAAAATTGCCGCATAGTTCTGCTGAAATGACTCGTGGAAAACTCTGCAGGGGAACTGCACCCAAAATGCGTCGATAAGATCTCGATATTAGTTTATAATGAAGGCTAATTGGAATTCCTTAAAAAGCCCCTTCTTTTGACCGTTATGGACCCAACATAGGAAGACTGTTCTTGCTCTTTGATTTAGTCTCACCAATGTGCTGAAGTGGCAGCAGCAGACGTGAAAGACGTGGCAACGCCCATTCCCTTCCACTCATACTGAATGCAAGAATTAGCATTTTCTTCTCGATGACTGAAATCAGCAAAGTTTGTCCAGGAGCAACAGCTGGCGGAAGCGCTAATGAAAAATGAATTATTCCCGAGAGAGCAAAGTTGAGCTGAACGTGAAGCTGCGGAGTCACTCCGCTCTGTCGTCTTTTCTCCTCCACCCGTACTCCGGCAATCTAGGCGGTGTTGCGTCTCCTGTCTGCGCTTGGATTGGACAATAGTTCTCACTCACAAACAGTCCACCTATCGGAGTCTGATGTACTAGCCAATCCGAGCGCAGGGAGGTGTGGCTTTCCGGAAAACGGGTGGGAAAAAGTCCTGTGAGGAGGCTGCTGAAGTGGCTGAAACAAAGACACAGTTTCATTCCGTGCTGCGCAACCAGATGTCGTCGAAGATTGCTAATCTTACACCTCCTCTCTTCAGTCATTTATCAAGCAGGTCTCCATTTTAGCCTAAACGAATCACTTACAACGAATATTGCAATGAAATGAACCAGAACAATGGGCTGTGTGAGAAGTTGGAGTCGTTTGGTTGGGTTAATGGAGAGCATTTTCATGTAAAACTAGGGTCTTTTTAGGCCTTCCTTTCAATCACGGTAAACAAGCTGAGAGGGTATTGATTTACCTCTGATTTGTTACAGTGTGTAGAGTTTATCCCCCTAGGGTTCATATTTGTGTATCAGCTTATTCTAGATCAGCAATGAATAATGAGCTCTGGTTAGAGGCCTGTATGCGGTCCCAGCTGCTTTGTCATAGCTCTGAAATACTGTAGCAGATGCTGTGCTGGCCACATGCTCTGTCATTGTCTTCCTGTTGAGTCATATTATGCAGAAATAATTCGATACATTAGTTGGTTGCTGATACATGACCTTACTCTTTTCCGAATTCCCATTTTATCTGCACTGCACTGTAAACTGCAAAGTCATTCTCCTCTGCAGGTAACTGTTTGCCGATACCGTACGATTTGAGATGTCTTTAAGCTTCTGGGCCCCAGATTAAAGAGGAACATACTGAGTAGATTTAGTGGCTTTTTATTACTGTGCACATTATCCAGAATTATTATCCAGCAGCTCATTCTGAGTGCAGAACGTAATGATGCTGCAGATCATCAGTTTTCTGCACCCTAAATCACCACAACTTCCATTACATCACCATCGCCACAGTGCTCCGTCATGTAATTCAAAACAGAGACAGAGGGGAATATCCTGTATCATAGGCATATGTGAGCACCTTCTGCCGGAGAGACCGGGGTGGGGGTGGGGGGGTGGATGGGGTGGGGGGTGGATGGGGCGGTGGGCTGGGGTTTGTGAGGAGGGGGGCTGACATAATGCAGTGATCTCATGCTGTCTGTAGGAGGGCGGAGGAAGATCACTTAACTATACGCACATCTGCCCCTTCATTAATTTACCATTATTAGAACCACAGTACTTTTCCCACACCCACATACATGCTCTGATTTGTATTTGAGTATTTAAGTGGTCGCCACAAGCTGGCTTTTGTTAGTGTTTTTAGACGGACAACGCAGTAAGAATCCTGGCTGTTTTTGCTGTTGACATAATTGCATCCCTATTGTCCTGTTTTGCAACAGATATTTCAGAATTTTCAGAAAATTTCAGAAATGGCAAAAAGAAAAAACATTCTTAACTTTGATGCATGTTAAAATAATGAGATTTTATTCTATTCCAACTAATTTTGGACCATTTTGGTGTCCATCATGAAGTGTTCTACAAAACAAACTATTGTTTTCAAATTAATCCCCCTACCAAAAAAAAGGTTTTCACATCACAGCAATGGAATTACTTTTTTCTTTACCTATGTTATTAATGGCAACTGCTCTCTCTCTCTCTCTCTCTCTCTCTCTCTGTAACAAATTAGTACATGCCGCTTTTAAGAAACCAAGCCCAGTGATTTTGGGTTCCCTAATTACCCATTTAGATGGCAGGTGACATCTTTGTTGAACAGATAATGAGAGAAAGAGGCTAGGGATAAGAGAGGAAGTGTCTGGAGCAGTGGGTGGAGCAGAGATGTTAGACCTCTATGCTGGCCACAGTTCTGCAGAGGACAGAATCTCATGATGCCTATGTGCAGCACGCAAAAAGTCTTACAGCAACCATAGAACGTTTTTGTAAAATTTTAAATACCTCAAAAAGGCCTTTATTGTTTGAAGTATTGCCATATTATAAAATGCTTGACTGTGGTTGTCTTCCTGAAAGCAGAAAATTAGCATTTTTATTAATAGCACAAATAAGCATCTTTCTTTAACAATGGTAGGCTAACTGATTAAAAGAGTGCAAATTAGTTTCAATAACTGTGTAATGAGGGGATTTTGCCTGTTCTTGAAGTGAGATTTCTTTTTTCCTTTGCAGCCTGACAAGTGATCTGTGCTTTTTTTCTCACTCTCTTCCAATCTCTCTCTCTGTCACATACAAACACACGCACAAAGAGAGAGTGAGTAAAGGGGGACAGCATTACCATAGTGTGTCCTCATTGTCCTTGGCACGCTTTGGCTGGCAGCTCATGTTCTGAACAAATGTGTGTGTTTTTTTTTTTAACTAAACCCCAGCTGGAAGGCCTTCTATCAGAGGATTCCCGCAGTGAGACGAGCCTGTTGATCGGGATCATTGTGCTGTTTTCCAGTCATGGTCTGTAGCTCTCACCCAATAGGCACAGTTACATCAGATTGACTATCGGGTTTAAGACAAATTACCATAACCCAAATAGCATATCCCAATATCCAGGTCAGAGCCCAAATCCAAGCCCCAGTCTGGGAAACAGGTCATTTACTGCACCATTCATTAGTTTACCCACTGGTGTAAACCAGAAGTCTGCTTCTGTGCAGCGGTCAGTATTAAATCTTGAGTCTAGTCACATGATCCCACAAAGCTGTAATGAGGAAGTACATTGTCTATATCTTCTATCAGCTGCCAAGTCATGCCCTTGTAATTATATGCTTTTCTAAAAGAGGCTGACAGCACTTTGCCCACTCATAGGGGGGTTAAAACAGGCTTAAACAGAAATTCTAAATATATACACATCTATCTAACAACATTTTTCCATTATTTTGTTCATTTTGGTCCTTTTTTGCTCCATTTCTCATGAAATGTCTAAAAGCAACAATATATATAATATATACATACATTATTCTATTCGCCTCTTTTAGTAAAGTACCTAAGTTGTGACACTGTATAAAATCAGCGGCACACTGGGCAGAGACGTCAAATCTGTCCATCTTGTTGCCGTATTACTTCTTTGATGAGCTGCCTTGCTTCATTTCTCACTCTTTCATTTTGACTGAAGCCTCTTTTTCCCTTCTGCTGCTTTTTTGTCTCTCTCCCTCTCTACTATTGCATTTCTTTCTCTTCTCTCTCTGCTGGCCTGGTGCCATACCCCCCTCTGTTGTCCCCTGAGGACTGCTGTGTCTCTCTCAGCAGCAGTCTGACAGCCTCTCCTCTCTCATCTGTTGCCTGAAGATCAATCAGTTTCTAGCTCAAACTGCTGCAGCAGGAATATTTAATTAGCCCAGAGTAGTGGAGACAATACTGTAGCTTATATACTTACAACGCTGTTACTAATATACTAATATATAAAATATGCCTAGCTGTGATGGGAGCCTTTTCTTTTATTATCTGTGCTTCAGAGAGCTGTTTCATCAACATCATCAGCATTCATCATATGCATAAAAGGTTGTATAAGCTCTACTGATGTGTTGTGTACTGTGTTCTTGTGCAGTTCTGGGAGGTGATCAGTGATGAGCATGGCATCGACCCAACTGGAAACTACGTGGGTGACTCAGACCTGCAGCTGGAGAGGATCAGTGTCTATTACAATGAGGCTTCCTGTGAGTCAGAATGAGCCCTTGATTACACAGTGAAAACATGCAAAGATCCACTTAATTAGAACAGATGATTTTTTCTTGTTAATGACCTGGGGAATATGTGAATTAACTGTTCAGACAAATCACACAGGACCACTGTGTGATTTCTCTGCAGTAAATGTGGTGATTCTTTGGAACAAAGCTAAAGGATGGATCTGTAAATATGTTGGTCTTTTAGAGTCATAGAGAGTAACATTACATTAGACAATGCTGCACTGCTGGCTTGTTAAAGGACCAAATTTGTATTTTGCTAATTGCTATGTATTTGATACTTTCCAGCTTCTAAGTATGTTCCCAGAGCCATCCTAGTGGATCTGGAGCCAGGCACCATGGATAGTGTTCGATCTGGGGCGTTTGGTCATCTCTTCAGACCTGATAACTTCATTTTTGGTCAGTACAGAATGTAGACCTCCATTCCAGCCTACTCAAGTGAACACATCTAGAAGGCTTATCTGAGATTTAGTGCCCTCTAGTGGTTAAGATACAGACATAAACGGCCTCATTTGGTCTACTAAATGAAAGTTAAACTTTTAGCACACTCCTATAAAGAATAACTCCATGTAATTACTGAATAAAAATCCTTAGGATGTAATAAAAAGGTTTAAGAGGTTAATGTGAAATAATAGTTAAATAATAGTAAACTATTATTTATTATAAATAAACTAATTTGATATATTTGTAGTAGCAGAATCTGACAAGAAACTATTAGACAGGTTAAAACAGGTGTTTTTCTGCTGGTTTGTCTTCAGGTCAGAGTGGAGCAGGTAACAACTGGGCTAAAGGCCATTATACAGAGGGAGCAGAGCTAGTGGACTCAGTGTTGGATGTGGTGAGGAAAGAGTGTGAGAACTGTGATTGCCTTCAGGGCTTCCAGCTCACCCACTCCCTCGGAGGAGGCACAGGGTCCGGCATGGGCACCCTGCTCATCAGCAAAGTGAGGGAGGAGTACCCAGACCGCATCATGAACACCTTCAGTGTAGTGCCTTCCCCTAAAGTATCTGACACAGTGGTGGAGCCCTACAACGCCACCCTGTCCATCCATCAGCTTGTGGAGAACACTGATGAAACCTACTGCATCGACAATGAAGCTCTCTACGATATCTGCTTCCGCACCCTCAAACTGGCCACACCCACCTATGGCGACCTCAACCACCTGGTTTCGGCCACCATGAGCGGGGTCACAACCTCCCTGCGTTTCCCAGGGCAGCTGAACGCTGACCTCCGTAAGCTAGCTGTCAATATGGTCCCCTTTCCTCGCCTGCACTTCTTCATGCCTGGTTTTGCTCCTCTAACAGCACGAGGCAGTCAGCAGTACCGCGCCCTCACAGTGCCCGAGCTCACCCAGCAGATGTTCGATGCCAAAAACATGATGGCTGCCTGCGACCCACGCCATGGCCGCTACCTCACTGTGGCGACAGTGTTCCGAGGCCGCATGTCCATGAAGGAAGTGGATGAGCAGATGCTGGCCATCCAGAGCAAGAACAGCAGCTACTTTGTCGAATGGATCCCCAACAATGTAAAGGTGGCCGTGTGCGACATTCCTCCAAGGGGGCTCAAGATGTCCTCCACCTTCATTGGCAACAGCACTGCCATACAGGAACTGTTCAAGCGCATCTCCGAGCAGTTCACTGCCATGTTCAGGCGTAAGGCTTTCCTGCACTGGTACACTGGCGAAGGCATGGACGAGATGGAGTTCACAGAGGCTGAGAGCAACATGAACGACCTGGTGTCTGAGTACCAGCAGTACCAGGATGCCACAGCTGAGGAAGAGGGAGAAATGTATGAGGATGATGATGAGGAGTCAGAGGCCCAGGTCCAAAAGTGAAGAAACCTTTCAGAAGTAGCAAAATCCACCCCCATATACACCAACTGCTCTACAGCCCAAACAAGTGTGCTGCTGGCTAAAGTATCTCAATCTAATCTCTCTCTCACTGGTAGTTTAACCTTCATATTAACCATTAGTGCCAGTTCAAAAACAGTAGTTCCCTTTACTGTGCAATAACAGCTTCTTTATTACACTGTATTTGTTGTTGACAATACTGTCCACTGACCAAACTTAAATAAAGAAATGTTTCAAGTGAACTCGATGCTGTTAGCTGTGAATTCCTTCAAGTAACATAATGAAGTATCTTTTGTAGCAACTGTTGCTACGTTGGACAAGCTATTCAGAATGTTCACAAAATGAGGAATTGGCCCAGTTTTTGTAAAATGAACAAAATGAGTGTTAATTTAAAACAATGTTTATTTTGCAAGCATGTGAGAGGTCACGCTGTTCGGAGATCAGACACACTAACTTAGTGTAGTTTTTGAACTGGAAACTCAACATTATGTGTGCTACAATTCTCATAAATTGAATGAGATTACTGCCAAATGCTTTTTAAAGCTTATCAATAGATACATTTGTGGGCGGAGCCTGGAAGGTCAATTGTTTTTGGTCCCAACTAAGTGATATTGTGGAAGCATCCCCTTTTGCACAAAAGAATCAATTTAGTAATGATTTCCCACAATGAGGAACCTGATACTTAAATCCCCTAAGCCTCTGCTCTCCTTTTTCTGATATACTTGCTGATTTGTAATAGAGCCAACTAAGGACATCTTTCTTGCAGAAAATGAATAAAGTTAATACAGAGTTTCTTTAAAAAGGCCACCACTGCATGACCGGCCCATGAGACGGTGACCTAGATGGTGCTTAAATATAACAGCAGTCCCTGGAGGCTGACATGCACCTCAGGCAGAGTATAAATGAAGAACACAGCAAGAAGAGGGAACACTTTCTCAAAGGATCCCTTCCCCTCCCTCTTTTGGCAGTGACAAAGTGGAGCAGTTAGAAAGATCACATGCTGACACCACAGCAGTTTGCACAGCCTACGAAGCAGACACACACACAGAGCAGGCTTTGATAAGCACACTGACTCTACTGAAATCTTTCGATACATGGCATCCTTAAGGGATGGGCTTAATGCCTAGAGCTTAAACCCTGGTAGCATCTTTCTGCTCATGTACAAGAAAAAATATGTGTTTACAAATATGTTAAGTCTGTTTTCTCATCTGATAAACTGTAGCCCTTATAAATGCAGCACAAAATGGATCCATGAATGTAAAAAAAAAATCATCAAGCTGTAGCAGTATTTTCACACAAAACGTGTTCTCACATGTTTACTTCCACCTATAATTCATCAGTTAATCTCAGTATATTAAATTACGTTTTCCTTCCTAAATAACCCTGAATTATGCAGAACACGCTAGAGCTCAGAAAGTGACTGTAAGCACTCAGCATGATAAAAGGTAATTGTGTAGCTACAGCACATGAATCACATTACTGGACTAATTTCCTGTAATAAAGAAAAATGGCTGCTAAATCATTCAGGACTGCATTAACGTTGTGCCATTTAGATGCAGGAACAGATCAATGCTTCAAAGGCAGCCAAATGCCCTGAGATACAGATGCTCGCTGACACATACCAGCTTCAATGTGGTCAAAGTATGGCTTCAGTGAAAGTGGTTTGGCTCTACGTTGTTAGGCCTATGGAGTTCTTTACAACAGCTTCAAATGTGGTTCAGCAGAATGTAGAACCCTAGCTATCCATTTCTAAATTATCTGTTCTAATTTTATCTAGCAGCTATGAATTTATATCAGTGCAAAGCCTTGGCACCAATACCATTTTGAGCTTTGCCCACATTTTAGAGGTGGGCAGATGATAAGTGTTTATGATACTAAGTGTTTTCGACACTAAGTGTTTTCATCAAGCAGTAAACTCAATATCTAGACTTCGTTATGCTCACAAACTGAAAAAAGATCATAGCAAATAAAGGTACAGAATAGGAACTACTTTTGCCTCTGCCCTCTCCCTCTACTTCACACACACAGAATAGTGAAGGCTGCAGCCGAGGTAGGAGACACCTTCCTGGCACTGTAAACAAAGGCTCCTCTTCAGTGCTCAATCGGGTGCTCAACTTTTTTTTTTTAAATGTTTAAAACATTTAAAATGTTTATAAACATTAAATTAAAATTAAAATTTCATTACATTTCATTACCAACTCTGGTGAACAAGTATATCTTGCATCAGTACCTTCCGTTTTTCAAATGGTTTTGCTTTGCGTGAAGGACTGTGAATGACTGACCGGTCACACCAGTTAACATTTACACATTTGTACACAAAAAGTAGGGGCAGTCGTTGGCTGGAGGTTAGGGAACCAGCCTTGTGACCGGAAGGTTGCCAGTTTGATCCCCTCAGCTGACAGTACATGACCGAAGTGCCCTTGAGCAAGGCACCTAACCCCCAACTGCTCCCTGGGCGCCATGGATAGGGCTGCCCACCGCTCCGGGCAAGTGTGCGCACTGCCCCCTAGTGTGTGTGTGTTCACTAGTGTGTATGTGGTATTTCACTGCATGGATGGGTTAAATGCAGAGGTCTAATTCTGATGTGTTCAGACACAGTTGGCTAAAAAAAAGGTTCATTTCCCATCTTTTGTGTGCATAAGAAGACTTTTAAAAGTATCAAAATTGGTGTCTGGATATTAACGTCAGTACAACTTAGTATCGGTTTGAAATGACATTTCAGTGGTTTTTGTCCAGCCCCACCATGTTGGTCCCAAAATTTTGCGCTACAGCTACTGGATACTGATTGGTTGTCGAGCTGATCGGCTCATTGGCAGCAGTACAGCAGTTCACCATCACTGATTTCATAAATGTGTATAAGATCCTTAAGTAATATTTTCATGGATATGCACTCTCCTAAGGATTTTAAATCAATAATACCTTTATTTCTAATCAAGTATGTTTTTGAGAAAAGTAATCTACCTTTTACTCAGTTACATTTAGTTACTAATTCCTTTCCAATTCCTGTTTTAGTTCATGTCTACTTCCTTGCAATTGGTCACACCTCTGACTATCTCTGAAGAGTTACCATTTTATTTTAGACTAAGACTACACCTAAAAATAATAGCACCAAACACACTTTAACAATTTTCAAATTGCTGTGTGGCATTCCATAGGCTTCCCATTCGTTTTGGACTCTCTAATGAGTGCCCTCTTGTGGCCAATCAACCTGGAAGACATTACCAAGTGGCAGTTCTTCCAAAGATCACATCCTTTCTGGTTCTCTTCACTAGGGATTCCCTGGACTGAGCCTCTCCAGACACTTTTAAAAACGATGGCTAAAAAAACATTTTTAAGTGTGTAGGTAACAGTTTCTAAGACTGTTATAATAATGGTCAAATTTACTTGTGTACAGTCAAAGGCTCAGCACCACTGCTCCTATATTACATCCAATTGTTCTCAGTCACATTCAACTCACATTAAAATAAAAAGTCAAAAATCAACATTTCAGACATAAATATTTATTTTCACTTTAAAGCTGTACTATGTACGATTTTTAATTGAAAGGAGTAGCATTACTAGAAAGTTAGGAGGGAAAAAAATATTATATAGTGTACATGCGTGCACCCTGTAAACACTGAAACAATACGTAAGAGGTTATATCAGATTTCATGGGAATTTCATGGACAAAGTTATACATCTTTACATATTAACACGCGCACAGGCTGAAAAAGAAGGTCTGGTTCGATGTTTAGGGCTCGAAAGCAAAATCAGCATTATACTGATGAAGATATATGATGGCAATATTAGACAATTCACCTACATGCTCAGAAGACACATCCTTCGTTAAGGATTAAGAGTTCTCTTTCAATACTGTTTCAATGCGCATGCAATCATCAGATTTATCCACTTGGGGAAGGGGTCCAAGGCACTACTGATGTTATAGAAAGTTCAAGAGAAAACTTGAGTGTTTATTGATGTTTCTGAAACTCATACATTCTGGTTCTTTTATTCCAAAGGTTTGCTCTGAGTCTTTATTTTCTCCTCTCATAATCACGATCTTCTCCAGAAGCTTCTCTTCCCTTTTCTGCTCCTCTTCTGGCCTTTATAGCTATTTAAGATAGCTAATTTCCTCTAGGAATACATCATTGCAAGTTTAACATTTTTGTTATTATTATTATTATTATTATTACTACATACAATAGCCCTTGGTGCAGTTCTGAAATATGTCTTGTGTATGGTGAAATGTCAGGATATCTGATAAAGTTATCAATTATATGTACTTAAGTAATCATTTTTAGTATTTGTACTTTAGTTCAGCACCTTGACTGATTTGCTGTTTCTCACATGTCTTGTTTTCAAGACTTAGCATTTTATTTTAGACCAGAAGTCGAATGAAAACAGAAGAATAGCACAAACTTTCCTATGCCAGTCGTTCCCAAAATTGGACCTTTCCTGTCCTGCATATTTTGGTGTTTTATCTGCTCTAACACATCTGATCCAAGCAATCAGTAAATTAGCAGCTCTTTCTTGAACCTGGGTTTGTTACAACAGGTAAAAAGCACTAAAATGGGCATGCAATATTTTAGGACCCGGGTCAGGAATTCTATGTGAACGGATTACGTACAATAAGGGTGTATGACTGTAGCACAGCAGCGCTTAAGGAGACCTTTAATAATTTATTTTCTTTATTCACTTTTTTATTTTACTTGAGTCACTATTTAATCAAAGAAACAATATCTTTACATGGGTATGGTTTAAGGTACTCTAGCCACATGCACTCACTGCCACATTATTAGGCAAAATGTACCCTTTATACACACTCCTCATCTATTTATCAGGTCCACTTACTGTATATAGGTGCATTTTCTAGTTTTACAATTACAGATTACAGTCTATCTGTTCTTCTGCATAATTTGTTACCTCCCTGTACCCTGTTCATCACTGGACCCCCAGAAGACCACCAGGTTATTACTTGGGTGGTGGATCATTCTTAACTCTCTGATCATACTTGCTGTTTCAAAACACTGTATACACTTACTGTCCACCCTATTAGACACACCGACCTTGTTGGTCCACATTGTTATAGATGATAGCTCGTCTGTTGCTGGACACTTTGTGTGTAGTCCTTCATCAGTGGTCAGTTTCTGGCCAGTTTATTTTACTCTCTTTACACACCAGAGGTCACTGTACACAAACCAGCAGAGCAGACACACATTCACCGAGATGTTGTCTACAGCTCGGTGACTGGGTTAGTCAGAGCACTAAACATGTAATTTCACGATTTACGTTAGCGTTATGTTCCTGGTCGAGTTGTCATGTCAGTGTAAATATGGAAGTCCAACACTAATAATCTTTTAGCATCGCAGGAATAATGTCCTTACATTACTGTGCTGGTGTTAAATCAATATGAGGTAAGAACCTGCATGGCTGCATGATGTGCTGCTTGCTGCTAGCTATAGCTACAGCTTACGTTAACTGGGATAGACAGCGTTAGCTGATGGCACTACAACGGGTTATGACAGTTGATTATAACGCAGGATATAATTTAATGTTAGCACTGTCTCCTTCTACATGTGAACGTGGTCTTATTTCATATTTCATATGAATGCATCGGTTTATTTCGCCTGTTTTGCGCTCTGTGTGGTTTGTTGACATTAGCAGGCTAGTGCTAGCTACGTTAAATGCTGATCTCGCTAATAGCAGTCTCTGGCTAATGTGAAATAACAGTTCGTTTGTGGATACATATAATGTTAACGTACATGTACAAGCTCGTGACACATTAAGACATAGATTAAATTTCATGTTTAAAGTGTCTACGACTCACTTGTTTCCATCCATGATAAAGTGTTAACGTTAATTTACGTAACTAAGATACTGGCTGTGCCAGCAAGTGCAGGTCAGATGAGCAGGAGGACGGATTGGGACAGAACTCAAAGCCATTTCAGTAACAGGTTTTAGATGAAGAGGAAATGCTGTTTCCTACTGTGCTATTCTGTTTTAATAAGATGCATCACTGGTGTGATTGGATTTGTGGTTGTAACAGATCCCTACAAAATAGCATTAAGAAAACAGACCCTGTGATACAGCAGTTGAATAAACTGAACGCAGAGCGAAAGCATGTCCTCATATTATGTTCTAACATACACAAAATATAAACCCAGCAAGTTGAACATTACAGTTCATGTGTAATTTGCAGGGGTGTAACGGTACATATTTAATGTTCTGTATGGTTTCCGATTCAGAGGTCAAGATTGGATTTAATTTTCTGCATTTTATGTGTTAAAATGTCTTGACAGCTCTACTACACATCTCTAATTACATACAACACAGATGAGAGACTTCTATTTCAAAACAAAAGTCCTTGTGCAAAATAGTGATATCATGAAACAGTACAATTGAGCTATAAACAGTGCAAACCCTAAACTGCTTCATGTAAAATTTTACATTTTGATACACTGTTTTTGTTCTTTTTTGTGTTTTTTTCCATACTCTGAAGTTGTTACACCCTTATTAATTGGACAGTGGTATGCCTTTTGTTGTTTTGGCCTGAGTCCAATTCAGTGTGCTGAAATACAGAGCCAAAACAAAATAATTCATCACTGCCCCGTTACTTATAGCCTGCACTGTGTTTGTTTGTGAATTTATATCTGGCTCATAAAGGTGTAACCAGTGATATGGAATACGATGAGAGACTCGCTCGCTTCCGCCAGGGTCATGTCAACCCCTTTGATAGGGACGAAAACGATGGCACTACAGACAAGAAGGAAATCCCTCCGAAACATGGTGAGTGCATGTGGGAGATGGGGAGCAGGATGTGAAAATGCAGGGGAGTGTCTTGCAGTACCACTTTCTCTGTGAGGCTGCAAGGCTCATAGGTTTAAAATGATTAAAAACATTTTTTTTAGATGTGTTCAGATTAATAGATGAAGCTGTAGGTTTATAGCCTTGTGAATGACTTTATAATTAAGCTAATATTTGTGAATTCCTTCAATTTTTAAAGTAGTCATCCATTTGATACATCAGTCCAAACTTTTAAAACATTAGTACATGTTTACAGTTTAACAACAACATGTATACAGATTTTCATGCCTGAACTGATTTTGTGTTTGTCATGTGTTGTCCGACAAATCATGTGTTAAACCTCTAAGCACATGACTAAATGCCATTACTTTGTATAGTCCTGAGTTGTGTCACGAAACTGGAGACTTCCATCCATGTCTGCCGTACAAGTCAGTGATTCTTTTCTGCTGAGCCAAATAACAAACAAGGCATAATCGAGGAAGCATTTAGTCCTGTCAGTCAAACTTTTGTCTTCACTTCTTTTTCTATCACGTTCCAGTTTGGTTACTAATGAGGAGACAGACTTAACACTTGATAGATGTTAGTAGGATGTGAGAGAGAGAGAAGAGTGAACTGAAATAGAAACATAGTTATTGAAACAGGAACAGTGGTATTTCCTGTATTGTGCTGCTCTGCACTGTGACTGGTTAGATGCGTTTGTTGAGTGTCACAAAAAGACTGAGGGCCAACCGCACTTTACTAAATGAACTGGCACTGTTAGTTGGTTACATCTCTAGTACAAAGAGACGCTGGAAATTTGAAACCATGCTGTGCTGTGAGGTCTATGCAGGTATGATTCAACTTACTAGTAGGTTAATATTTTACTTTTATGATGCATGACAATGGAGCCTCTAAGGTGACATGGTGATTATTTTTCCATAAGGCTTGGGCACAAATTAATACGTTAAGGCCACAAGTTTTTTTTTCTTAATGAGTTCAGTTTCTCATGGCCAAAAAATACATTTTTGAGCCTCAGTATATTAATTTCAGAATGAGAAACTTAACGCGTGGCCCAGTACATTAACATCATATTTCTCATGTTCTCAGTTTAATTGCCTGTCTAGTCCATTTTTAGTATTACACGTCTGCAGTCATAGATGTTTACACCAGGGCATGATGTTTTTGCAGTCCAAAGAAGAAACGTTTGTCTAAAGGATTAGTTGGTTACAAGAAGAAGATACAGCCTTTTTTCATTTTGAATTGAGCTTAAAAATATTTGAGTTAGATTTTGAAGGTCTGCTCTCTATAAGCACATGACAAGGCCTGCATTAAAAATCCAGCTCAAAGTGAGAGTTTGTCTATAGTTTTATTTGCATTTACTGTTTTACTATTTATGGCTTTATTTGGACTTTGAATCTACCATTTACTGTGGTTTTATTTGCATTCCATGTGTGTCATCACTGGTTGTTACATGTCATTTTATGGTCTAGCTAAGTTAAGGATCCAACCTCAACTCTTATCACTAACTTTACATTTTCAGAAGACCTATTAACTCCTTGAAAACATGCTTTCTGAGGTTAATCATTATGCAAAGTGTTACTGTTACAGCATGTTTTTAGTGGAGATCTATGCAACAGGCGGTGTGTTTTTCAGTAAGTGGGTCTGCTGCTGTAGGCATGGATTACTTCAGCTAAAGTGCAAGGAGGGGATTAGGCAGTGTGTGATTTAAAGGTGGGCTAAAACGCTGAATCACTGTGCCGTCTCCACAGAGGTAAGGCCGGAGCTGTTCTCCACAGAGACCAAAAGCCAAAGCTCCGACCGGGCCATGGATCTGGGGCTGGCTGAGGACCACTTCTCTCGGCCGGTGGTATGTGCTGTACTCCTTTCTGCATCTTGCTAATGCACACTGAGAGGCTTTCATGCTAAAGTGCAATGACTTGCTGAGGATTTGAAATCTGCTTCACAGTGCACAAAGTTCTGGTTCTGCTTTTTCAAGAAGGGAAAACCACTTGTTTTTGAATGCAGAATGTGTGAATGTGATTTAAAGGCTACCTCTCAGAACAATAATTAATAGCTTTAGAATATCTGTTGAAATAAATCCTTCTGCATAGTCAGCACCTCACATCAGCAAAGTGCAATATGGATATGACCAAACATCCATGTACATAGGCATGTTCTTTCTTGATTCTTGGGGCAAGTGCATCTGTTAAAAATGTAAACTGTATGCTTGGTTTTGTATATTTAGTCATGTTTGCGCTCTTTACTTCTAATACTTTAAGAACACATACCAAAAGAAAAGAGATTTGTATGTACAGCATATGTGCTTGTGTGATTTAGTATTGATGTCGCTGAAGAGTGTTTATGTGTGCATTCAGGCTTCTTTTGTGGCCTCGGATATAGAGCAGCTAAAGCAGGCTATAGAGGAGTGTAAGAGGCTGATCTTGGAGCTACCAGAGCACTCAGAGAGACAGAAGGACACTGTGGTCAAACTCATTCATCTGCGCCTCAAACTACAGGAACTGAAGGTAAGATTGTTGTCTTTATCTGTTAGTAATTCTGGGCAGGAGTATCGGTCTGTCTGTCATTCTGTGTATTTTTTGAAGTGTGTGTTTGTGGTATTCACTTTGAGGCCATTGATTTCAGGTCATAATGAAGATCCTGTGTGTATACCAACCTGCATGTGCAGCAGTTCTGCTCAGCTGATTTCCTTTCTGAAACCATTTCAGCAGCTTGGCAGAAAGACTTGAACAATGGAGGCATTTTCCCCTGTTTATGTGTTCAGGCATCTCTTTTTTCAAATGCATTTTTGAGGTTTTAATTTGCATGCATTTGTGTAGGAAATCATGAAATTATGCATATTCTGTAAAATTTTCTGTCTCTAGAGTATTTAGGTCTTAAGAGTTCATTTTAGTGTCAATATGAAACAGATATCATAACCTCTAACTACTTTAGGCTGTCAGTAGGGATGTAACTGTGCATTGAGGCATTGATAAATCCACCTAAAGGTGGCAGTTGAATGGCTTTGATTTTGGCAGTTGAATGGCTTTCAGTTGTTTATCTGAGCATGACTAAGATAAAAATAGAAATGTCAATAGAAATGTCTGAAAAACACCCATTCGTAATTTCTGTGGTGTGATATCGCCCCAGAAAAGACATTGAAATTCAAAACACGGTAACATTTAATAGAAGAGATTACAGGGACACAAAAAGAAAACATGACTAAAAGAAGGGATAAAAATGGAGAAAACACTTCTCACCAGGTCAGATCCTTTATGTCAACCTGCATTCCCTTACATGCCAAAGCCAAATTAGAGCGAGAGAAAGAGATGTGCAAGGTGGGGGTAAGAGTACCCCCAAGCAGTTAAACCTTTGTGTACGTTAAATGTAAATTCGACCAACTATGCATACAATAACTGATTCATCACTTCAGATCTAAACTATAATAATGGATTGGTCAAGTTCAGTCAAAAAGATAGGGGAGGGCAATATGACAATATTTTATTTATGTCATGATAAATTTTGTTATAAATGTATTACAGTATGCCCTTCCGCCCAATGACAGCTGGGATAGGCTCCAGCACCCCACCGCGACCCAGAAGGATAAGCGGTTTAGATGATGTATGTATGTATTACAGTATGCATGTAATGTAAGGGGCATGTAGGCAGGCTGCATGTACTCAGTAGCTTCATTAGGGGCAATTCAAATAGTCATCACACAAAGGGGTCAGAAAACAGGCAGGCAGACTTGCACTAGGCAAATCCATAGGACCAAAACCAGGAGACAAAGCAAGGGTCTGAACATGGGAGAACATCAACGCAAAGAAATTGTGGCTCAGAACTCAGGTTTATTTATACAGAGCTTTCACAAGACACAAGGCCAAACGAAGGAATATGTGAATGTGTTGTAATTGAGTCCATAAACTAGCTGTAGGTGTGTGTGTAATGAACGAGGGGTGGTGCCAGGGAGGAGTAGGAGCTGGAATGTGCCATTCCAGTGTTGCCAGTTGGAGAGTATCAAAGGGGGTCAGACATTGTGACAATGCATTTCTGAGCACATTGTGGATATCATGTATTATGTATCATGGAAATGTCTTGAAGTATTATGATATAATGTTTTTGACATAGATATATATTGATATTAATATATAAATACCAGTTTCTCTGCCATCCACATCTATTATAGTTTGGCATAAACAAGTGCGTATCTCATATCTTCCTAGGTTTCAGAACCATATTCTCAAGACATAAGTTCTATATTAAAACATACACATTTAAATATTAGAGATAATTATTAACTCTTCGTATTTATAGTTGGCTATAATGATATTTAATAAAATATCATTTTTGCAAAAATAAAATTCTTGGTTTTAAATGTATAAATAAAAGATGTGTTGTTTTTGTCATCTGTATTCCATATCTGGGTACACTACAGTACAAATAGTTCCTTCACTCACATTTATGTATTCATTGAATATTTAAAATAAATAATCAATCAAATGCAATCTAATTGAATTGCTGTGAAATTTTAAATTTGAGATTTCATTTCAAAGAATTATAATTAAAATGAAATATTGTGAAGTCAGAGATTTACATCCCTAGTTGTCAGACATGCTCAGTATTGTAGCTCAGAGGGTGTGGTGCATGTCATCCAATAGGACCCAGAAGAGGATGAGCCCAACCTGCAGATTCTACTAGAACATCGCTTCTCTAAGGAGAAGAGCAAGAGTGTCAAACAGACATGTGACAAGTGTAGCACCATCATCTGGGGACTCATTCAAACATGGTACACCTGCACAGGTCAGACTGCTCAATGCCCCATTCTTCCTGCCTTCCACATGCTGTTGAAGGTAGTTTAAATGTAGATGGATATGTGGTGTTACAACTTTTTCTCTGTCTTCTTTGACAGATGTTAATAAATTCTGTTGTGTCTTTTTTTTCTCTCAACATTGGTTAATAATAATACACATTAAATACTGTGTGTTATGAGAAGGGAACACTGAATACAGAATACCTTTTCTTTATATTTATTTTTAAATTTGCTGTGCAAGTAATTTGTAAATTAAGGCATTTCTTTATTTTTTCATGTATGAATGGCCATTCGTTTTATTTCTGTTGTCTAAAACGCCCACTTACATTCTTTAAAGAACCTTTTCCCTGAAATGTTTCACAGGGGAACTAAAGAAGAGTTACAAAGCAATTACTTTATACTGTGTGCAGAGAATTGTAACATCCTTATTTCTTTCTTGGTTTCATGGCAGTGGTTGCTGGGAAAGACAGCTGTCCAGTTGTGTTCCTCTTTCCATTTTTTGGCTTGCTAACTAAACTGAAGCGAGACCCATATTTGATCACTTCATTAGTATTTTATTTTCATGCATGTTCATAATTGGTGATGTTTAATTAGGAAATTGTGTGTAGTCATATTTTATGCTGATATTAATAAGCTAATGTTTTTGTCATCAAACATAATGTAATTGAATTGAATCCAAACTGTAAACAACTCTCTCATGTTTATTCCACTCAGGGTGTTACTACCGTTGCCATAGTAAGTGTATGAACCTCATTACTAAGCCATGTGTGAGGTCTAAGGTGAGTCACCAGTCAGAGTATGAACTGAACATCTGCCCAGAGATTGGCTTGGACAAACAGGACTACAGGTGTGCCGAATGCAGAGCCCCGATCTCGCTCAGTAAGTGTTTATCATATCATTGTTGTGGCCAAAACAGGGTCTTTAGTGAAGAGACTGTTTTAGAGGGCTTGATTCAGGGCTGATATATTGCCAAGCTAGCTTGCGTGTAACCACTATTTAGTTATATTGTGAATAATTATGAATTTTGAGGATTTAATACATTTTTAGATAATTTTATGTTTTTTTTTAGTTTTTTCATCAAAACTTTGTTACTTCTTGCTAACTTTTCAAGGCTGTACTATAGAAAAAGAAATGTTTTTGATGTTTGTGGTGAGATGTCATATTGTGTCGTGCAGGAGGCGTGCCTAGCGAGGCGAGGCAGTGTGACTACACTGGCCAGTACTACTGCAGCAGCTGCCACTGGAATGATACCGCTATCATCCCTGCTCGTGTCATCCACAACTGGGAGTTTGAGTCTAAGAAGGTAAGTTTTTCAACTTCGTTTCCCACGGCCATGTTTGTGCGAGGCTTTAGTCAAATGGTTTGCACATAAAAAAAAATATATTTAAAGGGAATTACACCTATTTTTCAAAACTTCAAAAAGCAGCAAGGCAACAAAGCCAATGTGACACCGATACATACAAAACTACATGAGCAAAAGAAAGTACAAAACTTATGTGTCTGCATCTATAAAAGAGTTCACTAATAGGCGGACCACAACCTATAACCGATAAATTATGGAGAATTATTTAATTTTGATGGGGTGGTCCTATTTTAATCGGCGTAGCTTTTCTAGCCTTTACGGTTCTGCTTTAGAGGCCGGGAAACTCACAGACCAATCGCATGCGTTGTAAATATGACACGTGACGCTACTCAGCCAATCAGATCTGTGCATTACAACGAGCACTGAGACTCGAGTGAGTGACGCACACACACAGGGGAGGGACGAGGTGAGACACAGCGGTCGGAGAAGAAAGTGAGTCAGAGGGAAGTTATTTCACATGGTGTGCTCTAAAAAGAGAAAACTGACAATGAATGTTGTTGAAATATTACTGAATTGTACTTTATTTGATTTGACATTCAGTTGTTTGCTGTATAAGATGTTGATATACCTACTAGGCTGCTTCAGTTTACAGTATATGGCACTGAATCATAATGGAAGTTAGACATTATGATGTTCTGAACATTTGCTTGAGGACATTTTCTCTAACTGGACCTTATTGAATTTTAATTAAAGACCCTTGGTCTATAACAATAAAGACCAGTAGCACTTTAAACAGCTTTGAGCACAGGGAGAATGCAGGCCTCTCGATGAGCTTTGCCGGGCTGCTTTTAAAGTTCAGGTCCCTTCTCCAGCCAGAACTCTGCGCGATGATTGATTGTCGAATGGTAGATGTTGAGCCTCTAATGACGATTGACACTGCGAACAACATAACAGAGAGGAGGAGACATACGGGACAAACAGAGGCAGAGAGAGAGAGAGAGAGCGAGTGAGCGAGCGCGCGTGTGAGAGAGAGAGATACACCAGCCAGACACCCCTTTATCCAGCCCAAACACGTAACACCATATCATTTGCTATCCAAAACCACCAGTGAACCTACAAATGTCTTCTGAGTCTTTATATGTAATGGTGATAATGGTAAAGTAGTGGTAAATCTGGAAAATATGTTTTTTTGGGGACTAATTTACCTTACAACACCCTGCACTACCTACATGAATGGATTTTAAATTGTTTTAGACCTTAAAACTATCATAAATCTTCAACTTCAAATCATAAACTTCTCTGACATCAGGCAGTGTATTCATAACGATTTCATGTAATAAATTTATGTGAAAGAGCTTTAAGAGGCATTAAAAGCTTTGCACATCTAGTTCCCATCACCAGCACTATAATTCTGACTTGGTAAGTTTCTCTAGAACAGGAGTGCCCCATCCTGGTCCTGGAGATCTACCACCCTGCACAGCTTAGTTCCACCTCTAATCAAACACACCTGATCCAATTAATGAAGGTATTCAGGAGCATCTGAATCTGAGAGCCAGGTTGGATCTGAACTCTCCAGGGTGGTAGATCTCCAGGACCAGGATTGAGCACCCATACTCTAGAATGCAGCATTTCACATCAAACAGCTCTGAATGGCAATGTTTACATCTTTTTCACACCAAACAACTCCAAATGTCTTCATTTGCAGCTTATCCTTCAATTACTCAGAAATTTTGAAAAATCAGGAGAAATATCTGTAGTGGAGATGGGAGTCTGTTGCCAAAATAAAATGAACTGTTTGAAGTAAACTTGGTGATTCGTCATATATGTGAGACCGTGGGAAACAAGTTCTCAACTCACTGTTACTGTTTGAGCTGGAGGAACCACAATCTGGCTAAACACTCATACATGCCACAGTACACTGTGATTGCTGTCATAAGCCTGACCTGTTTTGCTGTGCACAGGTTTGCCGGTCATCCATGCGTTATCTGGCTCTTATGATCTCCCGGCCTGTGCTGAAACTGAAGGAGATAAACCCACTACTCTTTAACTTTGTGGAGGAATTGGTGGAAATCAGGGTGAGTTTTGTCTTTTACAGACATACATATTTAGACATACATAAAACTGATACAAATATGTTGTAACTAATACCATTCTTAAGGAGCTACAACTCTTTTGTATAGAATTATATTATTTCTGTGGACAAAAATAGTCAAGAATTAAAACAGACTGCACTAGTTTGAGTTAGATAGTGCTGACTAAAGACATGGCAGAAATTCACTCTTAGGTAATAAATGTAAAGCAAACCACTTCTAAATAACTTAACCTTAAAGCATTTAAACATCATGAATATCTCTCAAACATTTGTTTGCTTAGTGAGTCTCAAACAACAGTTTCCTTAGTGCCTAACAGTATGCATTACATTACATAGATTGAAAAATGTGTAGAACCTTAAAGGTACAATAGCCTACATTTTCCTGAGTTTTATGTCAGCTCCAGTGAACCAAAACTTCTGTTTTATGAAAATCTAGTCATAATTATGTATGTGTGTAAATAACCTCTGTTCTCAATGGCTGCTTAATATTTTGCCTCATTCAAAAAGCAGTCCAGGGTGAATAACTTCACCATGAATGGGCGGGACTAAACTGATATTGGCTGAATAAGCATTTACATGTAAATGAGTTGATTTTCTTAACATCACAAAATCAATTAATTCAAAACAGGCTGTTTTTGCAGCCTACTTTCCATGTGTGGCCTGTATAGTCTGGGGAGAGAATGGTATATTTCGAAACTTAAACAATGTTTACGTACTAAATCATACTCATAAACATACATACATTTATACATACATGTAGAATAAATAAATGAAGTCAGTTTTCCCTGTTATGGGCCCCTTGACACTGGCCAATTTTATCAGCCAAACATTATATTAGTTGGATTCTAGTCATGAAACTTTATGTTTTTATGATCTATAGAAAATATGGCGTCCTGTTCCTAGTTCTCAGACTAGAATGGCAACAACGGAAAGAAAGTTATCTGATTGTTGTGTACTATACTGTGATTACTGTTTTCTTCCCTGATTATAGAAGCTGCGTCAGGACATCTTGCTGATGAAGCCCTACTTTATCACCTGTAAAGAGGCTATGGAGGCCAGACTGCTGCTGCAGGTTGGTGCTGTTGAGAAAAGAAAAAGTGTTATTGACTATAGTGATTCCTAATTTGTTGTGTGTGGAAATACTGGTAAGGGAAGAAGAATCTATTACCGTGCTATCATAGTGGAATTGCAAAATGGGAGTTAACTGTACATGCAACAGTGGCGCCATCTCTTGGTGCTGAGAAGAACTAAACTGTGACACAGTGACTGCCATTATCATTCACCTCTTTTTACACATGGGCCATGTGGACATGTAATCCATGAACTTTGTGTTTGTGTAGAAAGTTTAACACTGTTATGTAAGCAAAATTTCAGTGTAGAATCATTCAGAGCAGGAGATATTACCGCATACACAGTAGAAATAAGAATAAATAAGAACAATAAGAATTTGCTTACTCCTTCTTACTGTAAGTAACGAGTCATATAAGCAAACAGAACTTTTAAAATATACTGAGTCTAAAATATGAGCTTGCTTTCTGTGGCTCCGTTTGAAGAAAGTTGCCCACTGAAGGCAAAAATTTCAGTAGTCAAGTATTTCCAGTAGTTGTCAAACACAAATTTGAACAAGTCGCAACAACTTGCATGCTATACTGTTGCTTGTCAGATCAAATCTTGTATGCCAAAATGGTAACTTTACAGAAGAAGGAAATAACATTATTATGTCAGTTAATGTAAAGAGATTTTATTCCGAATAATTTTTGACCATCTGTGTTGGTCTATTCATCCTGAAATTTTCACATAATGTAAAGGCCAGCTGGCATTTCCAAATTATGTCAAAAAAAAAAGACAAAAATAGAGATCCCCTACAGTGATGAGACGTTAATTTGTGCAAACTTAAAAGTGATGTTAAGCACACAAGCTGAAAAGGCAAATGACAGGCAAGCACTTAACGATGAAAAAGGGGAAAGCAGTTGTTTCAGAATTTGTTTTCCTATGAAAGTAGGGTTATTGGAGGCACCAAAAATAGACTTCAAGTGAAAAAATGAGGAGGGACAAAAACCAGAGGACAGAATTTTTTTACCACAGCACATCACATTCATGTGTATTTCAAACATCGTAAGAGCACCATTGCCTTAACTTGTGTCTGTTCATACACTTCTGGCTTAGCTTCAAGATCGGCAGCACTTTGTGGAGAATGATGACATGTACAGTTTACAGGACCTGATTGATATCTCCAGCGGTCGTCTCAGCTGCTCTCTCACTGAGATTCACACCACCTTCGCCAAACACATCAAACTGGACTGTGAGGTGGGTAAATCAGATGTGTGACAGTGGTGTACTCTGGAATTCACTGAGTATAACTCACTATTCAGAAGGTGCTTGTTTCTTTGTTTTTCACATTTATCATCAGTACTCTTCATAATCATAATTAAAAATCATATTTATATTCTAGAAGCATATTCAACAGATGCATTGAATTCTTAATAATTGAGAATTTTCATAAGAAGCCCTTTTGAAATCATCCCATATCATGCTTATGTGGATCTTTACACAATTCATCACTTCCTTAACTGTACAGTATTGCTCAATAAATTGTTTACTTGTGAAATTGCACATTCCTTAAATGAAGTCACTTGACTCAGTACTTTCTGCAGATCATGCAGAAAACTAGCCATAGTAACTGAATGAATAATACATACACACTCTTGTTATTATTACTTTTAGTACTGTTTTATTCATCACTCTCCTCGTCTTTCTTTGCAGAGATGCCAAGCCAAAGGTTTCGTATGCGAACTCTGTAAGGAGGGTGACATTCTTTTCCCGTTTGACAGCCACACCTCTGTGTGTCATGACTGCTCCGCTGTTTTCCACAGGTCGGGCTTTAGACATCTATAATTATTATATTTAATTTAGCAGTATTAAATTTGTTAACGTGTTATGGAAATTGTGATTTACCATATCTAAAACACATAATACTAGCTATATTATAACTTATCAAAAAATGCTTTGGGTCTGACTGATCTATAGCAACCTAGAAAAACCTTTATCTTTTTTTTTTTTTTATTACTGTTGGGACACTAACACAAATGCATGTCATATTTTAACCCTAGACTATCAATGCTAGTCCTGGAAAGCCACCACCCCTGACTCAAAATTTAAATAACATTCTGCTAGGTATTGGTTAGAAAATCCAAAAATTTAGTTAATATGTAATAATGATGAATTAATATGTCAAAAAATATTGCCTCTTTGTAACAAAATGTCTGAGATAGATTGTAGACACCATGAGAATTCCAAAATCAACTATGAAAATGTACTGAAAAGAGACAGGAAGTGTTCAAAATGTGCCTTGAAGTGGTTATTCAAAAGTGAGAATCCCCCAAACCTGGTTTAGCATCAGTTATGCAAAACTCATCCACTTTATGCCTAGAGGACTTGATGATGTTGTCATCCAAAAAAAGGGATGTGCAACAAAACACTAACCTAAATCAATTACTAAATACTAACTATATAAAGAAAAGACACAGTAATGTTTGTCTCTACTAATGTTAAGTACTTTTACTCGCTTTTCAATGAATCACCAGGATCACTGAGTTTCAGTAAGTAAATCTGGTCACTATTGCTAGTTGTTCTACGTTACTTTTAATTTTAGCTTAGAAAGTGACAAATAAAGAAGACATAAATTGTAGTCAAAAAGTGTCTCAAGGCTACTTTTGAGCACTGTGTAGCAGTTTTAGAATTATTTTTGACTAATACCACTTTTGTCCACTAAAAGTCTGAAGCTCTTTTCAGCAGTTAATTCTTGATTTTAATCAACACTTCAAAGTTTGCATTAGTCATAAGCCAACCATACACAGATAGCACATTTGCATTGTTATAACATCTAAACTATGTAAATCTGAAGTTTCAGTACTGTTGATGTCATTGCCACAGTGTTTTAACATCGTTTTTTAATTGGCCTTTGTTAATTGCATCTACAAATTAGACATCCTTACTACTTAAACATTACACTGTAACGTGTTGAAATCCGGAAAACTTACATAATATAGATTGCTTTCTATTTGTCCCTCACTTTTACCCAGCTCTCATTAACTGTATCGGCTTGTTTGAGCACATTGTGTGAAAGGCTTTGCAGACTTGGTGAACCAGGCTTATGTCAGATGTTATATCAGATACTTACCTTGTTTAATGTGCTGTAATTTTCATTGAATAAATCTTACTCTATAGGACGTCCAGACACTTTTGAGTTGTTTTTTTATTCTTATCAGTTATTTGCTTAAATTCACTTGTTGAGCAGCAGACAAGAAATATTGGTGAAAGCAGTAGTGATTATTACTACAGTATAAACTATCTCTGAAGTTATAACTTTGCCTGACCTGCACTACTTAGGTGATACATTACATGAATATGATCAAATGTGCAGTATGTTACAGTTCACTTAACTTCAAAAGTAAAATTAAGTTTTACCTCTGTTTACACTAGAATATGTAATGAAAAAGTGTCATTAGTAATACAGCAGAACCATGAAAATGTACTTACTTGTTGATGCTATTTTAACACCCCTCAGAGACTGTTACTATGACAACTCTACGACGTGTCCACGGTGTGCCAGAATGACGGAACGTAAGCAAGAGGAGCCGGTGGAGCTGTAGCGCAGCAGGCTGACAGTGGTGCGGATTGTCACTGTGACAGCACTAGATGCAGTGCTAAAACTGACACTATGAGCATGCTTACTTTACAGGACTAGAGCATGTCTGGCTCTTCTGTATATTTGGCCTCTCTTTATTTGTTGTCTTAATTGTTGTCTTGTGCTTTTGTGCCATGCTTGCATCTCTGATGATTTGCCACACTACAGCATACACCAACCGGCCACTTCAGCAAGTACACCAGCCTTGTATCTACACTCATTGTCCATTTTATCATGTCCCTTTACCATATAGGTGCACTTTGTAGCTCCGCAATTACAGATTGTAGTACATCTGCTGTGTCTGATCTCATACCGGTCAGTGTCACTGCAGTGCTGAGAATGATCCACCACCCAGATAATACCTGCTTTGTGGTGGTCTTGTGGGGGTCCTGACCATTGAAGAACAGAATAAAAGAGCCTAACAAAGTATGGAGAGAAACAAATGGACTACAGTCTGTAATTGTAGAACTACAAAGTGCACTTATATGGTAAATGAAGCTGATAAAATGGACAGTGAGTGTAGATACAAGGAGGTGTATTTAATGAAGTGTCTGGTCAGTGTAGATGTTAACTTGAAGGCAGAAAAGGCACTGAATATGAGTTGTGGCAGTTGAACATACTTAAGGACCTATAGGCCTTATTTGCACACATGTATGCAAGTTATACTACTATCTAAAAAAGAATGCTACAGGTGTTGTGAAGATTTGAACACAGTTCAACACCTTGTGTTTTGTGAAGGTTTGAAAGTTAGTTCCCTATATAACTGCTAATTATAACCTAACTGTATGTATGGGTCTGGTGTATGGTTAAAATCCATTTATGGTAGTGTGTCATAATATATTTCTGTGTTTATCTCTATTGTGTATCTCTATGGACCTGGCAGTGTTTGATACATGTTACAAAATAGCGCAAGCACAAGATCAGCACTAAAAGATTTCCCTCATATTATAGAACATTATCAACATTATGTTGTCATATGACTGACAAATGTTGCTAAAGCTGCAAAAGACATGCTGCCATATTTGGCACATTAATTTAGACAGTAAATTTGTTACTGGTATGCCATTTTTTTTGTTTTATTCAGTAAGTTTTTTATTTTGAGGCTGGAGATTCCTCAGAATGGACATTGTTTATGCTCTCTATAATTATTTGTTCTAAAATAATATGGAATATGCTGTGTTATGTTTCAGCATGTTATTTAATTGCTTGTTTTCCTGTGACAAATGTACCAGAGACCTTGTGGTGTCAAATGTTGTGGAGTTACATTTACATCAGTAAACTGTAATGTTGATTACATCATGATGTCCAGCAAGTAAAATAGTAGCAAACTAACAACAATAAATACGCTCTGGCTATTTTTAAAATGAATCAAAATATCTGTCATAGTCATAAGTTTTAATACCCCTGATCATGTTTTGTTGATTTTCTAAGTGAAAACATCCTCTGACGAGAACAGACTTATATTTGGATGTTTTTTTGCATGTTTTATTGCAGTATTTCTTTTTGTTTAATGAGTTTAACATATAGGAAAAAAACAAAATATAAAATGTGCCATATCTTTTGCACAGACTACATTTTAGGTTTTATTCTTCTAATATTTTAAATTCAGCAAATAAACAGCAATTGTTCATTAAATTGAGTATGCATACTAAATACTCAAACCATATTGTCAGCACTAGCTGTAATAACTTTTTTTCATTGTTTTCTGCATTTGTGAGTCTCGGAAATGAGATATTCAGTGCCGAAAAAAATGTTCTGCCATTTCTGAACAGTATGCTAGCTACTCTTTCCTATGGGTTCAAATCAGGAATTATTTTTTCCCACACTCAGTGGATTAGTTCAGTGAGTGAGTGTTCAGTAGACCGTCTGGGCTGTGAGAAAATAAATATTGGCTTGGAGAAAATTAGGGGAAAGGGTAATACATCTGAGAAAATTACTCCATGCTGGAAACGTGACACGATTAAGTAATCTTTTTATTCCTTAGTTAGGTTTCCCAATTCATGTGAGATATTCGTGACAAGTTAATTACATTTTTTAAATTGGAACAATAAGAACATGTATATACACATGAATAAGTAATGATGGTGTTCATATAAAGGATAATAAAAAAAAACATCAGATTTGGCAGATTTGGTAGCTAAAACATGGAGAGTATATGGTAACTGGCATGACAATATATGTAATAGAGAATTCAATAATACTTTATGTCAGGTATTAATATACAGCACCAAATAATTACAAGCAAGTAAAACATAAGCATCATTAGTATATGTGTAAAGAAAGATTAAAAAAGGGTAAAACAAAACAAGAACAGCAGGAGATGTTAACACTTACAGAATATAGGTAAATATTTCTTTGTATCTTTTTAACAATAACATGCTTTTTTGCATTTTAGCGTTTTATATAAGTTAAATGTAACGTTAAATAACAGCTTGCTCTGTTTTTGCGCTATTACGTCAGAAGTGGCAGCCAATCACGGCTGAGCAGTAGGCTGGGCCTTAGAAAGGCTCTGTGCCACTGTTTGGCTGCCTGCTTACAAAGATTAGCCTCAGGGAAAATAAAGCGTAAAATTACCCTAATATTAAATTCACCGCAGACGGATTGTAGTGTTGTGTAACACCGAGTAATGTTAGGGAAGTAAATAAAAAGGATCTAAGCCGCGTACTCAGTACGGTTATGCGGTCTGAGCAGGCAGCACCCAGGCGCCCTCCAGCATTTGTTTACTAACGGTGTGTACACAACAGTACAGAGGGGCTTTAATTATTTTGTTTTTTATTCGAGAGTGTCTTTTCCCTCGTATTTACGAGGAAACTTTATCGCAGCTGTAAAATGGTTCGGCTCATGCGGTTCACCACTGCAGGCTCCACGAAGTTTTGGGCGGACTCCTGGAGGAGAGCGAGCTGTGTGTTCAGCACGAACACCGCAGCTGTTAGGGTGAGACTTTTTCTGTAGTTTTGGAAGTGACCATCTTTCCAGGTTAGCTTTGCCTGCGCTCTGTCTTGATTTTGAGGGCCACACTAAACCTTTACCTTACAAAACGCACATTTAATTGTCAATGCAAACATTTATAGTTATGTTTATTGTTTTGTTCTATTTAGAACTATGAGTTAAATGGTTCTTTGAATGGTGAAATGGTTGATGGAAATTGTGTTGTATATGGTTCTATATAGAACCTTTTTGAAAATGGTTCTATACAGCACCAAAAAAGATTTTTCTATTGTTACAAGCAATAGAAGAACCTTTTTGGTCTCACTGAAAGATCCGTTAGGCATACTGTTGGGACATAAGTTTGTTGATTCTTGACAGCAGAGGCTTTTTTCTGGCACCCCTCCAAACAGCTTTACTTTCATGTGGGTAGAATCTTATTGAAGTCTGGGAGATGTTCTGACCCCAAGACCTAACTAATTTCTGCAGTTCCCCAGCTGTGATTCTTGGAGATTCTTTTACCGCTTGAACTGCCCCTTTCCACTGTGCGTGGGGTCAGTATAGACATACATCCTCTTTCTGGCAGATTCTTAACATCTCCAGCCGCTTGAAACTTTTTAATTATTGCCTTGATGGTGGACATTGGCATTGTAAACTTTTTAACGCTTTTCTTGTAGCCATTTCCTGATTTGTGCAGCTCAACAACCTTTTCTCGTACATCGTTTCTGAGATCTCTGGTCTTTCTCATAGTAATGGATGACTAAGGGAATTTGGCCTGTGTTTTATCTCGTATAGATACACCAGTGAAACATGGTTGACCATTTAAGTATTCCTAATAGCTCAGGTAAACTTTAAAACATAAAATATGAATGGGAATGTACTTCACTCATGAGAATCCGTAGGGGTGCCAACAATTGTGGCACACATAAATTTGAGGAAAATATTTATTTCATGATAAGATTTTTGTACTGCAAATAAAGCTTTGATTTTTGTTAATATTTTGAATGAAAGATCAAAAGGATAAGCAAATGTTTGTTATATACTTTGAGTCTGTTAGATCTGTACTTTCAAAGTGACATTGACTGGTCAGATTAACATTAAAAACAGAGAAAAAATCAGGCAACTTACTTTTATTCTTCCCTTGATCTTTAGGAAATTTGGATAATGCAAACTGATTATGTGAATTTCAGATATTTCTTAGAAATGAATGTGTTTAGGTAACAAGGTTGAATTGAGGGCACAACCACAGTGCCCATTTTTCATAACCTGTAATGGATGATGAATGTAGGGTGTTCCAAGCATGAGATGTAAAATAGATTCACAAATTAATGCAAAAATAATAGGATTTCTGAAGTATCTAAATTGTTACATTTTAATGTAAAGTGTAGTTATACTGATGGTTTCTGTAGATAGGTATTAATGTTTTAGCTTATTTATCTGATACAGGCATAAGGGTTGTTGTGAAGGACACTTTACCCATGTACAAAACCAAAATCTTTTACGTGCATATTTTAACGTGGACTATCATTGGGACACATGGCACCCCATTTGTGGAATCACTCATAAACAAATGAGCAACATGTTGTTTGTCCATTAATGCTTTGCTCCTGAGAGTTGCTGATGTTTAACAGCAAACATAAACATTAATATTTTTCCTCTCATGTCTTCACAGAATGTTTCTCTGCACCGAATTAAATTAAGATTGGGATCAAGTGAAACATTGCCGTCACATTTACGTGCCTTCTCAAGCAAACCACCTAAAGGTATTTTTCATAGCACATATATTGTCTGTTAAACCCACTTACAAGAAACAGTAGGAAATATGGAACCACTATAATTGTATTTAATGCATTTCTTCATTCAGGTTCACCAAATTCATTGTAATTCTTTTTAAGACTTGTTTTTAAAAGTTCTTTACATTTACTCAGGATTTGAGAAGTTCTTTCCAAAGAGTGCAGGCGCCCCTGGTGTTAATAGGTCAGCTGCTGAACGCAGGGGTAAGACTGTCTAACTACGACTGTGAGACTTTTAGTCAGTTATGAGTTTTGCAACATCCTGCCACTCTTTTATTAAATATTATTGCTCTTGTTTTATTATGTGAACTTCTGCATGGTTTAGTGAAATCAAATCAGCCAGAGGCCCAGGGAACGAGAGGTGGAGCGAGTGGAGGAGGAAGAGGTGGAGGTGGTAAAAAGGAAGATGACACTCGGTGGTCCCGCATCCTTAAAGTAAGTTTCCCTCTTTTAATTACTGTAGCCTACTTAGTAAGTAGTATTTTCCTTTAAAAAATAAAGTAATGGAAAATTGAAATCACAGTAATGGACCAATGCTGATAAGTAGACATTTCATAAAGTGTGAAAATTGGGACTAGGTCCACCCGGATTTGCTTTACAGAGCTCAATTGTATATGATTAAGAATGCAGTAAAATAAATAAAATTCACCCATTTTACCACAATAACCCACTGTCACCTGAACATTCTGCTCTTCTGGCTTACAATAAATACATAATCAAATATTGGTTTGAACTTAGTCAAATCTAAACTTTATAAATCAGTAAATGAACTAAGAGTCTCTGTTTAACTAAATCAGTTACTATTTTGAGTGATTAAATTTGGCAGCCAGTGTAGGCACAATCTTGTTTTTAGACATTTGTTACAGCAAACAGCTTTGTAATACATAAACCCCAACCCCCTACCCCTGCTTTTTGATTATGTAATAGGGAGACTTCCCATGGGATGAGAAGGACTTCCGGAATGTCATCATTGCAGGAGCTGGAATGCTGTCAGTGTTCCTTTATTTGCACTTCAGAGACACAGGAAGAGAGATATCTTGGAAGGATTTTGTTAATTATTACCTTGCCAAAGGGCTGGTAAGAAACACTTACTTAACACTTTTACTTAAGGTTAAAACTTTGACATTATGATTTAGAGAAGTTAACTCACTTAATTTCATGCAGTAAATGGTGAACAGTAAATTGGAGATATTCATACACACACAGTCACCTTGCACCAACCCAATTCTGAAAAAGTTGGGACTGCATGTGGAAAGCAAATAAAAACAGAAAGCAATGATTTGTAAATCCACTTTGACCTATATTCAAAGAAAAGCAGTAGAAAGTCCAAATGTTGAAACTTTTATCTTATCAACTTCATTTTTTCTTGTAAATATAAACTCATTCTAAAATTGAATCCTACAACATGTTCCAAAAAAAGTTGGGACAGTGTGAATTGAAGACTGGGAACATAGTTCAATGTTTAGAAAACGTTTTGAAAGAAGTGATGTAATCATGCTTGGGTATAAAAAGAGCACACAGGAAAGGCCTTGTTCTTTTTGAACCAGGAAGGGTTGAGGTTCTCCACTTTGCCAAAAATCAGCAAGAAGTAAATCTGTGTGAACATAAAATTCTGTAATGAGCTTTTGCAAGGATTTTTGAAATTCACCCTCTACAGTGCATAATATTATTAAAAGGTGCTGGAATCTGGAAAAATCTTTGCATGGCCAAAACCCACAACTGACTGCCCATGACCTTTGATCTCTCAGACGACACTGCATTAAAAACCAGCATTTTCCTATGATGAACATTACCACATGGACTCTTACACTGTTTGTTGCTGCATCCACAAATGCAAGTTAAGACTGTACAAAGTGAGGGGGATGGGGGGGTTGGTGGGTAACTTGTACATCTGTGGAAGCACCATTAATAGTGAAAGATATATACACGTTTTGAAGCAACATCTACTGCCTTTTAGACGCTGTCTTTTTCAGGGACGTCCGTGCTTACTTCAATATGGCAACAGAAATATTATGAAAAAGAAATATTATGCACATGTTACAACAGCATGGCTCCATAATCAGAGTGCGAGTGATAGACTGGTCTAGATTGGCGGCACATTATGAAGTGCAAAATACAGCAAGGAAGGCCACTTACATGTTTGCAGCTGAAGACTTGTATAAATGAAGAGTGGCAAAAATTCTGCTTTCAAAACTGGATCCAATTGTGTCTTCAGTCCCCAAAGTGTTATTAAAAGGAAAGGTGATGTACCACAGCAGTAAACAAGCTCCTGTCCCAACTTTTTTTGGAATGTGTTGCAGGCATCAAGTTGGAAATTAACATATATTGGCAAAAAAGTTCATAATGTAAAACATCAAATATTGTGTTTTTATACTGTTTTCAATTTAATACAGGTCAAACAGAATTTACTAATCACTGCTTTCTGTTTTTATTAACATTTCACATACTGTCCCAACTTTTTTGGAATTAGGATTGTATAACCAGATCAAATGTACTCTTTTTTTGAAAACCACTGTGATCAGAATAGGTTTTCTGCAACATTTGTGCTAATTTGGTATGATTATGATGTAAACATCCTTTTTGTTTTACAGGTTGAACGCCTTGAAGTGGTTAACAAACAATATGTAAAAGTGCTTCCTGCTCCAGGGGTGAACACATCAGAAGTGGTGAGTAATCTGTAAGAAAAAAAAAGTTTTATCATACAGTGGTGAAAAGCAGGTAAGAAAGTGACACATAAAATGATAATGTTTCACTAACAACTGTGGCTAAATAGCAAATAGCACCATCTTGCTTTCAGTTTCTAGCGAAAACATGTACATGTAATTTTTTGTGATTGGTTTCTTACTGTTTTTAAGTCACACAAATTAAACTTCAGTACTATTCAGAATGCACCTTTTGGTTTCAGCCTTTGTTGTACTTTTCTGTGCAGAATTATGTTTGGTTCAACATTGGCACTGTTGATACATTTGAAAGGAATTTAGAGCAAGCAGAACGTGAACTGGGTTTAGAGGATCCACATAAACTTCCGGTGGTATACAGCACTGAGAGTGATGGGTGAGTACATCAGGGTTAATAGTATGAACTGCTTATTAGGGATATGCCAACTGTGGGCTGATACATATTTTTCATGTATTTATTTGCCAGTGCTGATACAAATGATGATGCATAAATATTTATGAAATGTAGAGATTCCAATAGACTCCTTCTACATGGATTAGTGTTACAGAGGAATATAAAATATATTTCTATATGGTTACAAATGCTGTAAAATGAATGAAATGCAGACATTTTAGCATAGTATCCCAGCAGTGTAAATTTACTTGATAGACTTGGTCATTCCTTACAGATTCCCTATTACAAATGCACAAATAAATGAATGAATAAAGCATATTTGCTAACATTTCTGCTTCAACTACACTTCAACAGGTCATTCCTAATGAACATGCTCCCCACTGTTCTGCTGGTTGGTTTCCTGCTCTTCACTCTGAGACGAGGACCAACAGCAGGAGGGAGCGGAGGCAGGAGAGCAAACAACCCCTTAAGCATGACTGAGTCCACAGCTAAAATAATCAAAAACAAGATCAATGTTAGGTTCAGGGATGTTGCTGGGTGTGAGGAGGCCAAGGTGGAGGTCTTGGAGTTTGTTAACTTCTTGAAGAACCCAAAACAGTACCAGGACCTTGGAGCCAAAATCCCAAAGGTAATGTTTGATGATGGATTTTGTTTTGGTGTATTGGATGCTTTCTCAAACTGTCCAAGAACCAGTTCCATAAGAGAACTGACTCATGGAACCTAATTTACATCATGAAGTGCCTAAAAGCCAGTGCATGAATCAAGCGTATAATGATTTAATCAGTGAGAATTTGTCATCAGTTTTCTCCTTTTCTCTAGTTGTTTGTGACTGTGTTGTTTGGCAATTGTCTTTCAGGGTGCAGTGTTGTCAGGCCCACCTGGCACTGGAAAGACTCTGTTGGCAAAAGCTACTGCCGGAGAGGCTGGGGTTCCATTCATTACAGTTAATGGCTCTGAGTTTCTGGAGATGTTTGTTGGTGTTGGGGCAGCGCGGGTGAGAACTGCACTTAGAGCACAAGAGATTACATCAGAGTGTTGCTTAGATCAGTTGTTCTCTTGCTTGGAGGTTGTAAGGAAGATTTATCACTGGCCTTTCAAGGGTACCACTGTTCTTATAACAGTAAAAAAGCTTTAGATTATCACTGTTTTGTTTCATATGTCAGATGTTTTGGAATAAGTAATTTGCAAGCCTCTAAGTAATTTTAAGTAATTCACTTACTTTCTTTGGCATCTTTTCAATTTCGCTTGTCTTTTAAATGTTGCAGGTGAGGGACATGTTTGCCATGGCCAGAAAGCATGCTCCTTGTATTCTGTTCATTGATGAAATTGATGCCGTGGGCAAGAAGAGAAGCGGAGGGCACTTTGGTGGGCAGAGTGAGCAGGAGAACACGCTCAACCAGCTGCTGGTGGAGATGGATGGTAAGTTTGTGCTGGTGGAGATTTTGTCTGTAACTTTAGGCTCATTGTCTGTTTCTAGTTGTGTTACTGTGTAGAATAGCCATCAATTTTGTGTATCTAGTATTCAAACTATTCTAAAATTCCTTATCAACATTTGCCAATTTGAGAGTGCTTTTGTTGTATTCTTCACCTTCAGGCTTCAACAGCAGCACTAATGTGGTGGTGCTGGCAGCCACCAACCGTGTGGATGTGTTAGATCCGGCACTTTTGAGACCTGGAAGGTTTGACAGGCAGATCTACATAGGTATGGCTTATATTTTACCTTCTTACTGTTCTAATTATTTTTCCAGATTTGTTTATTTTGAAGGCACGATTATTAATTTTTAGCCATCCAGAATTCCTGTGCTGCCTGTTTGAGTAAGCCTGGCAAAAGGCTTGCATCCCAGTACACTCACACTCACTGAACTGAGGAGCAGTTCAGTGCAGCTGTGTTATGTCAGCAGCTTTCACTGTTAGGTGGGAATGCTACAGTGGTTGAAATGGTTTATCTCTTACTGTAGAGAGCTTTGCTCCCACTTTAGTACAACTTACACAATGGAACATTCCTGTTTGGGACACGGAAAATGGAGGGGGAGTGTGTGAGAGAATAGAGGAAGAGTTTTAAGAGTTGAAATACAGCTACTATTTTTAGAGCCCTTGTGTAAACACTGGAACTGTTATCAGATTTAAAGCAAATGGTTCTCATCATCCAGGTGGTATAGAGTGCCCTCCCTTCTTTTTTCCTCTTCACTATTTTTCATTTTCCTCCTTCTTTACCTGTTTGTCAAAAATAGGGCCTCCTGATATTAAAGGGAGGGCGTCCATCTTTAAAGTGCACTTACGGCCACTGAAGCTGGATTCCAGCTTGACCTCAGATGCCTTGGCCAGAAAACTGGCAGCTCTCACACCTGGCTTCACTGGTGAGACAAAGCTTTTATTTTCTTATAATTTTCCCACGGTTATAAGACTGGCAATGAACACATTTTCCTCTTTGTTCAAATCCACCGCCAGCACTCTGTAATGTGATGTAACGAAACATTTATTAGCCAAACAAGGTACTGGATGAAAACTACAAATATTACTGGGCTTCCATGAGGAGAGGTACTGAAAGGTGAACACATTGACAAAAATTAAATCAGTGCTTAGAGTTAAGTAGGCTTTTAATGTAGTTTTCTAATGTTATACTTACGTACAATTTTCTCTCTTTTGCACAGAACTGCAGTTGCTCTCATATAATAGAAACATACTGAAATGAAAGTATGAATATATTAAATAGGTTCTCTTTATCTCTTTGATGAATCTTCATGAACTAATACTTCTATTTCATCTTTTTCATTAGTTTTGTTGATGATTCATATGCTGTTCAAATACTGCTGAATTACACTGACAACTCGCACTTCCTTTATTCAAGAACAACACAGACAGGTTCTCAGACTCATATCACTTGAATTCTCAGATGACTGAACTGAGATGAGAAGAGCTATGTAGGCGTTATTCATCAATGTTGTAATAAAGCCTCATATATCAAAAATGGTAACTTTACAGGAGAAAAGAAAGGTGTTCTTAACTTTAAATGGATATTAATGTTAAGATTTTACTCTAAGAAAGTTGGGCCATTTGTCATTAAATGTTCACACAATGTCAATGAGTAGCTGGCATTTTCAAATAATGTTACAAAAAAAAAATAATAATGATGTAAATGTTGTCCTGCAGGTGCTGATATTGCCAATGTGTGCAACGAAGCAGCGCTCATTGCAGCACGTCGCCTCAGTCCAGCCGTGTCCTCCATGCACTTTGAGCAGGCCGTTGAGAGGGTGATTGGAGGCCTGGAAAAGAAGACCCAGGTGCTGCAACCTGCTGAGAAAACCACTGTAGCATACCATGAGGCTGGCCATGCTGTGGTGGGCTGGTTTCTGGAGCATGCCGACCCACTACTAAAGGTACATGTGGTCTAAAAGCACTGCGTATTTGTCTTTTCGTTTGTCCGCAGATAAATTATTTGGAACAGAGTTAGTGGTAATCAGCTTGTGTCAATAGGTCAAGTCTTGTTTAAATAGCATTGCATAAGAAGAGGATAAGACTTGTAAGGAATAGATTTTTTGTATTTATTTTGGGTGATTACATTAATCTCATTCATTTACAGTTCAATGTGAACCCATTTCACAATCTTTTCTTAGTGAGAGGTATGAACCCCATGAACAGATAAATGTTTGTGAGCGTGTTAAAAGAGTATTGAAAGAGAACTTGGGAAATTACTTGTCTTCTGTTAATGTAAGTGAATTTTCATCATATCTTCATCAGTATAATAATGATTTTGCATTCAGACTGAAAACAAAAACCCCCTTTTGAAACTGTAATCTGTACAAAACACTATAAATGCCCTCCAGAAATAGCCCATGTAGATCATATAACCCATTTAGCATATTTTAAACTGGGTAAATTCCATAATCTGATTTGAGAAGGCTTTCTCAGAATTTTTGCCCCTAATGGGACAGATTTCAGTTTCTCTTTACTTGAAGGTTTTTCTTGGTTTTGGTTGCAATTGTGTGGGTCTATCCTTAAGTGTTCATTTGTACTAAATTGTAATAGCAGTTGATTGTAGTAATCATGTAATGTGTTATTGTATTCACCACAGCAATATAAATATCTCTTCAGGACTGTTTATATTCATGCAGATACTGTCTTTTATAGTTTTGACAGTGGTTTATACTTAAAGTGTTTTCCTTTTTGCTCCTATTTATATACTCATTTGATCATATTTTGTACATGTGGCTCAATATTTCTTTTCTTTGTTTAATGCTTCAGGTGTCCATCATTCCTCGAGGAAAAGGACTAGGCTACGCTCAGTATCTTTCTAAGGAGCAGTACTTGTTCACCCGAGAACAGCTGTTTGACCGGATGTGTATGATGTTGGGAGGGCGCGTAGCAGAGCAGGTGTTTTTCGGCAGAATCACCACAGGTGCACAGGATGACCTTAGAAAGGTCACACAGTCTGCTTATGCTCAGGTTGGAGTCTGTTTTGTTAATTTTGGTTTCTAAATCAGTTTGAATGTATAGGTGAGTAGTTCAGTTCCAAAAAGTAAAAATCCTCCCCAGGAATTTGTTTAGCCTGGACACCTCTACTGGTGGATTCAGCTCAGTAGAGAAGTCAGGCAGTTAGAACAAAATCCTGGGTAAGGTTTTTACTCTCTGGAACTGAATTACCCACCTCTGCTTGAATTCTAGTTTTCTCGCATTAAACATCTTTCTGTCTGTTATGCCACAGATAGTACAGTTTGGAATGAGTGACGTGGTGGGCCAGATGGCATTTGATCTCCCTCGGCAGGGTGAGCTGGTGTCAGAGAAGCCATACAGTGAGGCCACTGCTCAGCTCATAGATCAGGAAGTGCGCTCTCTCATCAGCAAGGCCTTTGAGAGGACCCATCAACTCATCACAGAGAATAGAGAACTGGTGGAGCAGGTAAGAACGTCATAGCAGATGATGACTAGCACACCTCAGTGCCCAAGTGTGACCATGCATATGTTTACATTATCTGTTATATAGTATGGCATTTGGGTGTGATGACAAATAAATCTAGATGCAGACCATTTCCCATAATTGTTTAGAATTTAATAAACAGATCAACATTAAATAGCTCAAAATTAAAAAAAAATAAAATTTGTCACAGCTTCCACTTTCTAGCTTTTTCTCCAGATGTAAAAATCTTCATTCTCTCCATGTTAATTAGTAGACTCTCTAAGGTGGGCTTTATGTGGTGAGACTTTCACACAACTAGTTGCATGTTATGAGTATCGTGCAATGTAATTTTCGTGCATCTTAACAGTTATATGAAGCCACTAAAATCAAAAAAACTGCATGCGACACATTTGGATACTACAATAGTACATTGTATCATAGTCTGATACATTGTATCATTCTTGCTATATAACCTCATCTGTGTGGTGTTATTTACATCATTTCTTTCTTATTTATGTAATTGTTCCAGCTGTCACTGACATCCTCTCTGTATCCATATATCTCTGTCTTTTATCTGTCTGTTTAGGATTCTTTACTATCTATTTTCTTGTCAATTGATCTGGTGAAATAAATCATTTGATTGGTGTCATTTGACATCGCCATGTGGTTCATGGAACGCAAACTTGTTCCATGAAATTGAGACAGTTGCAACTGTTGCAACTGAGTTTCAAGTCAATCACAGGATGCTTTACATCACGCAAGTCAAGCACAGTTATATATAGGTTTCAGGCAACTAAAATTGCATGAAACTTGAATCGTGTAAAGCCAGCCAAAGCCTCACGTTCCTCCTGAAAGTCTGCACTGTGACATCGACAACATGTGGCTGTAAAGCCCAAGAGCCTTTGGGGGTGCTAGGTTTATCTACAGTAGTAGATTACAAGCATTATTTAGCTCAGTGACAAAGTGAATTAATAAACATATGCATTTAAGCTCGCACCTGAATATCTTCTTCTCTGCCATGTTGGTCATACCCTTGTAAACAAACCCCTCCACTCTGATTGGTCCTAGCTTGTATCTCAGGGAATTTTGCATAAGAGACCACTACTAAGAATGCAGCAATGCAGTCCTCAAAGGCTGCACAAAGAACACATAGAGGGCGCTTGTAGAAGGCAATTTTAATGCCAAAATGGGACACCTAGCAGGCTTTCACAGGTTAGCAAAAGAGCCAAATGTAATATTTGCAGCTGGTCTTAACTGATCTCTGCTTGTTGTAGCTGGTGGCCATTTTTGATTCAAGGTGACTGTGGGACCCCATTCATGATGCCACAATGAGCAGTTGTCATCCAGGGTTGTCACTCTTTACAAAGACCAGTTGAACCAAAACAAATTATTCACTGGAGCATTAAAACATTTGAACCTCTGAAACTTTGCTGTGCACCTCATTTCTTAGATTTTTTTAGCAGCTCTGTGTTAACCTATCTGTTTTTAGAATACCTTAGCACAGTATTCAATAAAAACACTTCAATGAATGACTAAGTGTAATACCCTCATGCATCTCTCAGGTGGGAAAACGTCTTCTGGAGAAGGAGGTTCTTGAGAAAGCTGACATGATGGAACTGTTAGGCCCAAGGCCCTTTGAAGAGAAATCTACCTATGAGGAGTTTGTGGAGGGGACTGGTAGTTTTGAAGAAGACACCAGCTTGCCAGAGGGCCTCAAAGACTGGAACCAGAGCAAGGGTGGTTCCTCACAGCAGCAGAAACACGCGGTGTACCTGTAGACTTGAGCTCAGTTCTAGCTGGGTCAGCAGAGGAAAGGAGGATTGAGAGTTGAGATGGAGAAGGACTCTGGCTACAGACACATTGTTTGTAATTTGTGAGTAATCATGTAGGAGGAGTGACGGGACTCCTCTATTGACCGGACATGTGCAATTGTTCATTTTCGTATGTGTTCATGGCATGTTGCTTTGATTTTTCTTGTTTAAGGGAAACTCAGAAAAGTAAAAAATCTGTTACTGAAAGCTTTGATTCTGGGATGCAATAAACCTCAAACTGTTGTCAGTTCCATAAGGGCAGTAAACAACTTAACTCACTTTTTTATAGATGCAAAGATTTGAATATTTAATCTGGAATTTAAGTGCCTTCACCGGAGAAGTAATTATAAACGTTGGACTAGTTTGCATGTAACAAATACATTTCAGTGTTGACTCTGTTACTCTGGTGCTTGGCTCAATGACTTTATTGCATTCCAGGCAGTAGGTGCTATTTTCCCTTTGAAGTGTGGTGGCAAATGAGACAAGTTTGAGTTGACAAAGTTGTATTGACTGTACATTGTATTTTGTCCTCTGCCGGAAAGTTTAAAGCACTGTAATGGAATTGTCTCGTCTGTTTTGGACATGAAAGTTATGATACAGCTATAACTTGATGAGTATTTGTAAGTAGCAAGGTCAATGAACTGACTGTGTATTATATGAATGCACTTTGTAATGCTTTTAAATGTTTCTGGTTAAAGTTGTTTAAGGTTCTGTTTCTAGTCAGGTCATGATCAGAGTGAAGGAAGTGCTGATGACCTGATGAGTTGTTGTAAATGATTGTATGTGTCGTGTATTTTTATGGTACATTTTATTTTATTCTTTTATTTTCTGATTATTTCTTTTTGGTATATTTTGGCTATTACTTTATCAAGTTAGTTTATTAGAGAAAATGGGGCTTCTTCTCATCTTCATTGAAAGGGATGCAGTATTTTTGAGAAGCAGAGTTTTGAACGCTTTGCTTTTTCTTTTGTTGTAGAAAGATCTGTTATGCTGTGTTATGCTCTGCATACAAATTCAGTCTTCACAGAGTGCCTACTAAGAGTGTGTCTCTAGTCCTCTATATACTCAATGTGGCTCCTCCCATTTTAGGAGGTAAATACCGCCCTGATCCAATAGACTTGGAAGTAGATCCTGGATTTCCTGCATGTGTCAGGTCTTTCTCTCAGGAATCTTCAAGTATATCTACCTCACTGAGGCACTCTGTCTATCTGTCTCTTTCTTTAATCTTGGACTGACAGTTTTTACAAATATTCCATTTCATGCTGATTTCCTCAAATCCTCTGATCCAGCTGCTGAAGCTTTTCCTGTTATTTTAGGACATTGCAATTGTGGGAATGTTTTATGTCAGAAAATCATGTAAAAAGACACTTCTGATGTAAGAACTGGCTTCTTAAGATTTAACTGGACTTTGCAGGCTGTTATGCCTTTGTGGCTTTGTGCAGGGTGTTCTACTGTCTGAAATGTGAAAATGCAATGCATTAAAACAATGTAACTTGACTATTAAAACATGTAAACATGAAGTTCAGATCATATGCTTTGGTGTTCACACAAAAAGACTTCTCTGAATATTTGGAAAACTGGTTCATGGCCTATAATCAGTGTGAGAGGCTGATAATGGGAACACTGTGACCTAAATATGTATCTGTGCACATCCTTATGTCATTGTATACTGTAAAGTGTGTGGCTCTTGTCAGGTAGAGGTTCTTCATAGCTGAATTTACATTTAGAATGCCAACTTTACTGTTTGCTTTTACTTGGCATCTTCAGATTTATCTGCAATAGCAAAGTGGAACTCTTGACTGACAGCAGCAGCATTTGGCAGTGTCTGTTAAGCTTAAATGGGCCATATCTTATATTTCTCCTGATGTCTACTTCTGACATTTTTGCTTTTTTTTTTCATTTTGTACCTAATACAGCCATCATTAAGTTCTGCTTGAACATTTTCCAACCTCTCTTTATCCCATACAATTAACCAGAATGTTTTTTGTTTTTGTGTCTTCAAGGCTGATATATGTAAATTATCTCTGTTCTGAAACACTCCATATAACTTCAACATGAACTGACTAAACTGCTGTAGGCTGATTAGGTGGAGATATGTCAGTGTATTTTGGTTTTTGATGATATCACGAAAATAATGAAATCAAAATGGGCTGTTTTACAGCCAAATAACCACATATAGATTGGGTTGGGGAGTATTTTTTTTAACAGGGTTTACGTACTACACCACACTTCTTTTATTTAAAAAGAAGTGCGGATAATTTGTGGATTGTTTTTTTTCTTCATGAATAAACCCTTTTGAGTTGTTGGCAAGAAAGCATGTTTTATACCACCACAGACAAATCACACATGCATTGCATTGGTGTTTTATGGTCTTTAACATTTTATGTAGCTGAAGTTTTTGCAAAGCTTAGATTACTGGATTTTGTTTTAGTCTTTATTAGTCCTGTGCGCAAAGAGCTAGGCACGTTGTAGAAATAACCCACTATTCATGAATGAGAGTGTTTTTTCTATTTATCTGAATCCCTGCATTCATGTTTATCAAGCATCTCAGAATAGTCACACTGATCTAAGATAAGGTCTCATGTTATTCTATTCAGTATTATATAAAAGACATCATGTGATCCCAGAACAGCAATCTTACTCTGAGAAGTTCCTTCAATAGCTGCACATTGCGTTGTTTTCCTTGCTATAATCCATCTACTTGAAATGCATGAACGTGTTTGTAAGTGGGTGATGTGTTGAGCACTGGTCGTTAGGAGCTGAGAGAGCACTAAAATGTGCACTGTACTGAAATACAGTGATCAATACAGAAAAGCTTGACTCCTTTAAACGAAGTATAATCATTATAGCAGTGAAAAACTTTACATTTTGGTTTTTCCAGAAAAATGGAATTATGTTTTTATTCACTGCTATGATCTCAATATCAAGTCTGTGCTGATGACTGATGGGAATTGTATTTTCAACAGCAGGAGCTGTAATATGGGCCATTTTGCATATAAGAGAATCCATAATGATGCATATTACAGTGTTTCAGGTGTAAAAGAGCAGTTTGATCAAAACTCACAGCTTATATTGTTAGGCTAATTACCAACAGGCTTCATTACAGTAACAGCTTTTAATGGGAAAAAAAGGATTATGTAATTTTTTTTTTAACTGGTTTCACATTTGCACAGAACACCCCAGACATTGTTCTTCTGAAACCTGAAATGCTTCTGATATTCTTGAGATTTTAGCATTAGTTTAGGAAACCCAAGCCCTAACAAAGACTGGATCAAAGTACTCACATAATTCTTATTGTGCAGGGCTGAAATCCGATAGGATTTTTAATTTCCAAAACCTAGAGATTAAAAGAAAGCTTCATGCATCGGAGAGTATTTTTGCCGGGAAACCGGAAAGTTTATTTTGTAACCATTTGCTTTTGTAAATCTTTATTTTCTGCAGGATTAAAATGTGTTATTGATGGAGTACACAGTGTTCAAAGAAATGTTTGTGGAAAAACTTGGCATCTGAGGTTCGAGTTTATGGGAATCCGTGTCTCACAACACAGTCAAGCTAGAGGCCTCTCTTAGGTTCTCCTCTGCCTTGCTAATGGTACATGTTCACAGTCACTCATTATGGTGGTTCATTACGTTACATTTTAAAGGCAACAAATTATACAGTGATTAGTTTTTCGCTTGTCACTCAAAAACACAAATGAAAATGATATGGTTTCTCTGCTTTTCTTGCTCTGGCCTTTGTTCTGTTTTTCTTGCCTTTACTTAAAGTTTAGCTCCTCTCTGCCTATGCAACATTGTGCTGAACTGAATTTCTATAATGCAAAAAATGTAGCCACAGAACTCAGACAAAAGAAAGCCCTTGAGAGGTAATAGGCCTAACTGAAAGTGGAAATGGATATTTGTGTCAGTATCAGTCTGTATTTCTCCCTAAGCTTCTGCAGTGATATGGTTCATAAGGATGCAGTAGGGAGGTCACAATTTAGTGTCTTTAGCACCATTGGTCTGCATGTCCAAGTGGCCCAGCTTTGTGTGTCCTTTAGTGTCGTGTTTCCTGTGGGCCGTTCCAGTGTGTGCTACTGTTCTCAGGGCTGTTTGGGCCGCTCCAGTTTGCGGTGCGGGTCAGTGCTGTCCGAGTCGCTGTGGTGCTTTCTGTCCCTCGCAGGCTCACCCTTACTGCAGCGTGTCCACGAGGGAGAGCGCATGTAGCCGCCCCGGTGCAGCGGAGGGGGGTGGTGGTGGTGACCTGTCAACACACACAGAGAGTTAAGTCAGAAAATCACATTGGTGGATTTTGTAGGAAAGCACACTTCTATTGTAAGCATGGGATGTATGCAGGCTGATTAGTGGTATATACTGAATTCTTACACTAGATAAATACTCTATAAACTTCTGTTTGATGTGATTGGTCAGAAATGTGAAAATGCAATGCTTTAAAACAATGCAACTTGTTTTCTTCTGTCTTTTTTTGACATGTCCCCATGTGAGATTTGGAAAGGGAGAGGAGAGTGCCAGCTTTACAGACTCTTTCTAATATTACACTCACGGTTCACCTGTCTGTCACAGCCCAGTTATTTCTGGACTGCACACAGGGAGAAAGCACGAAAGCATCTGCCAGTTAAATTCTTCCATTAGGGAAAAGATTTCTACAGGGCATGCATACGAAATACAGAGGTCATTCTCACTCTTTATTCTATGACGTGCCTTTCTGTGTGTGTGCTTGTCCTCTTCATTTCCTTGTCTTCCTCTCATTTCTGAGATCTCAGTATTTGTGTCTTTTTTATTTTGTGGTTAATGAATGTGATGAGTTTATTGTGTTTAATTGTGTAATGATAATACAGAAGTACAGTACAGCAAAAATCAAAGACCACCATACATTTTATTTCATTGCCAGTCAAAACAGTCATTAGTTACAAGTCATTGTTAAAGGATAAATTTCTGAGAATTTCAGGTATGTTAATCCCCTTAAGTAAGGAATGAGGGGAGAGTCAAAGGAAAATAATTGAACATGTCTTCTCCACTCTAGCTTCAGTTCTGAAAAAAATCCACAGGTGTTTCTGTCCATCCTTCCACAGTGAGAAGACAACACTAAGAGTCTGAAAGGATGTGTAGCTGACCTTACTGAGAAAAGGAAATACACAAAAAGTAGTATATTTGCAAATCAAACAAAGAAGCTGTTGGTTTTCTCAGAACAATGGAATGACTAGCGGAAAGTCCAAATCTCCACAACACTGAATGTGTTTGAGATTTAGTCTAAGGCTGAAGTTTGGAAGTGTGGAAAAATATCCCTGCAGATTTCTTTAAAAATCTGTATTAAAGTCTTCTGAGAACAATCAAAGCTGTTGAGACCTTTGTGTAAAATATTTTTTCTGCTTTTCTTCCCCGGCACTGAAAATTAACTTGTACCTAATAGCCATTTTAACTGAAAATTAAGTAAATGTAGGGTGGTCTCGGACTTTTGCACAGTACTGTATGTATAGATGTTTAGTGGTGTTTCACAGTGAATCATGTAGGTCAGTATATTGGACACAATCTTTCAGACTAAATGATAAATGTCAAGTGTTCTCCAAAGCTGCACTCTGTTTTGTTCCTTTTGTTCTTTTTCGGGGCAATAAAAGGCCTTGTTATTGAATGACATACTACTGCCATCCCTGTATGATCTTAGTTAATGCTCTGATTTCAGTGGAGAAGTTGTGGCATTTGTGAACCACAAGATGGCACTGTGTACCAAAGAATTCTCAGTTTCAGGCTTGAGATTATTGGCTTTAGATAATTGGCAAGTTTTGGTATATTGTCTTACCCAAAGTTAGATTAAGGTCAGATTTAGTTATTTAATAGTGGCTCTAGATTTGCATCTCATCAAGAAAGAACAAGACCAGACAAATGTCCCATGACTTATATTTGTTAAGGTCAGCTGGGCTTCCCTGCTAAAATGCAATAGTTTTAAATACATACATACATACATACATACATACATACATACATATATACATACGTACATACATAGCAACTAATATCCTGTAAGTGAATTCTGAAATCATAAATCTTCATTATGTAATCTTGTATTTCCCCTTGCACCATAAGCCATGCTCTGCACCCACTCACAAAATCATGTTATTGATCTCACTGAGATTTATGAGGCTCAGGCAGGGTTTTAATGAAAGCCAATGTGTTTCACACACTAAGGGACCACATTTATGAGCCTTTAACACTACTTCAACAGATGTTAACATGCTGTCCATAGATCTGTATTTGTTTCACTTCGCTGTCAGGGCTTGTGTGTGTGGGTGGAAGATGTAGAAGCTGTAGACATTCTTTCATTCTTTCATCATTTTACATCATTGTATTCTTTGCATACATGTGGTTGGACAGTTGATAGGTGATCAGATTTGTGCTTTGAATTCCAATCAGCCTGGCTTCAAACACAGTCTGCTGATGTGATATTTGAGTGACAGCTTATGAATATGGATGCTGGATCAGTCTGGGCTCAGACAGACGACCAGACACTTGCTTATTCTTCTCTGCGCCTCTCAACTGTCTCTCACATGCAGCCATACATCAGCACTCATTCAAAACCACACACATGCAGCCATATGTCAGCACTCATTCTATATCCTTAAGTCAGAATCACACATGCAGGACACCTTAGTGCTCTAAACACACCCATTTCAGTCCACTTCAGTGCTATTTTTTCATTTATTTTAGATTATTGACGTCATTTTTTTATTTAAAATCAATCTTTTCCTTTACCTTGTTAGTTTGTGTTCCTAGTCATATTACACACAATGCATCATATCATTTAAAAGGCAAAATTCTTGCTGTCTCACAATCTTTCATTAAAGTGTAATGACTTTTGCCTGCCTCTAAAACGTCTTGTTTTTGATTACATGACTGTGCACCAGCAAAAAAGGGAAAAAGTAATTTTACCCAATAAATCATGTTTCATCTCCCCTTCCCACAACCCCGACTTATCTGTGAGAATGCTCAGCTAGATCAGAGACCCTAACATGCAATATGCAACTTGGTTCAGCAACAAATCAAATTTACACAATATTCCACTCACTCCAGATGGAGCTGCAAGGCTAACATTGCTAACAAACACTAGAAGTCAATAGTCACCCAAATTCTTTCTCCATAAATACATCCCCAGTACTTCTCTCAACCCACTCAAATTGCATCCAGCTATTTATTAAGGTGAAGAACACTTGTTGAAGTGGTTTAGGACACAGTGTTCCTTTTTATATACACAGTAAGGCACACTGTGTCATGAACCACACTGACAAGTTTATGCAATATTAATGAAGACCTGAATGTGATTTCAGCTGGTTGAGGAAGGATTTACAGAGAAAATTTGGGTGACTATTGACTTCTAGTGTTTGTTAACAATGTCAGCCTCTTAGCTCTGGTGCTAAACTGCAGATTAAACCTGCAGATTACAGTGCATTTATACATGTTTTAAAGAGCACATCTTTTCTGTGCCTTTCTAATGTTCTTTGATAGTGTGACAATTGTGTGGTCATATGGTATTTAATTCACAAGCCTTTAATCTAATAAGACTAGCCGTGTGACTGCTATGTGGTTTCTGTTCTGGAAAAACAGAGACTGAGACTCTGCTTTAAGCCATTTAAACTTCTGTAAGGTAGTGTTAGAAAGTGGTGAGTCAGGCCTCCAACTGCTCCAAACAGACGTCATATGCTCAGAATGTCTGTGTCTGCTCTGAATAATCAGATATCCCATATGACAGTCATTAGGAACTGTGCATGTGTCTGAGTGTGTACTTCTTCTCATGAGTAGAGTGTGAAAATGCTTCTTTACTGACTGAAGGACAAAAGTATTATGAAAAGCTTGCTCACTGACAGTTCTACACTATCACATAAATATAGTGAAAAGTGGCACCACTTTTGATTCTAAAAGAACAATTTACATAAACACGTCCCTCTTGTGGTGCTGAAATCAAATACAAATTTGTTCACTTTTCAGTTATTTATTTTTCATAACTCCAATGTTATATAAATCAGCAGGGAGTGGAATGAAGCCCTTATTCAGAGAAGATAGCTGTAAATAATGCAGAGCGTTGCATTTACACCAAACAGGCCTTGCTCCCAGAGAGAGGCTATGGAGTCTTTTTAACTCTGACTCACACCAAAAACACACTGGAATACAAATGGTCTCCCTTCACTCCGCCTGCGCCTGCTAAATACCTTTCAGCTCTGGTGTAGGCCTGTGATGCAGGAATTTTTTGCCCTTTTTTTTGCCAATTTTTTGAGGCCCTGGCAGTCATCAAGAACAAACTCTTGATGAAACAGATCCTGATGATAAGCTGGTTTGGCTCACAGTTTTAAATAATCTGAGATTTAGCAGATGTGCAACAACAGCTGTGCACACCCCCCTCATCAGAGATTTAGGCTAAACATTAAGAATTTGGGTGAGACAAAGAGAAAATGCAGACTTGAAACAGTAGAACGCAAACATCCAATTCATTCACACCAGTCTGGATTCCAACCACTGTGTTCCTCAGTAAGGTCTGGATCTTATGCAGTTGGCCTATCTGTGTTCCAGCCACAAAAGTGAGGGGTAGCAACTACTGCGAAGTTGGACAAGCTCAAATAATGCTTAATTGGATGAGCTTAAATCTCATTCAGTCCAGTACTGGTGCATACATCAAGTAAAGTCAAGATTTATTTGTGTAGTGCTTCTTACAATGGCCTTTGTCACAAAGCAGCTTTACAGAAAATCTGTGTCAAAGACCCAAATGAGCAAGCCAAGGGGGACACTGGCAAGGAAAAACTCACTAAGAGCAAAAGTGAGGAACCAAGACTCAAAAGGGGAACCTCTCCTCTTCTGGTCGACACCGTATAGCAAAACAAGAACACAACAAGAGCAATATGAAAAATACAATACAAAAAATACAAATTTGACAATTAATATACAATAGTGAATTCTGAATAAAGAAAAAAATGAGCCTGTCATTGAATGGAAGTATTTAGATTAATCAATGATAACCAATGACTACTCTTTGAGGAGTAACAAATGAGACATGGATCTATAAAAACCAGTGACTACAGTTAGAAACACATGACAGTGAAAATAAGAATTAAATCCATAAAAATGATCATAATCATGACGATACGTCAGTATGAATATGTAAAGAACTCAGCATTGTGTGAGGCAGATGAGTTTTTTTTTTTGCATAATAGTTCAAATTTAAGTCAGTGCAGCCACCAGTATCATTAGGTAGTTGAGAAG